AGCCTCCCGAGTAGCTGGGACTACAGGCATGTGCCACCATGCCCAGCTAATTTTTTCTATATATATTAGTTGGCCAATGAATTTCTTTCTATTTATAGTAGAGACGGGGCCTCGCTCTTGCTCAGGCTGGTTTCGAACTCCTGACCTGGAGCAATCCGCCGGCCTCGGCCTCCCAGAGTGCTAAAATTACAGGCATGAGCCACCGCGCCGGGCCTTTGAGAGTTTTTTATTTGTTTTATTGCTCATATGGGGAGTAGGTAATGTATTTACCTGCCCCCCTGCAGGCAAAGCCCTGCCCAGATCCACTCCAGGCTCTGATTTCCAACCCAATAGACTCCTTCCTGTCTCCTCTCAGCTTTCCTGCTTCTGAGCTGAGAGAGTGTCTTTCTTTTTTCCTTTCTTTGTTTCTAATGATTTCTGGGTAGGAGGGAAATACAGGAAATGCTGGAAAACGCTAAGACTAACTCCCATTTGTGCAGCACCTGCTTCGTACCAGGCACTATGGCCACCACTACGCTCAGAGGACCTTTGACCGCTCATAACCGCCCTGTTAGGTAGGTTTCTCTGAGTAGCCCGGTTCACAGACGGGAATCTGAGGTTCAAAGGAGGCTTAAGTCACTTGCTGGGATCCATCCAGTTGAGCCAAGATCCATCCAGTCCTGCCCACCGGGAGGGCATGGCAGGGTTAGCCATGGCAGTGAGGCCACTGAGGGGACACTGAGGGCTCTATGCCAGGTACATGGTACACATTTTTCAGGTAATTCTTACAACAGCCTCTGAAGGAAGTGTAATTTCCCCTCTGTTACTGCGCTAGAGATAACTGGCTCTGGTGAACGAGATGGTCTTCCCAAAGACTCAAGCTGAGCTAGATTCTCTTGTTGCTTCTTTTTCTTTCTTTTTCTTTCTTTCTTCTTCCTTCCTTCCTTCCTTTCTTTCTTTCTTTCCTTCTTTCTTTCTTTTCTTTCTTTCTTCTTTCTTCTTCTTTCTTTCTTTCTTCTTTCTTTCTTTCTTTCTTTCTTTCTTTCTTTCTTTCAGCAGAGTTCTCGCTTTGTGGCCAGGCTAGAGTGAGTGCCATGGCGTCAGCGTAGCTCCACAGGCAACCTCAATCTCCTGGGCTCAAGCCGTCCTGCTGCCTTAGCCCTCTCAAGTAGCTGGACTACAGAGCATGCCCCACCATGCCCTGGCTAAGTATATATATATATATATATAATATACTTATTATATATTTTTTTTTTAGTTGGCCAATTAATTTCTTTCTATTTTTAGTAGAGACGAGGTCTTGCTCTTGCTCAGGCTGGTTTCAAACTCCTGACCTCGAGCAATCCACCCACCTCAGCCTCCCAGAGTGCTAGGATTACAGGGCATGAGCTAACACGCCCGGCCCTCTTGTTGCCTCTGGACTGCACACCTGCATTTGGATTTTCCTCCGAGTTTGCTTCAGCTCTTGCTTGATACTGTTTGTTACAGAGATCAGGATTCCAGGAGAGAGAACGGGGAAAAGATCAACCTGCCATTCCGTGTCATCAAGGGCAGTTTGAATTTGCAAAGCAGACTGCAGGGACTTTTCATTTCCAGTTTAAACATGCATTTATTCCATTGGACCTGTTTCCTCATCTATAAAATGGAGCTGGGGTGGGGAGCAGGAAAGGCATAGTTAAAAAGATGTAACAAAATGGTCTTCAGCATGCACATTGTGGGTTTATGAGTCTCAAAGGCTATGCCTGCAATTTGGAGACATTGCCACCAGGGGGCGAGGTGAACTGTGCCCTACATTAAAGCATCCTAGGTTGCTTTACTGTTGTCCCCTCAAGTGGTACATGGATATGTCAGAAATTATGAAGATGGTTCTGAGTCACTCTGGGCAATTAAGACCATGCATGAATTGAAGGATGAGTAATTTTTTTCACTATGTGAACTAATGTCACTTACGACCTGGTCCCTGAACTTCCTTGAAACCTAAAAATCACTGTGAATCTCACCATCTAGGAACCTAGGAGCAGGAAGAATAGGGAATGCTGTCTGAAAGAGCATCAGTGAGATAAAGGCATTCTTTAAATTAAGAAGAAAAACATATGCATGTTTTATTTACTTTGCCAAGATTACAGCTTTTTTTCTCTAAAATATTCAATGTTTAATTTAAAAGAGTTTCCCTTAATGTTCTGAGATGGAATCTTTAATTGAAGCAAAGTCACATAACATGTTACATTTATTCACTTATGTCAAAATTGAAATTGCTCACTTAGCTGTAAATCAGCTCACCAACATTGTGTTGCTCAGCCACTTTTTCTAGCGTCTGAGCTCTCGTATCAGAAGGCATTTTGGTAGCTCTCTCTTGTAAAGCTGCTTCTTCAAAGTGCTAAACTAAATGCAATGTGAAGGTGAGTTTCTGTAGTTTCTTCCAACCCACCTTCCATACTCTTGTAAATATATCCATAATGATAGTGGTTTTGTGTTTGCCTTTTGAAGGCTAAGTCAACAGTATGCTTCCTGGTATAGGGCTTGTTCTGCAGATTGTCGTTTTCACCAACTGTGATATACTGTAAGACCTTTCCCTGCTGGCACATGCAGATTTGGTTCCTTCCGTTACACCGCCATAGATGGTCCCATTTGTCCATTCTCCTGCTGCGAGACGCCTAGGTTTTTTTATGGTTACAAACAGCACTGCAATAAATGTCTTTGTGTGGGGCTCCTTGTGTGCATGTTTAAGCATTTCTAGTCTAGGCTACATAGAAATGGAATTTCCAAATTGTAAAATATAATTTCAATTTTGCAAAATACTCCCTTATTGTTCATAATTCATGGAGTGTGTGAGAGTTTCCATTCCTCTCCTTCTCACCTACTCTTGCATTTTAATTTTTGCCAAGCTGATGGCTTTATTATTTTCATTTGCATCTCTGACTGTCAGGGATAATGAGCATCTCTTCCACTCCTCTGTGTGGCTTCTTCAGGTATTATTAACCTTTTGTGTTCCAGCCAGGCTGTAAGCTCCTAGATGAAAGGGCTGGGTCTTACATTTAAGGTCCCCACAGTGCAGCCCCACCCAGGCATAAACTCTACTACCTTCCAAGCTTAATGAGCCACCTACAGCTCCTCAAATACATCATGCTGGGCTTTGCTGGGCTTTGTGCATACTGTGCCCTCTGTCTGAAGTGCTGCACCTCTTCCAGTCCACCTGAGCATACCTCTCGTTCCAAGATTCTTCTCAGGAGCCACCTCCTGGATAAAGCCAGAGGAAGCCCAAGCTGGCCACAAGGAAGGGCCCCACGGAGAGAGGTGTGCCCAGCCAATCCCCAGCTGTGGTGATCATCTCAGCTGAGGCACCAGGCATGTGAGCGAAGCAGCCATCTTCACAGCAGTGCCACGTGGAGCAGAAATGAGCCACACCTGCTGAGCTCCGCCCAAATGGCACAATCACAAGCAAATAAATGATCATGTCCTTTAAAGCCAACTGTGGTTTGGAACACAGTAAATAATAAATAGATGAAATAAATAACAACAAAAGATGAAATTATTGGACATTCATTGGGCCATATAACATGTGGCAACTCATACCTACAACTTCCGAGAGTGCAAGCCAGTATCTGCAGGTAGGTGTGCTGCTGGCTTAGAGACCGACCAGCTGAAAAGCTTCAAGATCAACAGTCTGCCCTGGGACCCACTCTCTGGGGGACTCTTCCCTGGGCTCCAATTCCCAGGTCTCACCCCTATTGTTACCAGGGAGCTTATGGACTAAAGATGCTTTGGCTGCTTAGACCAGGTGTCCTCAAACTACAGCCTGTGGGCCACATGTGGGTGTTTTGTTTTTTTACTTCAAAGTAAGATATGTGCACTGTGCATAGGAATTTGTTCAGTTGTTGTTTTTTTTTTTAACTATAGTCTGGTCTTCCAACAGTCTGAGGGACGGTGAACTGGCCCCCTGTTTAAAAAATTTGAGGACCCCTGGCTTAGACAGTGAGGAGATAGATGCTCAGGCTCACGTCACAGGAGGTCCAGAGGTGGGTGGCTTCTGGCCAACTTGGTGAAGTAGCTCAGTGAGGTCACGGAGGCCCCAGATCGTGCTGCTTGGTCTGCAGTTCCTCTTGTCTTAGTGTGTCTGCCAGGAGCAGTCCGGGCTGCATGGTTCCTCATTCCATACATCGGGAGAGAGGGATGCTCCCCCAGCATTCCCAGCAGAGAGAAGACACACCCACACTTTTCTTTGTACCCATTGGCCCAAATTGAGTCACAAACCCCTGCCTGAACCAATTGCATTGTGTGTGGGGTGGGAGTTGGGGGTAAGAATTACCATACGAGGCCAGGCTGGTGGCTCACGCCTGTAATCCCAGCACTCTGGGAGGCTGAGGTGGGAGGATCACTTAAGGCCAGGAGTTCGGGACCAGCCTGAGCAACATAGTAAGACAAAAAAATACAAAAATTAGCTGGGCATGGTGGTGTGCGCCTGCAGTCCCAGCTACTGGGGAGGTTGAGGCAGGAGGATTGCTTGAACCCAAGTGTTTGAGGTTGCAGTGAGCTATGAGGACACCACTACACACTAACCGGGACGATAGAATGAGACCTGGTCTCGACAACAACAAATAAAAGGAATTCCCATACAACCAATCAAGTGGTGGCACTAGATTGGAGGGAGTGTATGTGGACAATTCCTCTGAAGCCCATAGGCTTTTGGAGGGAGGAATGGGTGTCTGGAAATAACTGGAGTCTGCTGGGGAGGGTGTGCAGGCAAGACCCAGCAGTGCCCACCATGGGACCCCTCCACACAGGGCACTGGGGGAAGCCAGGCACTCTGGGCTTGAGGCAGAATTGCACTCAGCTCTCACGCCCTTTCCTGGGATAATGGGGGAAGGTGTGAAAGGGTGTGTGTGTGTGTGTGTGTGTGTGTGTGTGTGTACATAGGGGGAAAGTCTGGGAGGTAGTTTGGGCCCTCAGCGCTTCCGTCCCCCCAACACGGCACAGTGGCCCCCACCCAATGTGAAGAGACGCACCATGCAGAGGGGAAGGGCTCAGGTTTGCGCCTTTCTTTATTGCTGGCACTTTATTTGAGTGGAGGGCACCTCTTCTGTGTTGTATCTAGTACTTCGAGGCCCTGGATTTGCTCTTCTCTCCATATTTCTCATCCAGTGCTTTCTGCAAGTTCATGTTCATCGCGTTTTTCCGGTGCCACCGTCCTACAGAGAGCAGGGAAGAGCCAGCACACGTCACCCAGCAGGCCCCGGAGTGCCCAGGCCCCAGCGGTGCCCACACCTCTTCCGAGCCCACCCCAGGCCCCGTCTCCCGCCCTGGCTTCTCTCTGGACGGTAGAGCCGACACACCTGCCCGTGGAGGACAGTGCCCGCCCCACTCACCCAGATCGTCCGTCTTCCTGCCGTGCCAGTGTTCTATGTCCCTCACTGATTTCTCGATCACTTCTGGTGTGTACGAAGCTTTCATGAGGCTCTGCGTCTCCTCAGGGGCCCCTGTGGAACACCGAGAAGAATCCCCAGGTGCCCAAGTCAACAGAGGTCGGGTCTCCACGGTTTATACGGCGTGTCAGTTTCCTCTATGGGCGGTGGGGTGCGGAAGGGAAGGGGCAGGGGGAGGGTTTCCGGCTAAAGCAGGTCCACCATTATGGGCAGTATGGCCTCAGGCAAGTGTTTAACCTCTCTGAGCTTCAGTTTCTTCATCTGTAAGAAGGAATACAATTTTCTTGTAAAGTTGGGAAGATGAAACTATTGGACATTCACTGGGCCATCTAGCATGTGTTAACTAATACCTACAATTTCAGAATATTTATCCCTGTGCAAAATTCAAACACACACAAGGAAATAAGTTACAATGATCAAGAGTCAGCAGAAACACTAAACAGAGGACCAAGTCCCCCAAATTAGCAAGGATTTGAATATAAAATAAGTATATTAACTGTTTGAAGCCATAAAAGAGAGAATAAGAATATAAGGAAAGAATAAGAAACTATTCAGAAAGAATCAATAGATTAGAAAAAGAAGCAAATGGAATTTCAAAATTCAAAATGAAACTTATAAATTTAAGCTCAATGGATGACAAGATGCCTGGGATTTGCTTTGAAATAACCTGGGCTGGGGGTAGGTGGGTGGGAGGGAGAGAAGAGGAAACAAGATTGGGTCCGTGTTAATCACTGTTGGCACTGGGTGATGTGTGCAACATCTATTCACTAAACTGTTCTCTCTGCTTTTCTATAGGTTCGAGAATTGGCATTGTAAAAGTTTAAAAAGAAATTCAATGGACAGGTAAAGCACCAGATTATATACACCTGAGAGAAAATGGTAAACTGTAAGATATATCTAAAGACATGAACTAGAACGCAGCACCGAGGAAAAAACAATATGGAAAATGTGAAAAAGATGTTAAGATACAGGTTAGAGCAGCCCAACATGTGCCTACTTGGAGTTCCAAAAGGAGAGACCACAGAAAGTGGGCAGAGGCAACATTTGAAAAAATAATGAATGAAATTGTTCCAGAATCGATGAGAGATGTGAATTCTTAGATTCAAGAATCATAATTCCCCAATCAGGGTAAGAAAAAAGAATTCCTAATCTAGATACATCCAAGTAAAATTTAGGACAATCAGAGACAAAGAAATCTTATTGGGAAGCACAGTGGATCATTGAGGAAAAAAGAAAAAGAAATCTTAGAAGTAAGCAGCCATGGAGAAAAGATAAATTACTTACAAAGACTGTGACAATTGATTTGATTGATCATCAGGGACAGAAAAAAATGCAGCCATATCAAAGTGCTAACAGAAAACAGTCAACAAGCTAGACCTGGTTACAGTGTGACTGTCTTCCAAGAATGAGGACAAAATGCTGTTCCAACCAACAGAGCCTAAAGTTTGCCCACAATAACACCTCACTAAAAATACCTTCTAAACATCCTTCAGGAGGAATAAATGATCTCAGAGGGCCTGAGATAGCAGAAGGAACGGGAGGCAAAGAAAGTGGAAGCGGAGTGGATCTGAGTGTGGGTTCATTATCGTGGCAGCAGGGTGTTGACTGTATGGGGTACAATAATGGTGACGATGACAGAGGACCATTTTTAAAGACTTACCGTGTGCTAAGCACAGTTCTAGGGGCTTCACGTGAATGTGCTCTTTGAATCTTCTCAACAGCCCTAAGAAGTAGGCATGATTGCCATCCCCATTTTGCTGTTGAAGTCAGCGAAGCGCAGAGGAGTTAAGTAACTTGTCTTAAGTCACACAGCTGGTAAGTGAAAGAGCCAGGACTCAACCCACACCCTGTGGCTCCAGGCTCCACAGTTTCAACTACTTTTCTTATGTACAATTAAAATTCTGTAAAATAGTAACTAACATATAAGCTGAGGTGGGGCGGGGAGGGTAATTAAAGTGGAAGCCTTCTAAGGTCCTTGTAGTGTTCAGGAAAACTTAAATACCTAATTTAACTTTACAATTTGTTAACTATGCACATAACAATGTTAAAGGTAACCACTAAAAGAATGGGAAGTGGCCCAGCCATGGTGGGTCATGCCTGTAATCCTAGCACTTTGGAAGGCTAAGGTGGGAAGATCCATTGAGGTTAGGAGTTCAAGACCAGCCTGGGCAACATAGCAAGATCCTGCCTCTACAAAAAATAAAACAATTAGTCAAGTGTGGTGGTATGAGCCTGTAGTCCCAGCTACTCAGGAGGCTGAGGCAAGAGGATCCCTGATTCCAGGAGATTGAGGCTGCAATGAGCTATGATTGTACCATTGCACTCCAGCCTGGGTGACACAGTGAGACCCTGTCTCTAAAAAATAAAAAAAAAAATAGAAAAGGATGAATATTGGATTGAGAAATAAATAAAACTTATGCAAATCCTAAAAAAGAAGGAAAGAAGAAAGAAGCTGCATGGAAAAAACAGCACAAATAGAAAATACAAAATAAGGTCATGGAAATAAATCCAAATATATCAGCAATTAGAACAAATATAAATGGAGCAAGCCCATTGATTAATAAATAGATTATGAGCCTATAGAAAATATTTTTCAGATATGGATCATTTAAAGTATACTTAAAAGGACACACACAGAGGATAAAAATGGAAGGATAGAAAAGATATAGCAAGCAAACACTAAACAAAAGCAATCCAGTCTAGCTATATTGATATCCAACAAAATAGACTGTAAGGCAGAGGCACTGTGAGAAATAAAAATGACTGCGGTTCATTAAGGTAATGTAATAATTCTAAACAACTTGCTGTCATGAAATAATCTCGAAATAAATAAAGCAAAATTGACAGAACTATAGGAAGAAATTGACAAATCTGCTATCTAGGAAAAATTTAAAGACACATCTTTTAGTAATTCATAAATCAAGCAAAGACTATTAATAAGAAATTAGAAGATTTGTATGGAAATAATTAACAAGGCTGTTCTATTAGACAAACACAAAATCCTGTACCCAGGAGATTATTTGCAAGCACACACAGATCATCCACAAAACTGTGCCGTCTGCCAGGTTATGGAGCAAGTCTCGACAATTTCAAAGGACTAAAGTCATTGCAGGCTATTAGAGAATAATGATGGCGCCATCCAGGTAGGAGACATATTCTACCCCAAAGACAGGAGAGAAAACCAAAAAAGAGGAAGACACAGGACAGGGAAAATGGGATTCTAATAGTGGAGGGAGGTGAAGGAAATCCTCAGGGGCTGCTTCAGAGATGCCTGGCTACCTGGACACACGGAAATGAGACGGGACAGGTTGAGAGCTGTCCCCACCCACCGCTACCCCTGCTGCCAATTTCCATGCTCCCTGACCCAGTAGCCATTATTAGTAGTCTAAAGAAATCCCAAAGAATCTACAAACAATTATTGGAATTAATAGGTGAGCTGAGCAAAGCTTCTGGATATAAGATTAAGTGAATATAGTATCAGCATCAAAGTTAGAAAATACAATTTTTAAAAAGATACCATTTACAATAAGTAGCAAAACAAAAAAAATAAAGAGCCTCTCCTAAATAAATCTAACAAAAAACGCCATGATCTTTATAGGAAAAGAAACCCACAAAATGTTATTGGCACATATTGAAGAAAGATTTAAATTAATGGAGCTATATACCATATTTATAGATTGGAAAGTTCATTATCATAAAGCTGATAACTGCCTCTAAATTGAGTGATAGACTCCCTGTACTTCCAATCAAAATTCCAGCAGAGTTTTCCATGGAAATTTCCACATAAAATTTATATGGACAAGTAAAGGTCCTAGAAACCCAAGACACTAACTGGTTTGGGGGTGGGGAGTAGGGTGGGACGTACTGCCCAGCCAGATATCGGACTACTTATAATACCTTGGTAATTAAAAGTGTAATCTTAGACCAATGAACAGAATAGAGATCTGGAAACCGATCCAAGCACATGTGCTCAGATGGACGGGTAACAGAGGTGCCACCACAGGTCACGAAGGGAAGATGGGACTATTCTACAAAAGGGGCTGAGATAATCAGTCATCTACATGGAGAAGGGATTAACGATGAACCCCTACTTCACACTAAAGACAGAAATCCACTCCAAGTGGATTAAAGACTTAAATGTGAAAAGCAAAACTCAATCCTTTAGAAGACTATAAAAAAGATTACCTCTATGACTCAGCACGAGATAGGATTTCTTGGACTCACTCCTCCTGGCACCTTCTCTGTCTGAGTAAATAGCAATTCCGTTCTTCTAGTTGTTCAGGTCAAAGCCCTTGAAATCAACGCCAATTCCTCTGTCTCACCCCTGAATCCATTCATTAGCATATTCTGTTCTCTCCACCTTATGCAAATACCCAGAATCCTTCTACAACAGGCCACCTTCACCACCTTCACTTCCCTGAGCTGCCACATTGTACAATGGTGCCCCCCAAAATTGTGCAGTGCACTACCCGGCTCCCAGGACCAAGCCACCGTCATCTGTCCCACCTGGATTTTTGCAGTTTCCTCCTCACTGGTGTCCCTGTTCCTGCCCGAGCTCCCTACGCCTGTCTCAACACAGCAACTGGAGTGACCCTTTATCTCGAACCAAAGGCCACTCTCCCGCTAAGGACCCTGCCTTGGCTTCCCACCTATCTCACTCAGAGAAAAGACCTTCCAGTGGCTTCAGGACCCAGCCTGTCTCCTCTGATGTCTTCTCCTCGTGCCTGTGCAGCCACACGAGCCTCCTCAGCCTCCAACAGCAAGTGCAAAGGCTAACCCCGAGCGGATGGAGGCGGAGAGGGGCGCGGCTGGGGCAAAGGCGGTGGCGTTTGCCAATTTCCAGAGCGTAAATACTACCACCATGACCAGTTTTAAGATAGCATTTATATGCCAATCAATTCAGGAAAATTGAACAATCCATCTTGTGAGCTGGTGCAAGCTGGTTCAAACTGGCCCCAGCACACCCTGGGCACAGTTCTACTTCCGACGCTGGATGGTAGGCACGCAGATACTGTAAAAATGTTATTCTTTTGCATTTATGCAGACATTGTCATATAAGGTTGCATGTAAGAGCTATGTGGTGACAATAGCTAAAGACAGACGTGGAAGGTAGGACCCTGGGGCCCAGAGTAGGGGACAATCTGAGCTGCATTCTCACTTCCCTCCCCAGCACCACCTCTTCTCCAAGCTCAAAGAAAAGCCCAGAAAGGTTTCCAGTGGGTGTCTGGTTGCTCGGGTGACAGGGACCTGAGCCAGGGGAGGTTTTCCAGGCCCTGGGAGCACATGAGGGCCTGCATCGAGGAGAGGGGAAGGAGCAGGGCTAGAAAGAGCTGGGCCTTTGCAATGAGGCTGAGCTGGATGGTGGCAGGGCAGAGAGAAGCCCCGGCTGTGGACCGGTGTTGAGCAATCCAGAAAGCCCTGGGGAATAGGGCCATAGCAGCGAGGGAGGTGAGCTGGTGCGGAGGAAAGACTTTGGGGCTTTAGAGGCAGAAGGAAAACCTGGATTTGAGTCCCCGACATACCTCAGACTACTAAGGGGCCTTGGGCCAGGGATCGCAGATCTGCCTGTGAAATGCAGCTCATAGCAACCCCCCTGCGACAACCAAGCAGGACGAGGCTGACCCAAAGGAAGCCCCTGTAAACGTCACAGCGTCCAACCCATGCTTCCTTCCTTCCCAGGTGCTTGCTGGGAAAGAAAAATGGTGGCCTGGCAGCTACTGCGCACTCACTGTGTGACGCAGGCTAAATGCCTTCAGGCGGCACTTCACAGGGTCCTGCCAATGGCCCAGTGAGGGCCATGCTATCTTTATCATGTCCTATACCTTGTACCAAGAAGGCAGAGAGTTAAGAATCTTGCCTGAGGTCACACCCAGCTAGTGAGTGGCCAAGCTGAGTTTGAACCCAAGAAACCTGATATTGTCACTATGACCAAAGGTGCCCAGGCCAAGGGGTCCTGGGCCTCTCACTAGCAGATTAAGAAACCAGAGCTGACGGGGGTGGAGGGGCTGGGTTGTCTGCCCAGCAAGGATAGACTTGCTCCCAGAACTTGCTCCAGCACCCAGAACGGGCCCTGCAGGTAAGGCACCCATGGTGGGCATGAAATGGGTGTCCATGGGGATGTGCCCTGGGGTCCTGGACCCCATATGGGGTGGACACCCCAAAGGCCTTCCCTGCCCGATGCCTTAGACCATGGGTGTTCACAGCCCCCACCCTTGCCCCTCGACCTGACCTTGAAACAAGTTTGACCGCATGTTGTAGCCCAGATCATAGTAGTCTGTGAAGATGGAGGAGATTTCCAGAGGACTCTGGGTCCTGCTGGGCCACGAGCTTGCCCTCTTCTGGCCCTCCAAGCCTTCACTAACAGCCTTTCGAGCCTGAGCAGGGAGGCAGGGAGAGGAGATAGGATGGGAAAGCAGGGCCCAGCCCCACACCTCCCCTCTAACTCCTCCTGCCCTGGACCCTGCCCTCCCCACCCCTACCCCGTCCTCAGCCTGCAGCCCTCAACCAGCCGCAGAGCTGGGAGCCAGAGTGGCCAAAGGTCCCCCCTCTACTCCCTGTCATCCCCCCACCCCCTGAAATGGGCAGGAGGCATCGGGGATTAGAATGACTCAAACCTGGGTCTTCTGATTCCCAACAAATGCTGCCCATCCACTCAACACTGTCTCCCTCAGGAGGCTCGTTCAAATTGTAAACATTCAATTCAAACAAAAGACTTTTAACTGCAAATTCATGAAGGGCCAGGGCTCCAGATCTGCCAACCCGGTTTGCGTCCTTGTGCCACACAACTGGGTGAATTTGGTTGATGCACTTAAACCCCTAAGCTGTGGGCGCTTCTCCATAAAGCGGGGATGATAACAGTTTGTTCCTCATGGGGCTGTTGGGAAGATCGAATGGGTTGTTACACGTGAAGAGTTTAAACAGCGCATGTGCCTGGCACATAGCAGGTGCTCAGTAAATACTGCCTTCTCATGATATTATCACAGGGGCTTTGTACTCAAGAGCAGGTTTCTTTTGGGTCCTCATTGTAAGTATCCATGCATAACCTTCCTGCTGCCCACCTGCTCCTCAGAGATCAGCTCGTCCACCACGTTGCTCCCAAACTTGTGGCGAATGTTGTTCGGAATGATGCTGCCTTTGTGGCTCGAGGGCCTGCTCCTCTGGTCCTGGGCCCCCAGGCTGGGGCCGTCATCCAGCCCCTGGCATGGCTGAGCCCCCTCCCGGAAGGTGGCCTTGTTCTCTCTCAAGGAGGACCTGGAGGCCCCCTTCTTCAGGGCCCCGGGCTGCAGGTCCATTCCCCGAGACTCCGTGCTGACCGCGGTCGGGGGTGGGGGGCGGATCTCCTCCAGGTGGCGCTGCCCTGCGGGGTTGCCTTGGCTGCTGCCTCCCCGGGGCAGGGGTTTCGGTGGGCAGAGCGGGACCTGGTACTTGAACTCGGAGGTGTCCAGGGAGCTGCAGGAAGTCTTCCAGGGGGCCGCGTCCTGCTGGCCCTCCTTGTTGTTCAGGGAGGCCCTGGCCAGAGTGGCTGTACCTGAACCGGGCAAAGCGAGACGGACAGGTTGGGAGAGACACGCAGACAGATGCAGAGAGCCAAGGGCGGGAAGAGGGATGGAGACAGGAGTGTGTGGGGGGAAACAGAGACACAGAGCCCCCGAGATCCAGGGATAGGGGAAGGGAGAGGGTCTGAGAGAACCCAAGGGAGCCAGAGGCACGGCTGAGAAACAAGGAGACACACAAGGGGAAGGCGGCTCAGCCTGCGCAGCCCCCCAGGACAGGGTTCCACATTCCTGGAGAGGAGGGTCCGCAGCCCGTGCCTGTCCAGCCTTGAGGCCCAGCTGTGTGACCTTGAGCGAGGCATTTGGCCTCTCTGTGCTTTAGTGCTCCTGGCTCCATTTGGAAAGTGCCTTTCCCAACTTTAAATCCCCCATCGATCCAGTGAGGGAAACAGTCTTTGCTCCCTGTTCAGGCTGCTGTGCCCCGAACCCCTCCTCCTCTTTCCTCCAGGGGGATTGGGCCCCAGTCACCTCCCAGGCTCTCTCATGCCCATCTCCCCTACCCCCACCAGGCCCTCTCCTGCTCCTCATTCTTATCAGCTCCACCCTGGCTCCAGACAGACAGACTTCACTTCCTCCCACCCACACCCGAGAGGCCCCTCCTCCCAGCGTTTGCCCTGGCTGGTCTGCTACCCGGAAGGCCAGCCCTCCTTTTCCCCAACTCAGAATCCTTCAAATGCAGCCCAGCGGGAAGTCCTCCCTGACACCCAGCGCAAGCTGGGAGCCCGGCCAGCTCCCTCCTTCTCCGCTCCCAGCACTGTCCCAACATGCCCCGCACGGCTCTCGAGACCCCGGGCTTTCCCTTTCTGCCACACTAGGAGCTACACACAGTCTCATTTCCCCTCCTAGATGTGCGGAGAGGGGCACTGAAGTGGGGTCCACGTGTGAGTCAGTCCTGGGTGTCCCACAGCACCCAGCAGAGAGCCCTGTCTATCTGGGAGGGTGACAGAGTCCATCAGGGCATGAGTGCAGGAGCAGCGGAAAGGGTGCTATACCCAGTGACTGCACCCCATCTATGCTGAGACGCTCATTCCCCCATTTGGACACCCGCGACACCAGGCTGCAGCTGACAGTCGATGGCCCTGGCTCATGGTGGAGCCAGCACTGTTTCTATTTCCTAGTGGCTCATGAGGAACGGTCCATTTTACAACCAGGGGGGTGGCAGCTTAGAATACATACTTTATACAACACCCGAGCAGTATAGAGTCTTTGTGTGCAAAACACAGAGGCCAAGCCGAGTGCCCCTCACAGTCTGCCCCCAACCTCAATCCCAGGTTACAGGTATAAATGTGTTTGGGGGACTTCCCTCCAAAATGTTCTAGATGGGTCTCTAGTCCAGCAGTCCCCAACGTTTTTGGCACCAGGAACTGGTTTCATGGAAGACAATTTTCCATGGACGGGGGGCGGCATGGTTTGGGGATGGTTCAAGCACATGACATTTATCGTGCAGGCAGACCTCTCTCCAATGATGGTCTGTATCTGCAGCCGCTCCCCAGCGCTCGCATCACGGCCTCAGCCCCACCTGGGACCATCAGGGCTGGGGAGCGGCTGTCAACACCGAGGAAGCTTTGCCCCTGCCCTGCAGCCTGCTTCCTCGCAGGCCTCCACCAACAGGGGGCGGGGGACCCCAGCTCTCGTCCCCTTAAAAGATACATAATTTTGTTTCAATTTTGTATATAAATGAGATCAGATTCTATGTGTTGCTTTGTAACTTGCTGCTAAAACCCACCACCACCCCTTGAGCCCTTGCCCCACTGGGGGACATTCCAATTGTCTGGTTAAGGCTGCCGTGAGCATTAAACTTTGCCGGCCATTAGGGTTTTGTTGGTTTTGTTTGTTTGTTTGTTTGTTTGAGACAGAGTCTCACTTTGTTGCCCAGGCTAGAGTGCGTCTTTCTTTCTGTCCCCTCGGTGGTGGGAGACAGCAAAGGCTGAGATTTCCCTGCTTTCCTGTCCACTTCCTCCTCTCCTTCCTTCCCCCCACCCTTTGTTCTGCCCCTTTGTCACCTACTCAAAAAGGCAGCGGAGGGAAAACCTGTTCCCAGAGACCAGACTGTCTTCCCTCCTGCCCTGGTTCTGCCTCAACCAGCAGCAGCCAAGCAGAGGCACCTCTGGGGACAGCTGGGCTGCTGGGACAGGCAGTCTTTCTCAAAAGACTGGAGGCAGAGAGTGGGGCAGCACTCACCTGGACACCACAGCCCCTCACCCTGATCCTGGGGAGACTGAGGCCCAGCACAGGCATGGCTTCCTCCTGGGGTCCCACAGGATTCGGGCCCAGGACAGCTGGAGCAGTGCTGCCCGCCTGTCCCCGGCTGTGGTCCCGCCGTCTGACCCACCAGCCATGCTGCTGTGATCGCCTGCTCACCTCTGCCAGCCCTTTGGGTTAGGAGCACTTTGACGGCCCTGAAGTGTCGTGTGTGCCCTGGCTCAGAGAGCTGGCACGTTCACCATTCATCCGGTGAGCAAGCACCAACGTGTGTCCCGTGCCGCGTCAGGCAATGGGGACCCCACAGTGAGCTGAACAGGCCAACCCCTGTCCTCTTAGAGTTGAATGTTTGCTGAATGAATGAATCAATGAATGAATGAAGGCTTTCAGTTCTCATTGCAACCTCACCTTTCTTCCATTCTATTCATTCCGCTATAAACTGGGAGAAATAAATCCCACTTCACTTGTTGTTATGAGGATCAGATGATCCATCAGCACAGTTTTCTAAACTTGGCCACGTATCTAAATTCCCTGGGGCACTCTAAACATGCAGATCTCTGGGCCCCTCCCAGAGCTGCTGCATCTGAAAGGCTGGGAGTCTGGGTGTTTAACAAGGTCCCCCAGGGCATTCAGGCCACTGCAGAAAGCCTGAGCAGGAATGCCACCCCCATCCCACCTGCCAGCCCCAGCCACCTACCCTCCACTCCCTGCTGGGGACCCTTCTGTGGGCTGGCCTGACTTCTTCTTGTCCTCAGGGCTCCACGAAAGCACTGGCCCCCTCTCCCTTCTAGGCTTTTTCCTGCCTGTCCCCCTGCCTGGAATACTCTCTCCTCCCTGCCGTGGGCCACACCACCTCCTAGTCTTAGCTCACTCACGATCCGCAGGGCCCCCACCCATGTGGCCAGGCCCCCAAGTGCCCCTGCAGCTCTGCCCTTCTGGGGCACAGAGACTCGGAGCCCCTGAGGATGGGGACTGTTGGGCTCAGGCCCCGAGCGTGGCAGGACGGGAGGGGCTCAGTACCCCCTTTCCCTCCTTCTATCTTCTGTCTTCAAACAGAATGCCCCCTAGGACGTCAGGGCAATGGTGGGTCTGAGACCAAAGCAAGACTGAGGGACAGGAGGAAGGCCCCGTGCCCTGCTGCCCCAGGAGTCCCCCCAGAAGCCCTGGATGCACATTCGGCTCATGCCTCGCCCGCCCGTCCTACCTGCTCGGCGGCCCAGCTCCATCGGCTCTTGCTCCGGAACAGGTAATTCCAAGCTGGGTCCTGTAGACAAAGCAACACGTTTCATGGTCTCAGATGACACTGTCTCTGTGAATGCGAATGAGCGAGAGCGGAGCAGGGGGGCCTGTGGCCGTTTGCCTAGCCCTGACCCGAGGTCCCCAGGGTGTTCCTGGAGCTTTGTGGCACTGCCCAGACCCACGGCCCCTGCCCCATCCACCCATCACCCTGGCACCGACCTGCCTGCTGGGCCCCTGCAGGCTCTGCCCTCTCTGGAAAGCCCTGGTCACCCCCCACCCCCACTGGGGCTCAAAGGCCTTTCTGAAGCAGCCTTGGGACCCTGGCGTCTTCTTGCACCTTCATAATCTCTTCTCCTCTCCACTCCCGCCAGCCTCACCCTAGGAGCCTCCAGCAGGCCCGTGGCTGGGGGTGCATTGCCCCTGCGCCCCATCCTGGTAACTGTGCCTTCCTGCAAATGCAGTGTCATCCATGCTGCTGGCTGTTCCTTCACGGTCAGGGGAGGGAACATTAGCCGCTGTGGAGGGCGGAGAGCAGGACCCCACACTCTGGCATAACCTTGGTCTTCCGAGGAAGGCCTTTGGGACAAATTGGAGGAGGGGAGCTCTAGCACCTCAGAAGCCTCTGCGATTTCATGTGTGTATCCCTTTTCCTTAGGTGGCCTTTCCCTCATGTATATTCTCATATGTATCCCACGTGGGTTTTTTCCCAGGCTGTAGCAAATTTTGTAGCCTAAATAAAATAAAACCTGGCCCTCCATGGTAAAATGTCTTTGTAATAAGGGAGGAACAGAGGTGTTGAGGGTTAGGGTCAAGACATGAGAACCCCAGGAGTGGGACAGAACTTTGCCAAGAGAGCAACCTGTGGACATGTCCGTTCACTGAACAAAAGCTGCTGGACCTTGGGGGGAACATTCTACCTATCAGCGATGTCTGCAAAGGACCCTGCCTAGAAGACTGAGGGCTGTAGCCTGGATCTCTGCAAAAGGACTGGGTTTGTAATCCAAAGGCAGCAGGGAGTGACAGCCCAGCAGATAGAGCAGTTGCTGTTCCAAGCCTGAGGCACTGTTCCTGTCTCTCTCCTGAGTTCCTGTCTTAGTAAATGAGGAACTAGATAAAGTAGAAAGAAGTACCCGGTCTCTGTTGTTCCCGTTTAGATTATACACCCTACTACTAACTCACAAGCCTTTCATGAGAAATCATTGTAATCCATAACATAAAAAAGACAATAAAAATGGGTGCTAGACTTCAGTTAGTACCACCCAGCTCACGGGAATGCTGGTGGTCCCCTGACCTCCCCACACCCCATTCACCTTACTTTTCGTGTCTGTATCTTTGTCTCTCCCATCTCTTGCAATGCACACTGCCTGGGGACCTGGTTATATCGGGTGCGTCTCGAACCCCCGATACAGAAACTAGCCAGAGCCGGCAGGGATCTTTGAGGACTGAGGCCCAGAGAAGGGGGTGACTCATCTAATGTCACCCCGCAAGTCAGTTTGCTGGTAAGCTCAAAGTGGGCAGGAACCCGATCAGCTTTATTCTCTTGAAAAATTGCCAAGCAAAACACCCTGTTAATTTTGACACTTAATAATTGTTTGGTGATTGTGCAACTTTTGATATGACTTCTGAAGATCCCACACCCCTGGTATTCACACACGGTGTGATCCCCTCCCCCCGAGTGTGAGCTAGGGACCTAGTGACTTGCCTCTGAATAAAAGGATGCCACTTCCAGGATCGTATTAGTGACTTCTGTCTTGTTCACACTCTTTTCTGGCTCTCCTTGGTTTGCTCACTCTGACAGCAGCAGCTGCCATGGTTTGAGCCGCCCTGTGGAGAGGCCCATGTGGCAAGAGCTGAGGGTGGCCTCTGGCCAGAAGCTCATAAGGAACAGAAGCCCTTGGTCCAACAACAGTTGTTGAAGAACTGAATAAATCCTGCCACCTGAATCAGCTTGGGCATGGGTCTTTCCCCAGTCAAGCTTTGACATGAGAACACAGCCCAGATGACACTTAATTACAGCCTGTGGGAGAACCTGAGCCAGAGAACCCGGCCAAGCACAAGCAGGGTCCTGACCCAGAGACACTCTTAGATCATAAGTTTGTGCTTTTTAAACATACGGTTTTAAGTTGCTAAGTTTTGCTGTCATTTGTTATGCAGCAATAGATAACTAATACCTATTTTGGTACCAAGAGTGAGATGTTGCTCTAACAAATACCTAAAAACGTGGGAGTGACTTTGGAACCCAGCAGTAAGAAAAGCCTAGAAAGAATTTTGAGAAACATGATAGAGAAAGCCTAAATTGCCCTGAACAGTCTATTAGCAGAAATCTGGATTTAGAAGATGCTGCCAGTGAGGTCACAAAAGGAAGTGATGAACATGTTACTAGAACTTAGAGGGAGAAAGGCCCTTGTTATATAGTGGCAGACACTTAGTGACACTGTCACCGGCAGTTATGTCATCTGCAAGCAGAACATGTGACTAATAAACTGAGAGAGATTTTTCTTCTTGCTGCCCCTAGTGAGGTGTGAGAGGAGGGAGATGAACTGAAGAAAAGGTTGTTACATGAAAATCCAGGACTTAATGGTCTGAAAATTCTCATCTTCTCCAGATTCCAAAAGATGCAAAAATGAAGAAAGGACTTCAGAGGACTGTCTGGAAAAGGTGGCCAAGAGTGTGACTGTGCAACCTATTGTTAAAGCTCTAGGAAGATAAAGGATTAGGGTATTATAAGTCACACAAGGAGGCCTCAAAAGAGATTTAAAGGATATGCCTCATATATCCTCTTAGCAGAACCACAGGGCTCTCTAAGAAGCTCAAGGGTGTTGTTCCTCAGCAGAAGCACAGGTGGAAAAGGTGTGGCTTTTTTCTGCTGGCTTGAACCCTTGTAAGTTTCATGGTTTTTTTTAAAAAAACTGTATCAGCAAAAGTACTACCAGCTAAGAATGAAAGGGACAGAGACAATACAAAATGAGACCACTGCACAAAAGAGAGAGAGACAGAGAGAGAGGAGTCAGAGGGTAGAAGGCAGAGGAGTCCATAGGGCAGAGCTGAGCGCAATGGGAAATTATTCCCAGGACTTGATGCCCAATCAAGGAATGTCCAACATTTGCATGACCAGATTTCAGAATTGCTATGGACCAGTGGCTCCTCCATGTCTCCACTTTCCTCATTTTTGAATACGAATGTTGAAAGCTCTTATCCTATGCCTATGACATCATTGTATATCAGGTATCTGCAGGAAAGATAACCTCAAACCTCATTTGACAGCTCTACCTCTGGAGAAGAACTGAACTCAGGAAGTGCCTCTCAAGGAATGACACCTGAGGAGGCTCGTGCACAGCTTGACCTGATTTATACAGCCAGATTCTAGATTTTAAGCTGATGCTATTATAGGACAAGACTTCTGGAGATCTTGGGAGGAGATGGATGTATTCTGCCCATGGTAGGGATGTATATTATCAGGGGCCAGAGGGCAGACAGTGGGGCAGCTGACATGGCTCCCAGGGATCCTTGCTCCCCTCCCTTTGAGTGCAGGCTGGACCTGGTGACCAATAGAATATGGCAAATGTCAGGGATGTCACTTCCAAGATGAAGTTATAAATGACTGCGACTTCTGTCTTGCTCTCACACTCTCTCTGGCTCCCCTCAGCTCACTTGCTCTGATGGAAGCCAGTTTCCATGCTGTGAGCTGCCCTGTGGCAAGGAGCTAGGAGTGGCCTGCAGCTGACAGCTTCGGAGGGACTGAATCCTGCCATGGGGGGCCTTGGAAAGGGTCCTTCTCTAGTTGAACCTTGAGATGAGACTGAAGCCCAGGTCAACACCATGACTGAAGTCCATGAGAGCCCCTGAGACAGAAAACCCAGCAAAGCATCCGCTAGATTCCTGGCTCACAGAAAGGGTGCGATAATAAATGTTGCCATCTTAAGCCACTACGTTTTGCGGTGATTTGCTATGCAGCAAGAGATGACTAAGACGACTCCTGTGCCAAGCATTCTCACATCTAATAGATTGGTCTGTCTTCACAAGTACCCAGTAAGGTGCTTAGAGAAGCCATTAACTTACTGTCTTTCACAGATGGAGAAATTGGGCTCAGAAAAGAAATAGGACTTCACCCAGGTGGAGCTGAAACTGCGCTTAGCATCTTCAAGATCACTGAAGCTCCTTCAAGCTGGCCGTCTGCTCCTGTCCCTGTGCCCCTCCCCAGCCACCCACTCGATGTGCCCTTAGCAGTCCCGTCTTCCCCAGTGGCACTGGCAGTCCAGTGCAGCCTGGACCGGCATGACAGCAGTGTGAACTCACTTCCGGTTTCTGACCTGGAGAGAAAGGTCCCAAGGGACGTCAGTTGAGGAGGGCAGGAAGGCAGGTGCAGTTGCAGTCTGGGCACTCTTCACTCACAAGCAACTCTGAAAGGGGAAAAGGAAGATGAAATCCTATGTCCCGGGAGAGCCCTGTCCCACCTCTTAAGTCTCCGCCTCACCTCTCCAATCCCTTTCATAACGTCAGAAAACATGGGAACCACGCTGGTGTGTGCTGAAGCCCAGGAGTGGAGGTCTGTGCTGCACAACTACTGGTGAGGACCAATGGATGGTTGCTAGGAAGCGGCCCCCGGCAGATGCTCATTGGAGTTGCCATGGTGATCACTATACACAGGGCTCTGTTACGTCAGAGGCTGCTAGGCCCACCCTAGGGAAAAGAGGCCAAGGGAAGGCCAGGACGAAGGAGGCAAGAGGGGCATTCATGTGTGGTTCGCTCTCTCAGCCACTCAAAACTGTCTACCAAGCACCTGCCATTTTTCAGGTGTGCCAGGCATGCAGGGCTCAGGTGCAATGGAAGTTCCTAGGAGTGGAAAGGAATAAGTAGAGAGAAGGATTAACTCCGTCTAGGGAAAAAGAGGCAGGGCTCACAGTAGGTCCGTCTGAGCGGGTGCTAGCAGTTCAGAAGGCACTGATGTGTCTAACAGCACATGGATAGGTCAAGGGCAACCGGAAGCAGAAGGGGAAGATGCACCTGGAGCTGTCTGAGCTGGATGCCCAGGGATTGGGGACCGGGGAGTGAAGCCAAAGCAGGGGTGGGACAGTGAGGCTCCCCTCTCCTCCCCTTCAACCACAAGGGCTGCAGAAAGAGAGTAACAACATTGTCTTCAGAGGAGGAGGCAAGAGCCGTTGGAGGCGGCACTGGCTCAGTCTGTCTGGCTGTGGGCAGGGCAGGTACAGGGAACGCCTCCTGCACGCTCAGCCTTTCACGGTCTCCCCAGGAGGAAGAGAGCACTGTGGTTACACTTGGGGTCCCCAGAATCTGCCACTTACTAGATGAGTGACTCTGGCCAAGTTCTTTAGCTGAACTTGCCTTGTGTGTGAAACAGACACGACCCACCTTAAGGGTGAGGGTGGCAGTCGGAGGAAATCACTTTTGTGAATTGCCTAGCACACCGCCTGGCACAGACAGAGAGGTCACAGATAACTCCGAGCTAACTCCACAGGCAACCCAGCAGCAAGTCCGTCAAAATACGCCAGACTTGGGGCCCTTCGTCCACCGCCACGTCTCTCACTGGCCCCCGGCCCCCGGGCGCCGGTCGGCCAAGCCACCCCATCACCTGCCCAGGTTCACAGTTGCTTCCTCTCCGGTCTCCCTGCTTTTGCTCGTCTCCCGTCCTCATGGTGTGTTGCTGCACTACGCCGTTGCCATGAACCCAGCAGCCCCCCACACCAGTATCGCGCAGTTGCTGGGGTCAGGGGTGTGCGCGTGACTCCGCTGGGCGCCCGGGCTCGGCGTCTTGGAAGGCTGCAATCGGGGTGTTGGCCAGGGCTGCGGTCTCCTCTGGGTTCCCCTGGGGCCGGGGCGGTGGGCGGCTGCTCCCCGTGGTCTGTCGGACTGAGGGCCTCAGGGTCTTGCTCGCCGTTGGCCAGAGGCCACCCTCCGGTCCTTGCTGTGTCCCCAACATGAGGCTGGCTTCAAAGCCACCAAAGGAAAGCGTCTTCTCACAGGACGGGCACCACGATCTTCTGTACTGTCACTGAAGCGGCGTCCGTCACCTTTGCCACTTGTCGCTGGCTAAAAGCGAGTCCCAGGTCCCACCCACGCTACAAGGGAGAGGATCACACAGGGCACGAGCAGGAGGGGCAAATGTCACCGGTCCCACCCGGAGTCTACCCACCACATCACCTCACAGTCCTTTCTCACATCAACAGCCAAGTGATCCTACCAAAACCTATCTCAGATCACATCACCCCCGTAATCGAGACCTTCCAGCATCTCCCCATCAACCAGAGTAAAAGCGGAAGCCCTCCCATTTACCTGTGAGCCCCACCTGATGTGCTGCCTCCCCACCTTCTCTGGCCTCAGCTCCTCCCACTCCCCCAACCGCTCCCTTGCCCCAGCCTCAGGCACAGTCTGCCTCAGGGCCTTTGCACTTGCTGTTCCCTCTGCTGCAACTCCCGGTCCTCATGCCCCAGGTGTCTACAAGACTGGCTTCTTCACCTTCGTAAGGACTCTGCTCACCTTCCCAGACCACTCTTTTTTATTTATTTATTTTTGAGACAGAGTCTCACTTTGTCGCCCAGGCTAGAGTGAGTGCCGTGGCGTCAGCCTAGCTCACTGCAACCTCAAACTCCTGGGCTCAAGCAATCCTTCTGCCTCAGCCTCCTGAGTAGCTGGGACTACAGGGATGCGCCACCATGCCTGGCTCATTTTTTCTATAGATATTAGTTGGCCAATTAATTTCTTTCTATTTATAGTAGAGAGGGGGTCTCGCTCTTGCTCAGGCTGGTTTCGAACTCCTGACCTCAAGCAATCCGCCTGCCTTGGCCTCCCAGAGTGCTAGGATTACAGGCGTGAGCCACCGGGCCCGGCCTCAGACCACTCTTTTTTAAAAGACAACTTAGCCCACCCCACAGCCCCATTCTCCTTACCCTACCTTTGCTTCCATTGCATTTTATCCCCATCTGACAGACTATGTTTAATATATTTGTTTCTGCTTTGCCCCCCGTAGGATGTGAACCGGAGTGAGATGGGAGGAAGACTTTTGTTCACCGTACGGAGGGGAGAGAGGCCAGCCCTACAGCCCGGCCCGGCCCCTCCCCTGCAAACCCCACAGTCATCAGCCTTCAGCCCCGCCCCAACCTGCCAGCCTGGATGGACTTGGTCCCTGGCCCTCCAAGACCCTGTCCTCACCCCAGAAGGCTAGATAGTGGGGAGCCAGGAATCTCTGGTATGTGGGGCCTAGAATTCACCTTGCAGCCCCCAAAACACAGTTTAGCAAGCCTGTTTCTGGGAAACCCCAAATCCAGCCACATGGAGCTGGTCTGTTGGGTTACTGTCTTCCACTGCAGCTTCCTGACTACACTGCCGGAGCCCCCGGGCCTTCTCCCAGGGGTTGCCGCTGCTTCCCAGCCCCTCCCTCTGTTGCTCCCCAGAAGGTCTTGTTCTGAGGCAGGAAGGGTGCCCAAAGTGCAGGCCACCTTCCTTTTGTATCTGCTATTCTGGGAGGCCCTAAGGCCATGTGACACCTCTTTGGATACTCATTGAGAAGGCCAGCTGTCCCCCCGCCCCATCCACAGGGCTCAGCCTACAGCAGGAGGGGTTTCACCTCTTTGGCTTCCTGGTACCTCTTCCCACCTTTCCCATCTGCCTTCCAGGTAGGACCCAGCATGCTCTGGGGCAGGGCCCGCAGGACATAGATACCGTGTTTCCCCGAAAATAAGACCTAGTGATGGGCGTGGCTACGCAGCACATCTGCACAACCCATGCATTTCATCGCAGAGCGGTAAAGACGACGAGCAGCCCTTCTCATCTGCCCCACGAGAGCTCTATTGCTCGACATGAGAGACTGGGGCCGATGGTTCTAAAGGAAATAGAGTCGCAAGAAATTCAGGATGGAACTCGGGGTTTGGAGAGTTATGATGATGTTCCAGAAGAAGACGACTTAACTGTATTTGAATGAATTTAACTGTTGTACTGTACTTAAAAAAAAATAACACATCCCCTGAAAATAAGCCCTAGGGTGTCTTCTTGAGGAAAAATAAATACAAGACCTTGTCTTATTTTCAGGGGAACACTGTAGCTGGTGGCTCCTGCCAAAACTGAATGTCTTCAGTGTGGCTCTCCCAGCGGGAGGGGCTGTGGAGGTTTCTTTCCTTGGAGGATTCTAAGGAATCCGAAGGAGACGGAAGTTCGGCAAGGATGGAGACCAGGGAGAGGCGGCCAACAGCCACTCAGATAAGGCAAGGTTTATTCCAGTGTGCACGGGGAGAGGGTGGACTTCGCACAGCAATTCTACAAACATGTCAATCTCCTTCATCTAACAGGTACGGCCCAGCGGCAGGTCGCGCCGGGGCCACTAAACTGGCCAGTTGCGGTGAGCAGGGGAGAGGGTCGCGCTCAGGCCTTCCCGGCCTTCCCCTGGGACACGCGGGTCTCCGGGGGGGCGCGGCGGAACCACTCGGACCAGGAGCCGTCGTACACGGCCACGTCGGGCTTGCCGCAGAGGTAGGCCGCCAGGGCAATGTGGCAGGCAGTGACCCCCTTGCGGCACGTGGCGATGAGGGGCTGCGAGAGATCCACCTTCTTGTCTTGGAACAGAGCACGGAGCTCCTCAGGGCTCTTCTCGAAGCCGTCCTCAGTCAGGAAGTCCATGAACGGCATGTTGACGGAGCCGCGGATGTGGCCCGAGCCCAGCCCTGGGTGGGGGCAGAGGACACAGGTCAGGGCAGACACGGGGTGGGGCCTGGAGGCCTCACTCAGCGTGGCAAAGTGACATCTTTGCTCTTCTTGAAGCTTGCTTTATTCCCAGCCCTACCTACCATCAGTGCTCATGACCTAAGACATCTGCACCCCCTCCCCTAAAAGCTGTCTTGAAGTAGGGATGTCCCAAATCATAGGTGCTTAAGAGGCCAGAAGTATGAGTTTCAGGTCTACTAACCTTGTCATTATCCTTTACCTGGGCAAGTCACTTCACTTCTCTGAACCTCAGTTTTCTCGTCTGTAAAATGGGCTCAGTGGTACATGCCTATCTCACAGTGTTGTTGAGAAGAGCAAATGAGACAAATTAATGCACATGCTGTGTGCTGTGCCAATGGCTAAAAACACAGCAGTGAAAGGGAGAGACACAGCCCAGGCCCTCCGGGAACTTAGAGTCTAGCAAGGAAGGCAAACATTAAACAGACAACCATGGAATTCATTAAATATGAGGTCACTCCATTTACGGAGGAACACACCAAGGCTTGGTGAAATGGCTCACCTGAGGCCCCACGGAGGGGTAGAGGCAGACCCAGGACTACACTGGGTCCACTGGTTTTCCTGTTAGGCACACAGGTGTGGAAAGAGCACATTACCTGGCGTTAGACATAAGCTCGAATCTCACCTTAAGCAAGTCATGCCAACCCTCTGAGCCTTGGTTTCCCCATGGGTAAAATGGGAGCTAGAGTACCCCCTGTGTCCAGGCCGCTGTAAGGAGTGAGTCACAGGGAGGCACTGGCCCACCCCCTACCGCCTGTGGGGCGGGGGAGAATGGGGCGGCGGTCCCTTCCAGACTCCCCGGAGCACCTCTGAGAGCTGGGATGGAAGCAGAGTGGGGGTCTAGGCTGACTCTGGGGTCCTTCCTGGAACCGTCTAGGCACCCAGTGAGGTCCTTGTGCCAAATCTGGCGTCAGAACAGCCAGCAAGTGGGGCGCAGAGGAGCAGGCCAGGCCAGAGCTGGCGCCGCCCAGAGGGCCGAGGCCTCAGGCCGGTGCCTGCGTGCCCCAGGCTGCTCGTGTCTCCCTCAGGCCCACACCCTGGCAGACCCGGGCACCGGGAGTGGGGCCCGACAACCCCACCACCCCAGGAAACCTGGGCTGTGCGGGAGGCAGGCGCAGGGCGGTGGGAGTGGGAGGGGAAGGACCCAGCGTGTGGCCAAGGCTCATCTGAGTCACGTGTGGCAGCCGCAGCCAGGCAGGCCCTGCACCCGAGCCTCGGTCTCCCTCCCGTGGGACGGGGAGAGCCTCACCCACGTCACAGGTGCGAGGGAGTTTAGTTAGCACAGGTAAAGCCCCCGGAGACCCCAGACACTCAGTAGGTGCACAGTCATGCCAGCGATGTCCCCGTCCCCACACCCAAGGCCAAAGGGGATTCCAACACTCACTAGGACAAGTCAAGAAGAGTTCTTTGATTGAGTAGACGTCCCAACTTAGAAGATTATAGAATTTCTTCCTGTTGTGATTTCATCTTTTTGCCAGGAAACTTTAATCTGAGATCAGATGTGTGCTAACCCTGCCAGTGAGGAAGAGCTCAGCTGCTGGCTTCAAGAACATTCTTCCCTAGGAAAGCCAGCTTCCTTTTTTTTTTTTTTGAGACAGAGTCTCCCTCTGTCACCCAGGGTAGAGTGCAGTGGTGTCATCGCAGCTCACTGTAATCTCAAACTCCTGGGCTCAAGTGATCCTCCTGCCTCAGCCTCCCGAGTGGCTGGGACTACAGGTGTGCACCACCATACTTGGCTAATTTTTCTAATTTTAGTGGAGACAGGGTCTCGCTCTTGCTCAGGCTGGTCTTGAACTCCTGAGCTCAAGCGATCCTCCCGCCTCAGCCTCTCAGAGTGCTAGGATGACAGATGTGAGCCACAGCAACTGGCCGAGAAACCCAGCTTTAAAATGTTTCAGCGTCCAGGCAGTGGGCTGGCTTTCAGTGTGTGTAAAAGCACAAATGTGGGCTGGGTGCGTGGCTCACGCCTGTAATCGCAGCACTCTGGGAGGCCGGGGCGGGAGGATCGCTCAAGGTCAGGAGTTTGAGACTAGCCTGAGCAAGAGCAAGACCCTGTCTCTACAAAAATAGAAAGAAATTAATTGGCCAACTAAAAATATATAGAAAAAATTAGCCGGACATGGTGGCACATGCCTGTAGTCCCAGCTACCTGGGAGGGAGGCTGAGGCAGGAGGATCACTGGAGCCTAAGAGTTTGAGGTTGCTGTGAGCTAGGTGGACTCCACGGCACTCTAGCCAGGGCAACAGAGTGAGACTCTGTCTCAAAAAAAAAAAATTAAAATAAAATAAAACAAAACACAAATGTTTGAATAGGGCTCTGTTCCTTTGCCCCCTCCCTGATGAAGCAGCTGTGTTGGTTCCTTCTGATCATGCACAGGGCCCCTCTGCCGAGCACAGATGGGGCCAGGGCGCTTTTGTGGCATCCGGCCTCCCATGCCAGGCGGCCTCGGAACGTGGGGTCCTCCTTTTCATCTCTGCCACGGAGGGCTCAGGGCCTGCCTGGGGAATTTAAATGAGCAGGCACCAGCGGGGGCGTGTGTGTGGGAAGGGCCACCATGGAGCTGGGCCAGAGAACCTGGGAGAGCAGCCAACTGGAGGAAAGGTGCACGGGGCCTGGAGGCAGGGACCTGCTGTTCCTTCTGAGTCCAGGCAGCTGCAGCCTGGTGGCTCTCCCCGCTCCCAGCAGGAGGGCCACCATTCTCACAACCTCTGACACCAGCCACCCTGAAGGCAGCTTCTCTCAAGAACTTTATCTTCCTCAGTCCTCACAAAGCCAGAGAGGTAATCCTCCCAGCACAGATGGGGAGCCCAGGCTCAGAGAGGTGAGGTAACTTGCCCCAGGACACACAGCAAAGGTGTGCCAAGTGAAATCAGACTGGTCCTGCCCCAAAGCCTGAGTTCTCTGACCACCCTGAGCCTCCCTGGAAAAGGAGGCCGAGGCAGGGACTGGAAGAGACGAACCTCTCATGCTCTGCAAAGGCTCCGATGCCTGGGACTTTGGGTTCCAACTTTGGCCAAGAAGACACCAGACAAATTGGCGAGCTAACATCCCTCATCCACTGACAGGTGTGGATTCTCAAGGCCAGGAAAACCTGTCTGGCTCTTTCTGGTTTCCTCCTAAGGACCCTAAAGGCACTAAGGAACCCAGCACGGCAGCCCTGCACCCTCCCACTTCCCTCAGCCCAGGGAGGGAGGGACAGTGGCAGAGGGGCCCCTTGGTCTCATAAAGCAACACCACGGAGCTGTGACCTTTCTCCCAGTCCCTGGGTTTGCTCTCAGCTCACCACACCCACAGCAGTGGCCTTGGGGAACAGCCAGCCCCACTTAGATGCTGCTGACCCTGGTCCAGTCTTGGGCCCTCTGCACCACTAAGGTCTCTTCTTGCTTCCCCAGCTGTGAACTGGGACCAGCCCGCCCGCCTCCTCCCTGCATGGCTGCCGCAGGCGCCCAGAAGAGCCGGATGTGAAGGGTTCTGCAGGTAACGGGTCAGTGTCCTCTTCACCCTCACCCCGCCAAGCGGAGAGGTAGAAGACAAACTGGAGAGGACAAACTCGGGCCTGTTTCCCTCACTTCCTGCAGCCCTCCTTTAAGCTGTGCAGAATTTGGTTCACAAACTGGGAGAAGCATTCAAGGTGAAGGGAATTGCCTGAGGCCACACATTAGTGCCACACGTGGATGTAAACTCAGGTCTGTCTGACTCCTCTGCACTCCTTACAAACAGGATGGAAGGCACTTGGGGACACAGAGCTAAGGCCAGAGGGGAAGTTCATGCCTAAGGCCCTGCTTCCAGCTCCTCCTAGGGTTGCTCCTTCCAGGGACACGCAGGGCCAAGGCCTGTCCCCCAGGCCTGCCACCTGCATGCACACCCCCCCGTGTGCTGCATCTGGACTGCTGAACCCACAGGGTGCCTCCCTGATCCCACCCCAAGCTGGGGACTGTAAGTGTGTGGCTGTAAGTGTAAGAGCCTCATGTGCCTTTGTGTCCCCAAAATGCCTTATGCAGGAGGCAAGCGAACCAAGCAGGGAATGAGATGCCACATCCTCTATGTCTTTCAAGATGGCCCTGGCCTTGGGACAGTTCCTTTTCTTTCTCAAAATCCCTTTCCAGCCATGGCAGCATTTAAATAAATACACACCCAGGGTAGGCCTGCTGCTACTTTTCTCATTTCATCATAAGGAAGCCCAGATTGGCCAAGCAATTGGATGGAGGTCCCCCACAAAGGAGTGGCTGAGCTAAACTGAGACTCCCTGCTCCCTGGTGCTCCAGGTGGGAGCTGGAGGAGGTGGGAACAGGATCCTGGAGAAGAGGAGGGACTTCAGGAGGCATTTCCTGCCACAGGCTGTTTCCCCTCTCTGAGCCTCCCTCCTCTGTCTGCAAAGTGAGAGGGGCTGGGCCTGGCACCTCCAAGCTCTTCCTTTCACTTAAGTCTCAGGCTGCTTCAGGGCAGGCCAGGAAGCAGCCAGAGAACCGCCCCCACTGTTCCTCCCCCAGGGGCAGCTTAAGTGCCAAGGAGAGGAGGCCTCTGAACCAAGGCCACAGGGGGACTGCAGGTGTCCCACGCCAGGAGTCTCTGGAAGGTGCCAAATGAACTTGAATCTTCAACTCCAGACCTTCAGAGAGCAAGCTAGGGAGAAAAATATGGGCATGGAAAAAGCCTCGCTGGGGAAGGCAGAGCCTGCACTCCCCTGGCTCTGCCACTAACTAGCTGTGTGGCCTTGAGGCCCGCCTCTGTGCACCTTGGAGTCCCCTGTCTGATGAGGTAAGCTTTCAGGCCTCAGCTCTGAGCATATGCAAAACAGCTTTCCTAGCAACCTCGCCCTTGGAGGTCCAGACAGGAAGAAATTTTTTTCAACAAGTTAGGTAAAATGTTGCTCATGACTTAGACTCTGTAGAGGAGGAGCTCTGACTGAGGAAAGAGCCACCATGACGGTGCTGGCCACCCTGAGCTGCGAGAGGCCCCGGGGAAAAGTGAGGTCCCCACCACCTGCCACTGCAGGTGTCTGGGCAGGCACTGGAGGGCACCTAGCAGGAGTGATGACAGCAAGACTCTGGTGGGAAAGGCAAGACCTCCGGGGGCCTCTCTGGTTAGGAGGTTCTAACACTCAGCATTTCCTCTCCTGAGGTCCCCCCACCCCTCAAACAGTGTAGAATCCTCCCAGCCTCCCCTTCCACAGGAGGAGGACTCATGAGCCATCTCCCTAGGGATGTCTAGCAGAAGGGACTTCCTCCTAGCCCTGGGAGGTGGAGGTGGGGCAGGATGAGACGCATCCTGGTTTAGTGCCCTGCTTTGAAACAAGGCAGCGCTGGGTTCGAATCCTGCCTTCTACCACTTAACTGAGCAAGTAACTTAACGTCCTGGCATCTCAGTCCCATCTCACTGCTGGCATGGGGTATTGTTGGATGGGATAATGCAGCGCCAAGCATCCAGCATGAACTGGCAGCTGCTGTTACAGCTTTGCAGACAGGCTGCAGCTGCTTGGGAAAGTTATCAGCCAGGCTGACTCTTGCAAACACCAGTACAGGAGCCCAGGAGAGCCAAATGGAGGGAGTGGGACCTGGGGGAAGGCACTGCTGATGTCTGCAAGGGTTTCTGGGGGACTAGAGAGGCCCTGGGAAGCTGAGGTGTCCTTGGGAGCCTTCTGTACAGCCATGGAATTTGGCCCATGGGCATGAGCCCTTGGGGTACCCTAGTGCACCTGGGGGAGCTGATGCCTGGGAGTGGATGTAGGTGAACATGTCACCAGTCACTTCTGCTGATGCCACTCTACATGGATGCTAGGGCAGTTGTTAGCGCATGGCTATGGGGACATATTTATAGGTTCACATGCGTGAGAGCTGAAGAAGCCTTTAGGTTTGGCTCCACCCTCTTATTTTAAGGATAGAAAGACTGAAGCCTACAAGTGGGTTCTGACGGCAAGACCCGGAGCGGTTCCCTGTCATCCTTACTCCCTATCCCTGCATTGGGCAATACTCCCTGGGGCCCACTCACCACTGGGACACCTACCTACTGCATCCGGCTCCGGCTCGGTGCCCAGGTACCGCCCTTGGGACCGTGAATCCACCAGCCGGAACCTCTTAGATTCGAGGTTCTCCAGCACCTGCTCATAGGTCTTGAGCAGGGAGCGGTCCAGTGTGGCTTTGAAGATGGCCGGCTCTGGGTGTGAGGGCTCAGATGTCACCGGGTGGCCCTCCTTCAGCCAGTTCCGGAAGCCACCATTGAGCACTGACACTGTACGGTGGCCAAACACACGGAACATCCACCAGACCCGAGGAGCATAGAAGCTGCCCAAGTTGTCACCGTCATACACCACCACGTGCGTGTGGTTGCTTATGCCCAGGCGGCCCACGTAGTCGGCGAAGCTCGCCTCGCTGGGCAGCATCATCTCGTAGGGCGACGCCGTGTCCCGGCACTCCTCTATGTCAAAGAAAGAGGCGCCGGGCACATGGCGCTCTAGGTACTCCTTGCGGGCGTCACGGGTGCCCGGTGAGTACCAGGATGCGTCCAGCACCCGCAGGCCGGGCCCCAGCTTGCCAGTCCGGACCGACTCCGCCAGCCACCTGGTGGAGACCAGCGCCCGGTAGAGCACCTGATGAACCATGGTTTCAGCTCTGCGTGTCACCTGGCGCGGGTGGGAACCAGGAAAGAGAGACAGGTGTGAGGAAGGCTATGCGTACTGTGGGTGGGGCCCGGGAGGAGGAGCTGTTTCTCCCACCACACTCCTCGAGGGTGTGGCGTCTATAGTCACCTAGGGTGCCAGGGGCGTGCGCGGCGGGGTAGGTTAGGTTCGAAGATTCCCAAAGGAAAGCCGGCCCCGCCCCTCCCGGGGCCCAGCGCAAGGGGGCGGGTCAAGAGCTCCCGAGGGCCCAGGTGGGGGAGCAGGCCGGGAGGGCGTCTGGCCCCTGCAAGCTACAATACTCGGTCCTGCCAGAAAAGCGCAGAGAAAACATGCCCAGGACTGGGGAGATGGCATCCTGGACTGAGAATCCCCGTTCCTGGGAAGGCAGAGGGGTGGGCGCACAGGGGAAGCGGGCCCGGGGACCCCCATGCGCCCTCGCCCGCGGCCTCTCGGCAGCCCGGCTCGCGGACTCCACAATGCCCGAGTCTGGCCCTGGCTCGGTGCCCTCTGCCCTAGTTGGGCCAGGGGTTCCCAGGGCTCCCCGTCCCACTCTTGCCACCGGGATCCATCCCTGGGCCGCAGGTGGCCCGGCCAGCGACCTAATCCCCAGCCGTCCTGGCGCCTGGCCACCGCCCCCGCCCCGCCGCACTCACTCGCCCTGGCCGCCGCGCTGGCGCTCGCCCCGGCCCGCTGGAGAAGTTGGCGGGTTCAAACCCCGAGCTCACGGCTCCCCAGGCGGCCTGCACCATCGCGCCGCCGTCCGAGGGGGGACCCCGCGCCGTCAGCCGCGACTCCGCGCAGTCCTCGCGCCGCTGCGCTCGTCCCCCGCCGCCCCTGGCGCGCGGCACCTCCCAGACCCGCGGGGTGCTGCTGGGGTCACCCGGCGGCGCGGGGCAGGCGCGGGGCCGGGCGGGGCGGGGCGGGCGTCCCCCTCAGGCCCGGCCAGTGGAAGGCGCGGGCAGCGGCGGCTCCGAGTGGCCGCGGCGGTGGGCTGTGCCGGAGTCTCCTCCCTTTGGCCGGCCGCAGGTTGGTGGCGGGAGGAGGGGATGGCTGCGGGTGCGGGGAGGGGGCGCCGCACGGCGGGGGCCCTGGCGGAGCGGGGAGGCCCAGAGCCCGAGACCCGGGTAACTGCCGCCGCGTCACGTTTCCTTCCTGGCGGGGGAGGTCGCTCTTTGGGGTGCGCGGCGGCGCGGGGCTGCCCCGCGGGGTCTGAGCGGAGGACCTGCGCAGTCCAGGAGGGAAGGCGCGCGCCAGGTCTGCCCTAAGGACGACTGTCCGCGGCCGCTAGGCGCGGCCTGCAGGGTGAGGTCGTGTTGAGTGGCGGGTGGGGAGTGTGGGTGACCTGGTGCCACCAGAGAGGGTAGGAGGGATGGTGGACGACTAATAGAGCCCTTCAGAGAGGCCAGGGCGACCAGGCCCCACTGACCCAGAGGTTCTAGGAAGAGAAAATGACAGTGAACTTGCTGGAGTGAAAGGAAACTATCATGGGCAGGGCCTGTTTGGTGTGGCACTTTGCTGATACTCCCATGGTGTCTCTTAGTTCCCAAAGTAAGCATGCCAGGTAGGCCAGAAACTTATTTAAAGAAGGGAGAGAGTAGCAGGGCAAGGAGCTGGAGGACACATGCACTTGGAGTTGAGGCTGGGCCTAATGGCAGTCTGAAGCCTAAGTGGTAGTAGCTGCCTTCGTGTACCTGGCTCATGTCTGAGGCCTCATGCTTTTTTAAAAAAATTGCCTTTGTTTTTAATTTAGTCCATTTAATCATAAGTTTCTATACTTTTTAACAGTAGCTGTGTTTAACAACCAGTTGGCAAAATTCCTGAAAATCTAACCATTGGTTCTTGCACACTGGTAGGCCCTACTGTGCTACCCAGCTTTTGCTCCAGCTAGTCTAGAATGCTTTCCTCATCGCCCTTTTCAAAAAACTGGTATTGTTTCGCTACTTCTCACAGTAATCTCCTAAGCCTTGTGCTTGGCAGTGGGGCAGGGAGGCTGCCCAGAGGGACCAGGCTGGGGGAAGTCCTTGAGTGCCCAAGCTCTGCTCCTCCGGGGCCCACTCCGATCTGGCCTGGGGCTCACACTCTCCTTAGTGTAGCCGTGTAGGCCCCCGAGGTGGTGGTATGTTTTGGGGTCCTTCACTCCCAGAACACCCCCACCTACAGTGAGCCTGGCTCCTACGCACACAGACACCGGGTCCCTTTTTCTGGTCTGCCCCTCCGACACCCACAGCCTGTCCTCTCAGACCCTGCTCCACTCCTGCAGGCCTTTGTGAGAACTGCCAGTCAAGCAGAGGCTGGCAGGGTGACCTCAGACCTCTGAAGCCCCGCCCAGCCCCGAAATTCTAAGGTTCTCAGATCTGCTGTTGTCCGTTCAAGGGCCACCTGTGACAGTACCGGAAGAAAGAATGGGATTTTATTAAACCATTTTTAATGATTATTCAAACCTGCCATATGCAATGCATTCTGGCGGCCCTCTCCCCTCACTGTTCCATCTCTGTAAGAGGTGGGGCTTGGAAGCTCCATTATGCGGAACAGAAACCACCCAGGGATCCTGACATGGCCACCAACACACCACCAGTTAAACAGCAGAGTGGGGTTTGTGCTGCTTTGGGGAACTCTCTGACTCCCAAACACAGTCCTTTCCACTCTAAATGGATCCTTGGGGCTGGGGGAAGAAAACCAAAGAGGATCCTTCTGAATGGGGGGAGGGGCTGCTGTGCTTCACAAATGGGTTCTTCAAGAAGGAACTGCAGCCCCCTCCAGCATTCCCAGCTGTGGCATAACACACAGAGTACTGGGATCGTCCCTTAGCTAAGCCTCCTTGGCAGCGTCCTCATCCTGAGGGTCAAGCTGAGGTTTCCTGGGCCCCTGAAAGGTCAAATTAGTTTGGATTTTCACTTCCTCCAGGAGCCTTCCCAGGCCTTCTGCTCCCACCCCAGGCTGAGGTCGGGGCCCCTATGTGCTCGTGCTGAACTCTAGACTTTCCTCGGTGACACTGTCTCTCCAGCAGGCCCAGGCCCTGTCTGTACCCCCAGGGCCTGGCAAAGTCAAGAGTTCCTCAGCGTCCAGCACAGGGCCAGACTGTGTGGGCGAAGTGGGTTCCTAAAAGCCAGCCGAGACGATGCTGTAGGGGGTGGGGTGGACACAGAGTAGCACACTGTGGACTCATTATGTCCTGGTCATCACGGCCCCTGGGGCTAGGGAAGTCAGCCTTAGGAGCTGAATTCTGGCTTCAAATCCTGAGGCTCCCCTGCCCAGCTCTGTGGCCGAGGGCAAGGCACTTCTCCAACTGCCCGTTGCCCCATTCATAAAGCAGGCCTGCTCATGCCTACCCGAGGCTGGGTGCTGGACGTGTGGCCTGGCCACAGGGAAGCACCACCGATGTGTTCTCCACCCCCCCCATCCGCTGGCAGGACGGCCTGGTGTGGATGGAAAGGTTGTGCCTGCACAGGGGCCAGCTGACCTGCAGCCCCCACTCTGCATACTCAGCCTCGTGCCCTGGTGGGGGCTCTGCCTCCGCCTGGCGAAGGGGCCCTTTTCTCTCACCTGCACAAAGGCACCTTCTAGACTGAGGCTGCCCAGCACAAAAGACTTAAACGTGGAGACTGCACCCTGGAAGGCCGAGGGCTGGCACGCGGCTGGTGAGCTGGTGCGCTCTGGGCCTCTGGCTTGCAGGCGGGGAGGGGAAGAGAGGTGCTGAGTCACTGTCGCTGCTGCTAATAGAAGGGCTAGAGAGAACCTGCAGGCTGGAGGGGCAAAACCTGGCCTTGCGGTGCTCCCAGAACCAGCCCAGCGAATGCTGCTAAACAGTATGTCGTGCCAGACTGCATACTGTGAAGCCTGGCGCCACCAGGTCAGGTCTGCGCACTTCTGTGAGCCTCAGCGTCCCCCTCCATGAAACGGTGACAATAACACCAAACCTCTTAAGGCTACTCATCCAACAAATAATTGAGAGTTTACAGTGTCAGGTCTTGTGAGGGTGAAAGGGTCAGGAACCAGTAAATTCCAGCTACTGTTCCTAGGAGGCTAATGTAAATGCCTGAGGAGTGAGTGGACAATTCCAGCAGGGACCTTGGCTGGTTGCGAATGAAGCTGGGCTGCCTCTGAGGGAGGGGCTGAGACTTTGCCCCAGTTTGCCTTAAAGCGGCGGCAGGGCCTTCCCCTGCACAGACCTCTGCACACTTCCCTACTGCTCAGCAAGTGGAGAGGAGGCACCCTGGCGCCTGGCCCTCTCCAGGGCGTCAAGGTCTTTCAGTCGCTGGGAGCTGTGTATTGATCCAAGGCCGGGCTGCGGGAGGCCCCAGGCCACAGACGTTGTGCTGGAGTTCAGCCGCTGGAGTCTGCATTCCCCTAGAGACCGCCCTGCCCGGCCCCACCTTCCTCAGGGCCCTTGCCCCAGCACCAGCGGCGCGCGGGCGTCTCCCGCCCCACGGTCGCCTCTTCTTTCTTAACTCCTGGCATCCTCCCCGTTGCACAGGCCTGCCACTCGGGTGTCGCCGCCGCCATGGCCCCTCCGCAGCTCTTCCGCGCACTGGTGTCGGCGCAGTGGGTGGCTGAGGCGCTGCGGGCCCCGCGCGCCGGGCAGCCCCTGCAGCTGCTGGATGCCTCCTGGTACCTGCCCAAGATGGGCCGCGACGCGCGCCGCGAGTTCGAGGAGCGCCACATCCCGGGCGCCGCCTTCTTCGACCTGGACCAGTGCAGCGACCGCACGTCGCCCTACGACCACATGCTGCCCGGAGAGGCGCAGTTCGCCGAGTACGTGGGCCACCTGGGCGTGGGCGCGGCCACGCACGTCGTGATCTACGACGCCAGCGACCAGGGCCTCTACTCGGCCCCGCGCGTCTGGTGGATGTTCCGCGCCTTCGGCCACCACACCGTGTCGCTGCTCGACGGCGGCCTCCGCCACTGGCTAAGCCAGGGCCTCCCGCTCAGCTCCGGCAAAAGCCACCAGGCGCCCGCCGAGTTCCGCGCTGAGCTCGACCCCGCCTTTGTCAAGACGTACGAGGACGTCAAGGAGAACCTGGAATCCAGGCGCTTCCAGGTGGTGGACGCCCGCGCCGCCGGCCGCTTCCGCGGCACCGAGCCCGAGCCCCGAGACGGTGAGAGCGCAGGCCGATGCAGGGGGCTGGGAGGCCTGGGGCGTGGCGTGTGCCCTGGGCACTGGCCTAGGCTTGCCCCGCCTCTGGGGGACCCGCAGGGCTGGGGGAGGAAGTTTGGTTTCTAGTAGCTGCACTCTAAGTCCCACTGGCTTTATTGGTAAAGCAGAGCCATAATGCTAACACTCGCCCGGTCCCCTCCTGCGGGCTGCCGCTGCCTGGGGTGCCCGGTGTAAGTATGAGACCCACACAGCTCTCCCCCAGTCCTATGAGTGTGTGGGGTCACTGCAGAATGGGGTGGGGGCATTGCGGGCCCCAGTGTGGGAAAAATCCCAGAGGTGAGTGGAGGGGGCGTGAAATAGAAGTGGCTGCTGAGCCTTTTGCCTGTGGGCTGGGTCTCCCCAGGCAAGAAGCCTGTGGGAAAGTATAATGCAGGGACCACAAAGCAGTCTGGTCAGTGGCCATGTTGGTGTGAGCCTTCGAGAATCCGGTGGGGCGGGTCCTGTCATCGTACAGAAGAAGAAGGGGAGTCTCCCCGGGTCTCGGGAAGCAGCCCAGGCAGGGTTCAGCCCGCTCCAGCACCTGCAGGGCTGCCAGGAGCTGGCCACTGCTGGGAAGCGCTCTGGGTGGCCATGGCCAGATCAGGGGCGGAGCTTCTGCTCTGTACTTCCGAGCGGGCTCACCCTGGCCCAGCACTGTTTTGGATGGCCTGAGGGCAAGGACTGTCCCTGCTCCCAGCACATTCTGGGGCTAGCCCAGTACTGGCACAGAGTCAGGTCCCAGAGAGGCTCGGTGAATTCAGAAAGTCCCTGCCACACAGAATGCTGTCCAACAGCTTTGATATTACTCCAGTCATAGGAAACGGCAGATAGCCAACCATTTTTGAACCTACCTAGGTGGCAGTTTTGTGTGGTTCAGCCTAATGAGGGCACCACCTTGATCCTGTTGGTGTCCCCCAGCTCAGCCCCCGGGGTGGGGTGGAGCAACATAGGGCAGCCAGCTGGGTGCCAACCAGAGCCCTGCCCACTTGCATGGACTGTGTGACACCTTGCAGTCACCTCGTCTCTCCTATCTGTGTAAGCTGGGAGCGGAACGCAGAGCATGAAGGGTGCAGAGGCCGTGGTGTCGAGATGGACTGAGTTCAGCACCACGAAACCAGTGGTGCACACCGTCACTGCCACCATCGTTCCCACCCCGCAGCCTGAGGTCTGGCCAAGTGCACCTGTAACTTGCCGCATCGGGCCAGCAGTCAGGGGAAGCACGCTCTGCTTGGTGGAGTTCACGGTGCGGGGACCGCCCTGCTTTATCTTTTGCTGCCACCTGGCTTGAGAGCTTGCTCTTCCTCCTCGCTCTGGGCTGGTCCCTGTAAGGTCTCTGGCTGATCCCAGTCTCTGCACCTGGTAGCGGGGATGACAACCCACCCCAGCCCCTCCTCGGCCCCAGGAGTGCCGTCTGTACGCTGCACTCTGAGAATAGACGCCGCCCTGGGCCAGCAGCTCCCATGGGGCTCTCACCCCACTGTGGAGGGACACTGAGGCGGGAGCCGCCCTAGAGTCCAACCCTAAAGTCCGAATGGCTCAGATTTCAGTCATTAGCTGTGATGGTCTATTTTGTGGCAAAATCTCAGTCCTTTTATGAAAATGGGAATATTAGTAACACCCACCTGATGGGGGGTGGGGAAAACAAAATATGTGTTTTGTTTTCAGGGGTTTGCAGAGATGTGGGTGAGGTGGTGATCCTCTCAATTAATAGTTCTCTGGGTTTGCCCATCCTCCTCTTCCTGCTGCAATGAAAACAATCTTTTACAAATGGAAATACAGTTTCCTTTGGTCTCCCTCCAGGCCAAGTCATCCAGGCCCCCTTCTGATTCCTCTCCAGCCTCTGCCTCCCCCCTGTCTGGGCTGTCTTCACGTGACCTTTAGCTCCTCCAAGCAACATGCAATTCCCTGCACCCATGGGATTCCCTCCACCTGGGAGTTCTGCGCCTCCACTGCCCAGACCCCTTTACCTGGCTGAACCCTACTCACCTTTCGGGGTCTTCTCGGAGAGGCGTCCTCCACCCCAGGCACAGCCCACTGGGGTTAAATCCTCTCAGCTTGGGCAAGGTGGTCTTTGTGCTTCATTCTCTTCATCTCTACAAAAGAGAGGATGTTTCTTTCCCACAGAATTTTGGGCTGGGTCAAAGGAGAAAATACAGGTGAGGGGTTCCAAACAGTGCCTGGCACAAAGTAAGCCTTCAATAACAGCAGCTGTTGTCACTACTGGTGTCGTTTTTGTGACACCCTCATGCTTGTGATTACTCGGTTATTGCCTGTCTGCCTGCCAGACCCAAAGCCCTTGCCTGCAAGTGCTGCGTCCTAGCTAGGCAGGGGTCTTATCTATTGCTTTGTTGTCCCCAGGACACATAGCTAGGAAACTCTGGGGGCCAAGTGTGGCTCTGGTGGCGTCTGATTCTCAGGTTCAAACCTCAGCCAGCAATTTGCTAGGTGCTTTGACCTTCAGAGGCACTTAGCCTCAGCATCACCATCTGTAAAATGGGAATGCCTCTGAGTAGTGCCTGGGTTTCATGGTGTGAGAACTGACCGAGATGGTGCGCATGGAGGGTTTCGAGCCGTGCTTGCACGGGAGGCTCTCAGCACCCCAGGCACCGCAGACGTGGGGTGCCATTCACACCAGCCTTCTGCATGTTCCCTCCCTCCTGCCCCCGCTGCAGGCATCGAGCCCGGCCACATCCCCGGCACTGTGAACATCCCCTTCACGGACTTCCTGACTGGGGAGGGCCTGGAGAAGAGCCCTGAGGAGATCCATCACCTGTTCCAGGAGAAGAAAGTGGACCTGTCCCAGCCGCTGGTGGCCACCTGTGGCTCGGGCGTCACGGCCTGCCATGTGGCCCTGGGGGCCTACCTCTGTGGCAAGCCCGACATACCTGTCTATGACGGCTCCTGGGTGGAGTGGTACATGCGCGCCCAGCCCGAGGACATCATTTCCGAGGGCCGGGGGAAGACCCACTGAGGCCGGGCCCGCGCACGCAGGTTGGGCGGTGCCCGGCCACCAGCAGCGCACAGCCTGGTTGTTCCGACTCCGCTTTAACCAACAGAGTGCTTCTGTAGCCAGCTCAATTGCATCTGGGGTGACATCCAGAGGCCAGGAATTCCATTGACTTGTGGGCTGCCAGTGGAGCCCGGAGAAGGGGGGGGGCAGGCACGGTGGGGTGGGGGAAGGGGGGCGCAGGGCTCCGAGCTGCCCCTCACTGCCGAGCCGAGGCCCCGCCTCCCTTCCCTTTTACTCTTGAGGAAATAAAACTGACAAGTGCCAAATCCTGTAGCTGTGGGGCTGCCTCAATGTTCCTAAGGAGCCAGGGGTTCCAGCATGCACCCCCCCCGGCTGCTCTGGGGGTCTGAGGTTTTGGGGACCCTGTCTCTACCTTTTGAACAGTGCTGGAGTCCCAGAGCCCTGGAATGGCCCCTAGCAAATGGCCCTCCACCTCGTAATCCTGAGGGTGCCTCCCTTCTGGCTTCTGGGCTATTTAAGGTGAATTTTGCTGTGACATGTCTGGGCTCCCACTAAAGCAGCCCCCGCCCCAGGTACCCCTCACTTCAAGGAAGAGATGGGCCCAGAGCTTAAGAGGAGGCCGTGCCAGCCCAGCGAGGACGCTCTGGGGAAGGGCCGCGTCTGGCTGGGCTGCAGAAGAGTCTGGTTCTGACGCTGGGAGTTCACGCTTGGAGGCCGGCCTCTGGAAACTGCCCGGTGCGCAGACGCAGAGCATGGTCCTTTCTGCCCAGGGAGAACATCTTCCCCGCTGCCCAAGGGCAGGGCCGCATCCTCCTCCCTCTGGATTTATCCTGTGTGAGGAGGTGGACTGGAGTGTCTAAGGTGGGCCCAAATGTCCCCCAGGACCCTCCCCATCTTTCGAGCCCCCAGACACTGTCTCAGCCGCAAAGGGGCAGCGTCTCATCAGTCGTCACTGTGGGGAACCCTAGAGGTTACCTTGTCCAGCTTCCTTTGGAAACAAAACCAGAGAGGGGCAGTGACTTACTCGGGTCACGCTGTGAGTCTATGACAGAGCCAGGACCAGATCCCGGTTTCCCGACTCTGAAGTTCCTCCTGTTCCACCTGGCTCTGCGTCCCATCAGCTCCCCTCGGGGGCTGAGTCATTCCAACCCACAGGGGTGGGGAGGAGCCCACAGCACTGAATCTTGGTTTTATAAATACGAGCCCAAAGCAAGCCCAACCTCTCTGCGCGTCAGTCCCCTCATCTATAAAATGGGAATAGTGTGTACCGCGGAACAGGGAATTCAGACAGCAACCTTTCCAAGGGCCCATGGCAGAGTCCCGCTTTTCTGCCCTCAGCCCTGCGCCATTTGGGCTGGGCCATTCTTCACTGTAGGTTGCTCAGCAGCACGTCTGGCCTCTGGCCTCGGATGCCAGTAGCACCATCCAACTGTGACAACCAAAAATGTCTCCAAATGGCCAGATGACCCCTGGAAGGCAAAAATCACCGTGAGTTGAGAACCACTGTGTCTAGAGCAAATAACACAGTTGACCACAGTAGCCAGGAACAGTGTAGACAGGGAGCCCCAACCTGCAGGGCCCGTGATAAGGCCCTTCCCCTGGAGCTGAATTAGCAGGTTAGAAACCCCCTTCCTTTCGTGCTGTTCTCAGACAAGACGTTTTCCCTCCCTGGAATTTCTCTGCCCTTCAAGGAGACGAGCTTGTCTGCAAGCACGTGAGGTTCTGATCTGGCCTCCGGTCCCAGCCGCTCCACGCGGGCTGCCTGACCTTGGCCACGCCGCTGAGTCCAAAATGGGCACAGTAGCGCCTTCCTGGGAAGTATGATGACGAAACGAGGTAATCCACAGAGACTTCAGCTTGGTGCCAGACCGAGTAATCGCCAGTATCACCATTATTTCTCAAAGGACTTTTTACTTAGTATGTTAGGTGCCATCTGCACCTCTGGCATTGGGGGAGAAGGAGCAACAGATACGGGAATTGTGTGCCTGTCCTCACAAAGCTTCCAGACCAGGGAGGAGGAACTGGTCCATTATATCGTATTTCCAGGGAGAAAGGAGTACTGTGAAATGATCTGCTTTGCAACAGGTGAGAAAACAAGCTCAGAGAGGTTGAGCAATTTGCCTAAGGACACACAGCTAGTTTGAGAGAGGAGCCTAACTAGAGTCAGAATTCTCAGGGTAGGAGCTTCTAGTGGGTCTGCCTGTGGTGGTCTTCCAGATTTTAGGATCAAGGCAAGAATAGAAACATGTGTGACAAGCTCATGGGAGATGTCCCCAGCTCCAGAAGGAAACCCTGACCGGTGGTATTTGGGCAAGGGGTTTTGGTTAGGCTCCCTCGCCCCACCGAGTCCAACCTCCAGCTGATCCAAGCTGGGGCTTTTCTCTTCTGGGAAGGTCCTTGAGTCTGGACAGTTTCAAAGGTGACCTGCCCAGAGGTGAGAGAAAGGAGATCTAACCGTGCCTGTCTAGGGTTCACGGAGCTTTGGTTTAACTTTGCAAGAGTTTGCGAGCAACGATCCCGACCTTTGTGTCCTGCCCCCCAGAAGCCTGAACTCCTGGAATAATTAGCGCTTGCTGCAGAGGCCTGGCCTGGGCCCGACGCCCCACCCGCCCCTTGTGTTCGAGGCAGGAACTTGCAACACTGGGCAACAAGGATGATGAAATTGCTGTCCGCTTGGCAAATATTTGCTAAGCACCCCTGTGTCAGGGGCAGTTGGAAGCGCATTTCCCAACCTTGTCTAACCAGCTGCACTGGAATGTTTCCACTCCCTGGGTCACTGCCTCGAGGGGTCAGGGTCCGAAGCCCCATCCACACAGTGGACCCAATGATGGATCAGTGTGGCGATTTGGCCCTTGTGCTGTGGAGTCGGCTTTGCGCCGGGCCCCAGAAGTTCTGCCTTCCTGCCAGGGCCTCAGTCTTCTCATCTGAGAAACGGGAGTAAACTCAGTTCTGCCACGCACAGGGTGGGCGTGATGTCAGATAAGGTAAAGCTCAAAATAAAGTGCCACACCTGCTGGAATAATCGCAGCCATATAAAAGCACAATGGGGCTTATTATCCGTGGAGAATGAGTCATTTGGGGGAAGATGAAATGTTCAAGTTAACTGAAGGTGTCATCATTTTAAGCACCAAAATTTTTAGCACATTAACCTGTTGGGGGTGGAACGTGGCATACTGAGTGTACCTGGACTCCCGGTGGCTTTGTTGCCCAGTGGTAACCTGCAGGGGCTGCTGGCCCCTAAACTAAATGGGCCCCACTGTTACGACTTGTTGGTACTCAAGTCCTTGATATTACAAACCGTCCTCACTGGCTGCCCTTGCAGTTTGCTGTCTGTGTCCTCCAGCGTCCCCTCGGCCTGCTCCCAGGGGAGCCCCCTCCCTGGATAATGTCACCCGTTCCGATGGCCACACACTGTGCAGAGCCAGTGACTGTGGCCCTCCGGGAACTTGCACTCTCCTGAACTCAGATCCCTGCGTCCCTGCCTGCTGGGCCCCTCACCTGGTCCTCCGCCAGTGTCCCCGTCTCAGTGTGCCCGGCCCCCACCCAGGGGTGGCCGTGCCCAGACTTGGCAGCCGGTGATCTGAGCCTACACTGCCCTTAGCCACGTCCAGTCAGCACCAGGGCCGGTGGGGCTCCACCTCTTCCCACTGCCTTGGCCCAGGTACCCGCCAACCCCGAACACACACACACACACACACGCAGCCTGTCTCTTCCGTTAGTGCCGGTGCACTTCCTGGGGACAGGCCCCGTACCAGGATCGGGGGCATGGAGGATGAAGACAGCCCCAGGGAGGGGCCCTGGCCTGGTGGGGAGGTGCAGCCACAGACCTGGCGACGTGTGTGGAGTACCTGAGAGACGGGACACGAGAGCCCTAGGACGTGAGGGCCGCTTCTGGGTTTGAGAGGTGCCTCCACTCGGGCCACCAGCCCCTTTTACTTCCGAGCTCCCTGGACGGTGCCCCCTTGCGCTAGGTGAGGACGCTGCAGGAGACGGGTTCAAAGTGCGGCCTCTGCGGCACCCTGACTTCTATTCCCTGGCGTGTGTGTAGGCAGGGGCCTCAGTGTCCTCGCCGGTGACCCGGGGTGACCCACTCTGTAGGAGTGCTGTGGGGATGGAACGACTTGATTCATACACAGCACTGAGAATGGAAGCTGGCACAGTGAGCAGCAAATAAGCGTTTGTTATCGATGTGACTACTTCCCTGGTGTCCTGTCCTGCACGCCGCTCCTGCCTCCCTTGGCGGGGCTGTGAGCCCTGGACGGGCGATACATCCTATACGTGTTTCCCTTCTGGCACCAGCAGAGTGACTGACACGGACGGGGTGTTGGGGCTCAAAACATTACCCGAAATGTTGTGCTTGACATGAAGCAGCCTCGAGGTCTCGCTGACCCCCCTCGTCCTGTCTCTCAGTCCGCTGTCCCTCCCGAAGCACAGGGCGAAGCTCTTCTCCGAAGTTCCTTTGTGTACCTAGAAACCAGACCTGCCAAGGGGGACACAGCTGCCTGAAACTGTATTATCTGGGGAAGATTAAAACTCATATCACAGAGGAAGAGACTGAACATTAAACACCCCACGTAGAGCTCAGATGAACTTCGTACCAAACTATCATCTGTTCTCCATCCTATTCAATTTCCAAAGAAAATTATTCACTGACCATTATCTGAGCATTAGGCCCATTCATTTCCTCCTAAAAATAATTGTCCCTCAAATTGCCACATTTCTCCCTCCTCCCTCTCCCCCACAAAGAAGGGTATATAAGCATCTGTGTGCACCCCACTGGGTTCTTGGGTAATCACTGGGATTACCCCATGCTATGCACATCAGAATAAATTTTGTATGCCTTTTCTCCAATTTATCTGCCTTTTGTCAGTTGATTTTCAGCAAACTTTCAGGGAGTGAAGGGGAAGCTTTCCCTTTATCTCTATAGGGGCCCCTGAATGTTTGCCATCCATTGTCGGTTGAGAGAGACCTTAATAATCCTTCCTGTTTATGGAGTGCTTCCCACGAGACAGGGAGAATGCTAAGTGCTCTGCCTCCATTTAATCTAACAACCCTGAGAAATAGGTGCTATTATCCCCGAATTTACAGGAAAGGGAGCATAGACAGGTCAGGTGACTCACCCACGATCACCTGGGCTTTGAGTCCTGGGTAGAGTGACTACAGGGCTTTCACCTGCCACAGGACAGAATTGGGGAGGAGATCACAGAAGGGGACTGGGCTTCTCTTGGGTGGGGAGGTTTCCTAAGCCCCCTACAAACACATAGGCACACATGCATATACACACACACGCATATGAGCACACACATGTTCACGCTTTTGTACACAGGTGAGGAATCAGGCGACCAGAGGCTAATTTAGGTGCCTAGCTAGATGTGCATTCTTTCATATTTTTCTCCAGGACACTTTTTTAAAAAAGATGCGCTCCCTCTCTTTAAAAAGAAGGAGTAACAATCCGCAGAGAAAAATGCAGGGAAGGAGGCAATCATCGGGTGCTAAAACCCAGACACAAGAATTAGCTGCAAGCAGGGACAAACTGCAGGCGGTGTGGCCCAGAATGGGGGGGGGGACCTCCAGGAGTTCCTAGGTGGGTGGGTGTCAGGGGGACTCCATGGAAGTGAAGGAGCAGGCAGGGAGCTAATTGCCCCGGTAGACTTGCTGCTGTCCACTCCTCCTCCTCCTCAGCCTTCCTCCCCTGCCAGCCCCCACCCCCCTCATCCCTCTCCCAGCCTTTCCCTCTTTCCCCATTTTGGAACCGTGAAAGATTTGAAAATCAGCTACAAGCCCATGAAGAAAGCAACTCAAGTAAGAGTAACTGGGCTCAGTGGAGGCCGGAGGGCTTCTCCCCTGAATGTGCGAGTGTTCGGTGCTCATGGGAGCAATAAAAAGGTAGAGCCTCACCAAGGATGGGGACATGTTTTATGCTGCCTGGTTGCCTTTAAAATAAAAGAAGCAGTAGCAGGACATGGTGGTGGTACACATGTGGTCCCAGTGACTCAGGAGATTGAGGCAGGAGGACTGCTGGAGCCCAGAAGTTCGAGGCCAGCCTGGGCAACATAGTGAGATCCCATCTCTTAAAAAAAGTAACAAAAAATAAGAAAGAAAGAAAATAAAAGAAGCAAGAAAACATGTAGATATGAATTTTGTTCACCTCAGTTTATTTCTTTTTCTCCTTATGCCAAGTGGCAGGTAAGTGCTCCCCCACCCCCCACCTGTGGAGCAGGAAGGAATGTAGAAACTCAGTAGCGGACTGCGCCTGCCTTCCGCCAGGCTCAGGCTGCACACGCAGCACCTGAAGCGGGAAGGAGGAGCTGAGCCCGACTCTAGCAGAGGTGAGATGCGTGATGGGCAGGAACAGGCAGAAACTGCTAAGACAGGAGCCACTGTGGACCAGCGGGAAGCTCTAGGCCACCGGCAGCAGCTCTGGGCACCTCTGAGAGCAGAGCAGAGAGGCCCCTGGGGCGCGTGGGCCCTCCGGCATGCCCACCTCATGCTGCCTGCCTGCTTCTCCCTCTCCTGGCTCTGAGAAATCCTGGTTGCCTGACCACCCTTTCTAGGCCCTGCATTCATGTCCAGCCTCTTGCCATCTTGACTTGATGGCCCTTGGTGTGACCCACTGAAGCGTTTGCTCTGGCCGTGCCAGCTCCTGCGTGGACTCGCACTTCAGCCTCCCAAACCCTCACAAGCTCTTCTCTTCCTCCTTTCCTATAGTGTGGGCCGTGCCAAGAGCCAGGCAGCAGCAGGCAGTGGGAGAGGAGCATCATGGGCGAGAAGGGGCAGGAAGGACCCGTAAGACCCCCCTATCCCTTAGAGGCTTGGGGCTTGGCCAGTGGTCAGCGGGGAGCTGGCACTGGGCTTGGCCCTGAAAGGTAGGGTAGGATTGTCAACCTTAGGTGAACCTGAACAGAGAGAGCCAGAAGAAGTTTTGGAACTGAGTCCTTCAAATGCAGGCCTGGAGGGTGAAAGCAGGAAGGAGAGGGAGGCAGGGCCTTGGAGCAGGGGTGGACAGCAGGCAGGAGCCAAGGGAGGAGGCGGCAAGCCCAGGAGGCTGCAGCTCGCCTGGCCTGGCCATTGGTGCAGTGGGGAAGGGTGTGTTGCGCTGGCCGGCACTGCGTTCAGAGTTGGGGCAACATATTGCAATAGAGAGGGAGACACAGTGTCATTAGAGGAAGTCACATGCTGGCCCATCAGGGACAGCACAGTCAAACAGTAGTTGCAATAACTGGGCTGTTGTCATCACACTCACTCACTCACATGCCAATCTAATCTGCTGCCTTTTAAAAAATTGTCCATAAGAATTTATTTATTAAAGACTGAAAAATATATTAATAATAGTAGAACAGACAAGTAGAGGAGATTGTGAATTCACTATTTCTAGTTGTTTTTTTAAAAATAAATTATTTATTTGTTTATGTTTTTGAGACAGAGTCTCACTCTGTTGCCAGGGCTAGAGTGCTGTGGTGTCAGCCTCGCTCACAGCAACCTCAAACTCCTGGGCTCAAGGGATCCTCCTGCCTCAGCCTCCCGAGTAGCTGGGACTACAGGCATGCGCCACCATGCCCAGCTAATTTTTTCTATATTTTTTGAATTGGCCAATTAATTTCTTTCTATTTTTAGTAGAGACGGGGTCTCACTCTTGCTCAGGCTGGTTTTGAACTCCTGACCTGGAGCAATCCATCCACCTCAGCCTTCCAGAGTGCTAGGATTACAGGCGTGAGCCACCATACCTGGCCAAAAAATAAATTATTGTTTGAGGAAATAACACCTCTACTCTGAGTAAATTTCAAAAGGATTCCTGGGGAATCTCCTTCCCAGGCCAGTCCCCACTGAGCCAATTCTCTTCTCCCAGGCAACCACCGTCACAGTTCCTTGTGTATCATGCAGAGATGCATTGTACATATAAAATAAAACACATAAATGTGTATATAATTGCTTCCCTTTTTTTCCTGTTTTGTTTTATTCACAGCACTTTGTTTAATGGGGAAACACTAGAGGCATTTCCACTGAGGTCAGGAACAAGGCAAGACAAGGATGCCCATGGTCTCCACTACTGTTTAATACTGTGCTAGAGATGTTAGCCAATGCAATTAGACAAGAAAAGTCAATTAGAGGCAAAAGAATTGGAAAAGCAGGAGGGAAACTATCTCTGTTTTCAAATAATATGATAGTATACCTGAAAAAAATCTCAGAGAATTAATAATAAAAAGTTACTCATTCTGGGTGAGGTGGTACATCTATAGTTCCAGCTACTCTGGAGGCTGGGGTGGGAGGATCTCTTGAGCCCAGGAGTTCAAGACCAGCCTGGGCACCATAGCAAGACTCCATCTCTAAAATAAATAAATGAATAAAATAAAATAAAAGTTACTCAAACAGTAAATCAGTGAGCTATAAAATTAACATATGAAAATCCATAGCCTTCATATACGCATAGCCATAGCCAGTTAGAAGATACTATGGTAGAAGAACCTTAGTGACAACAGCAACAAAAAAGACTTTACAAGATTAAAAAAAGGAAACTTAACAAGTAATGTGCAAAGTCTCTTGAGGAAAACTTTAAAATAAACTCCTAAAAGACCCTGAAGTAGATTTGAACAAATGGACAATCCAATATCATAAAAATGTCACTTCTTTTTAAGATAATTTATAAATTTGACCCGACCCCAATAAAAACAACAATAAATCTTTATGGGGCTAAAAACACTGACACTTAAGTTCACATGGAAAATAAAATATGTAGGAGTAGCAGGAAAACGTTGAGAACAGAAAGCAACAGAGGGACTGACCCTACGAGAATACCCTAAAGACTGTAACCGAAACAGCACGTGGCTTGTGCGTGCCGGGACACAGGCCAGTGTACTAGAATAGCAAGTCCGGAAATAGGCCTGAGTACACAGGAAACTGGCTGTGTGATACACGAGGCATCTTAAACCTTGAGGTGAAGAGGGACTTGTCAGTGGAGGAGCTGGGGCAGCCAGCGAGCATCTGGGAGAGACAAGTTGGGGTCCATGTGACGCACCATGCACAGGAACAGACTCCAATGGATCATGGATCTAGATGGAAAAGATGATATTATCCAAGTACTGGAAGGAGATAGGGGTGAATTCCTCTATAACCTGGGTATGTGGAAAGGTTTTCTCACTGACTCAAAATCCAAATTCAATACGATGAAACACTGATTGACTGCATAACAACAACAAAACACTTTTACATAGCGAATAAAAACACCAATAAAGTAAAAAAACAAACAAACAAAAAAAACCCTGATCATCTGGGAGAAGATATTTGCAACATATATCACATACAGAGGGATGTCCCTAATATTAAAGTAAAAAAAAAACCCCTCAAAAATGGAGGTCATGAAAGACCAAAAGTCTGACTTTAAAAATGGCTCCTTTTACCCATGAACAGACAATCCACATGCCCCCCACACACACACACACGAAGATTTTAAAAATGGTCCTTAAACATATGAAAAGATACCCATCGCCCCTCATAGTTAGAGAATAGCATCTTAAAACTTCTGTGAGATGCCATTTCTTACCTATCAGGAAGGTGAAAATGAAAATTCTCACAACACGCTCGGCACTGGTGAGGCTGTGCGAAAACAGGCGTCCTCGTGTTTGCTGGTGGGAATGCGAATTGGTTTAATCCTTTTGGAAGGAAATTTGGTAATAGCTAATGAAACTATACATGCACTTACCTTTTGACTCAACAACCCCACTTCTAGGAATTTACCCTGAAGGTACGTACACCTCCAACAATATGGAAGGAAATACTTCCGCATAAGTGAATTACTTGTCACAGCATTATTTGTAATTGTAAAATATTGGACTTAATGTCTAACATTTTAATAATAATAAGTTATAACAAATAATAATAAATATAAATAAATAAAAATAAAAATGATAAAGTTATTTAATAATAACTTGAATGTGGAATATATATGCTCACATGCAAGAATATTTGCACATGAATGGTTGTATAGACTATAGTGCAACCACACAACGATGTATTGTGCAGATGTGAAGAAGAAGGAGGGAGATCTCTTGAAATGATGTGGAGTGATTTCTAGGATATATTGTTAAGTTAAAAAAAAAAAAGCATAGTGTGCTATCTTTTGCAGAAGAAAGAAGGGGAAATTAGAAAATATACATGTATCTATTCATTTCTGCAAAAAGAAACATTAAAAAATAAAACAGAAATGAATGAGATTGACTACCTGTGAGGATGGGTGGGAACAGGGTGGGGCGGATCAGGGGTGTGGGTGACACTTTTCTACTTTGCTGCATATAGCTTCTTGCACAGTTTTGACCATACTAAAATAAATTAAATCAACAAAGATGGGGGAGGGGGAATACAACGTAATACACATAGAAACAAATGAACCTAACTCAACTTCAAATGGATAACATAGCCACACTGAATAGATGAGGGGAGAATTAACCCAATAACTTCTCTCACCCTCCCAACCTCCCACCCTCCCAAGTAACTCTTGAACACGTTGGGTGGGCTGTTTGGACTGTATATGCTCAGGCAAAAGACAGAATGAACAAACAAAAAAACCTCTGAAAACAAATATTAAACTCTTGTTAGCTGTGTTTTCACAGTGTTACAGGTTACTAATGATAAAACTAGGACTGAGCAATTAAGTAAATATATTGAAGATACTAGGAATGAACTTTTTCCCTATTGTAGAGAGGAAAAACAGACATGGAAAGGGGGAGCTAGAATGCACTCTGCAATGCCAGACTGGAGTCGGAGGCATCCGTATGAACTCAGGATTTCTAAGATAGATATAGAAACAGGTGTGTGACAAAGGTAGGGGTGTGTGTGTGTGTGTGTGTGTGTGTGTGTGTGTGTGTGATTCCTAGGTCTAGCTCTATTCCCTGAGAGGGCCTGGAAGCAATGTCAGTCTCTGGTGCAACCAACCCCCCAAGTACTCAGGACTTGGTTGTAAATACCATTAACCAACAGAAGGAACCAGGGCTGCCTGGGCAGGGGAAGTACAATGTGAGCCCAGATTGTTTTGCTGGGCCAGGAAGCAAGGGGGTGCTCCAAGAGTAAAGGGGACAAAAGGAACGGGTCGGGGCGGGGTTTACCGTTTAATGGGTGGAGAGTTTCAGTTTCGCAAGATAAAAATAGTTCTGTGAACAGATGGTGGTGATGATATCACAACAATGTGATTGTACTTAATGCCACTAAACTGTACACTTAAAAATAATTAACATAAATTGTATGTTATGTCTTTTTCTACAATGAAAAAAGAATAAAGTATTTTTTTCTCAAATACCTATTTTTTAAAAAGGATACAGAAGCCAGCTTGAAGATGCTCCCATTGACCACGTATTAGACAATTTGAGCATTAAAATAAATAATAGTAACAAATTATAACCCATCCAATAAAAGAAGAATCTAATAGTCCATATTGATATAAATGAATGAATGAGAAGGGAAATATCTTCCTTCAATAGAATGCCACCCAATAAATGTGGAAAGAATGATAGAAAATCACATAGTAATAATTATTTCAGGCAAGAATAATCAATAAATACTAAAGTTAATGATGAGATAAATCAGTTGGATGAGAAACAGAATATTAACACAGTCTCAGTGATTTTCCCCTAAGATACTGATTAATTCAAAGGGAAAAGGAGTAACTGGCAGACACCAGCAGACACCTTAGCAAAACGATCAGAGCTAACTCACCAGTAATGGTGACTTCAGATTCTTCCAGACATCATGCACTAGAAGAAGACAGCATCACTTCTGGGGTAGTCTTGGTAAATCACCTATATTCTTCAAAAATGAAAGACAGAGAAGCTTCCAGATCAAAGCACTAACGAGGCATGACAAGGGAATGCAATGTGTCCTAGATTGGATGCCAGGTGCTTTTTAGCATTGTTTTTTCTTTCACTATAGAAGACATTAGAGGGACAAATGGAGAACTGAAGAAATCAGTAGGTAAGTTCATAGTGGGTGTGAATGTTAATTTCCTGATTTTGATGATTGTACTGTGGTTATGGAGAGAAGGTCCTTGTTTTTCGGAAGCCAACCTGAAGACTTTAGGAGTGAAAGGCTATTAACTGCAATTTATTCTCAAACAGTTCAGAAAAACAAGGAAGGTGGGGAGAGAGAATGAAAAAGGAAATGTAGTCAAGTGTTAACATTTGGTGATTCTCAGCAAAGGCTCTATGGGATTTTTTTTTTTTTGGTATAATTTTTGCAACTTCCTTGAATCTGAAATTATTTTCAAAATGAAATGTTTTGTTGTTGTTGTTGTTGTTGTTGTTGTTTTAATGCAGGTTTTTCTGATTCAGTTTTAGCCGAATTCTAAAACAAGAAGCTGAACCATCTAAAGCAGTTCTTACTACCGAAGTGCTTAAGAGCTACTTGCAGAAACCTTAGGAAACACCCCCTCCCCTGCCCACAGCAGAGACAGGAGAGATGCCTTCTCTAGAGGCAGTTGTTGGGGTGCCCCATGGTGGGAGGTGTGTGGGTGCCCCTCTCTCTGCAAGCTGAGAGGGGCTTCAAGGAGGCCATCTGCAGAGCTTGACCTGTGTGTCCCGGATTCCGCGGGGCTGTGGCTGGGCAGGCCCCAGGCCTGGAAAATCCTACAGGTGAAATGCTGGCCTGGCCAGCTGCCCCTTGGTGGGCTAGGAGAGGCAGCTGTGCAGGGGAGTCTTGTCAGGGTGGCGCAGGCCTGCTTGCTCCTGGGCCCAGCTGAGGAGCTGGGTGAAGAGAAACCTTGGAGCTGTCCAAAGGGACTTTGCGCATGAGGTCTGGGGGAGTTGCGGGGGTGCAGCGGGACCCAGTAGAGGGGATCCTTGGGCAGAGTGTCCCAGGGGGCCAGCTTGAAACATCTGCTCCAGCCAGGCCAAAGCCACACTAGTGAAGAAAGGACACCGAGCAAGGAAAACCTTTCCTGCCCTTCCTTCTCCTACCCCCATCCCCGCTCCCCACGGAGGAGCTGAGGTGGTGAGGGTGTAGGTGCAGGGGTGAGGCTGTGGCCAGACAGAGCACTGAACACCCCTTGGGCCCCTCCCAAGTTCATACATGTCCCTCTGGCTGCAGGGGCAGGAGCCCGGGGGACAGGCAGTAGGTCCCTGGTTCCCTGTGATCAAGCTGTGCCACTCAGACGCATTGAATGGGGAGAGGAGAGAGCGGGGAGGCTGGTGAGAGTCAGGCCTGCTGTCCCGGCCTCAGGACCCAGAGCGGAGCTGCTGAGAAGGGAACCCACAGGGGCAGACAGGACTCCCAGCGGCCAGGCTGCTGCTCCAGCCCTCGCCAAGGGCCTGGGTGGGCGGGGGCGCCCCTGCTGGTGAGGCTGGGTCACGGCCACACCCCACGATGGGGGTCCACCACACAGCCCCCCAGCCCCAGGCCAAGGTGGCCCAGCAGGGGCATCAGGACAGCATCACCGCCAGGCCCTGATGCACCTTCGTGCAAATTAGAGAAGGCAGCCCTTCCTTCCCTTCCTTCAGACCCCCGACGGCCCTTTTGCAACGTGAACGGCATCCGCTGGAGCCTGTGGACTTGATGGGCTCTCTGTGAGTTCTTCCAGGAGAGGGGCGGATTCTATTAATAATTCATTTCTGAAACTCTAAAGCCCCACACTTGAGGCAGGCTTGGCGAACGTTGACAAGTAGGGGAAGTTCTAGGTCAAAGCATGGCGACATACTGTGACCTTCTAAATGTTCACATCTAGGGACCAGTATTCTAGCCTCTGTGGGGATGATACTCGTAGCCCCGGACTTGGCACATAGTAGGTGCTCAGCCATAATAGCTAATGTTCACTGCATGCAAGAGCGCTAAGCAGTACGTATGGATAGCATCATGATGTAAATACTGCAGATGGTATAAAGCGAGGCTTGAAGAGGTTTCCTACCTAACTCGCCAGGTGTCGTGAGCAGGTGCTGTGGAGCAGAGATGCCAACCCGGACCTCAGGCTTCTGGAAGCCTGTTCTTATGCGCAAGTCGTTCTGGCTGGTCGGGAGGCACGCTCTCTGATTGGACAGGCCTGTCTCTCTCCTCAGGTGACTTGAAAAGGTACAGGCTCAAAACCAACACCCACACCAAAAATAGGTAGCAGAATTGGTTCTCAGGCAGTTATAAGACTGGATTTGACATAAAGAGCAAAGTTGAGGCTAAGCAGAATGTTCTGACATGCTGAACTTGGGGAAGAGGAGAACTGAATCCAAACACCCCAGCAGGGCTGAAGGACGTCACAGAACTTACAGCAGAGGTGAAAGAAGCCACTTGGGGGGTGGCATGAGGCTGCTAAATGAGGAGGTTCAAGGCAGAACTCGGCGGCGTGCTCAGGCGAGAGCTTCAGGATGTATGTTGTGCGACTTCAGCTCTATCTGCAGCAGAGAGACTCTGGGTCACCCTAGGTCACAGGGGTTTAGCATGAGGGAATGGCAGCCACTCTGCTCTGGAGCCTGGGTCATGTGGGGTGGCCCTCTCCCTGCCTCCAGCCCCACTAGGGGAGAGATGGTGAGGTTGGTTCAACCCTGGCCAATGGGAAATGGATCTCAAGGGGCAGCCTTTGTCTCTGGCACTGATCTTGGTTACAGACGATGATAGACAGGGTGGCAGGACGGGCTGCACAAAAGCCCATGTTCACTGGTCTCTGCATGGCAGTGTGGCAAGTGCCCTTCACAGGTTAGCATGAGGTAGGTAATATTATTATTCCCAATTTAGAGATGGGGAGACTGAGGTTTACAGAGGTTAAGTGACTTTCTCCAGGTCACAGCTAGCAAGCCACAAAGCCTGGGCTGCCGTCCTTGTCTGGAAACCTGTATCTTTGACCACCTACCTGGTCCTGTCTCCCTTTCAAGCCGAATCCAGAGCCATATTACACAATATGAGGCTGCTCTGCCCAGAAGTGGACAGCAGGGGGCAGTGTAACCAGCAGTAATTTGAAGTCTGGCCCTCCTCCAGCTTAACCATCAACCCTAAAAGCATCTGAGGAATGTTTGGGTTTTAACATTGTCCTCTAAATGGGGAGGACGTGCAAAAAACCATGAAGAGTGACAATCCGTGAATACAGATAGGGCTATCTGGGAGTCCATGTTTCGTCCAAGCTCTCAAGCTCACCTCTCCAAACCCAAAGCCTCTCCTAGGGCAGAGACCACCTCTCACATCCTCATCTCTGCCATCTAGTTGGTGCTGAACAAACACAGGGATGACCTGAACACTGGGTTGGTGGAGGGCAGAGTCAACAGTCCTCTGCCGAGGTGGGCGCACCCCCTCCCAACTCCAGGATTTCCCCCCCAAACATGCCATGCCCAAAGCCCGGGCACAGGCAGGGATGTGGTGGCATCTGTTGGCTCTATTTAAGGGCCTTGGGTCTTGCCCCCTGGTTCTGGGCTGTGTCCATCCTCAGTGAGGTTGTCGCTTGCTGAGGGGAGTGCTGTGTCCAGGGATACATGGGGAGAAGGGTCTCTGCACAAACTGGGGAGCGAGACTGGCTCAGCCAAAGCCTTTCCCTCCACTCTGGGACCAAAAGTGCCGGCCAGCCTCCACCTGATACCTCCAGGGCTGTAGTCAATGCACAGCTCCGGCAGGACAATGACCAGCCCTGCGCTGGGTTCAGATGGGCCTGCACTGGACCAGCCCTAGGACTGCGGTCTCCTCATCCATAACATGGCGTTAAGAACACCTGCCACAAGGGCGCTGTGGGACTTCATGGGAGGCTATTGGCTTTGGCTTTAGAGTCAACGAGACCAGGCACTGAGGCTGCCTCTGCTCTTGGTGGCCATTTCCAGCATGACCTAGGAAGGGCCACAATCTCTGAGCCTTGGTCTCACCAGCTGTCAGATGGGAGTGAGAACAAGCTCGATCTCATGGGGCTGTTGTGAGAATTACAAGAGATAATGTAAGGGCACTAGCTGGTCTGGAACAAACCCTCAATAAACGACAGCTGCTGCTCGGGCTGGTGCTGTTACAGAATGTCTTTGGCACACAGTAGATGGCAAACTTGTCTTCGCTCAATACACATGGTACGTGTCCAGCACATGGGAAGCATAAAGCAGTTAAATAAGATATTAAATAAAAAGGCAGCACAGCATGGAGGAAGAAGACCTGATCCCTGTCCTGAAGACAGTCCCAGTGTGTTAGTTTTTTCGTCCCATTCACCTCCACTGTCAGGCCCAGTGTTTGACACCTCTGACACCCGCAATATGACAACGGGCAGCACAGGGGCGGGGTCTGTCCTCAAGGGTGTAACTGCAGGAAACAGATGAGAACATGGTGCTGTGGGGAGGAGGGGGCTCTGGGCAGGTCCCCCACAACACGAATGTTGGCTCTTGTCCTCCCCACCCACTGTGCCCTCCCTGCCCCCAGCATCTCCCCACCCCTATTGTCCTTCTTGTACACCAGTGCCAGATCAAGCTCCCCAAAATGCCACATTCATGACGTTCTTCCTGTGCTTAAAAACTCAGCACTGTCCAAGGCCTGCTGCAGAGCCGGCATTCCTCACTGGGGCGGGGCAGCCCCAGGTGGGCGAAGGCTGGCCCAGCAACTATGAGGGGGGGCATTCCACATCTGCTCCAATCTGGCTGAGCAACCCCATGGAAGTTACTCTGTGCCTCTAGGCCCTGGTTCTGTCACTTTTATAGGAGCAGGTTGGGTCATGCCAGCCTGGGTCCTACAGCGCTAGGATGGTGAACTTCACCTTCCCAACTTTCAGTCCTCAGGTAAACTCCTGTTTCATTCAGACTGGCCCACGCTTGGCCTCTGGAACACTCTTGTTCCTCCCCCTGCAGCTTTGCCCTTTCCTCTGCCCCCACTTGACCCACCCTCTGCTGTGCCCGTCTCCCGAGACCCTTCGCAGGTCCCTTTCTCCAAGACTTTACATGTCCTCTTTGTGGGGGTCTCCTCCCCTCCCAAGGCTGAGGCCAGTTCCAACTGTTCTCTCCAGCCCATGTTGCCCTTCTGAGTGTCACATCTGGAGGGAAAATTGTCACTGTCCCCACAGGCACCGCAAACATAGGTTGCCCTTAAACTGAGCTCCTCATCCCCCTGCTCGCTCCCCCAGCCTGCCTCCACCTCTCACAACCACCGTCGACTTGGTTCCAGCCAGGAGCCAGGGTGTCAGCTTGACTCCCCCTCTCCCTCTTCCCGAGCCTCTTGAACCTGAGTCCTTCAATCCCACCTCCTAAGTGTCCACTGAAGCCATCTGCTCCTGTCTGGTCCTGTTGACACTGCCTTGGTTTGGGCTTCCCTTACTCTTGCTGCAGACACAAGTGGCCTCCTAACCAGTCTCCTCATGCTCCAAAACATCCCCCCTGCAACCCAAGGGGTGATCCAAGTTGCAAATCCGACTATGCCACTCCCCTGCCTACAGCCCTTAAGGGGATAAAGAAGTAGCTCTTGCTCCAGTTTTGCTTTCGCTAACAACGGTCAGGGGCTCACTAAGTACCGGGAGTGCTGCCGATGCTTCAGGGCCAGTTCACATCCCATCTCATTCATCTGTTCATCCATTCATTCGATATGCCAAATGCCAGGGACTATGCTAGATGTTTGTAGACATTGTATAATTTAGTCTAAAGAATGCTCAGGGCCACAACTACTGTAACTCCCTTGTTGCAGTTCTCCTGACTTTGATCTAGTGCCCTTTCTACTCTTCCTCTCTTAAAGTCTTTCACAAGGATCCCTGATAACCCAGGTCAGGGAGCAGGAAAGAGGTGTTGGTGGTGGGAAGGTACCTGGAACCCACCTGGGTTCGGCTGTCCTGCCACTCACTGGCAGTGTGAGTCCGCGGTCACTTCACTCCTGTGGCCCCATCTGTAAAATGGGTACAGTAACACCAGCCTCACAGGGTTGGGGAGCGCTTAAACGAATACTACACATACACAAAGCATCTGGCACATAGAAGGTGCTCAGCTAACCTCAAGTCCAACCGCTGTCCCGAAAGAACTCAGGCGGCGGGAAAGAACCCGCCCCCCCCAAGGGCAGAACGACAAAACATCAGGAAACAGACGCAGGCACTTGCAGCGGGAACTTCAGGAGGGAGAAGCTCTTCCATGTCGGCCGTTCGGTGACCGGGCTGCACAAAGGAAAGGCACGAGTGCGGAGGACGAATGCGGGTCGCACTCGCTGTTCCCCAGAGTGGGGACCCTGACCGTCCCCAGACACAGGGCCCGGCCAGCAGCCCGGGAGCGCGCCTCGGGAGCGCGGGGCGGGCGCGGGCGGGCGCGGACTACAGCTCCCGGCGTGCCCCGCGCGGCCCCGCCCGCCCCCGCGCCGGGCGGAGGATGCAGACGCCGGCGGGCGAGGAGGATGGAGGCCGGGGAGGCAGCGCCGGCGGGGGCGGGGGGCCGCGCCGCGGGCGGCTGGGGCAAGTGGGTGCGGCTCAACGTGGGGGGCACGGTGTTCCTGACCACCCGGCAGACGCTGTGCCGCGAGCAGAAGTCCTTCCTCAGCCGCCTGTGCCAGGGCGAAGAGCTGCAGTCGGACCGCGTGAGGCCCGCGGGTGGGCGGCGGGCGGGCCGGGGTCCTCGGCTTGCCGGCGCGGGGCTGCTCGGCCTGGGCCGCCCGCAGGGCCGGGACCCCGCCGGGGTGGCTTCCGAGGGGCCGGAGGCGGGAAGGACTGGTAGGAGGAGGGGTGGGGAAGTGGATCTGAGAGAGAGGGATGTGCCCATTGCCGTGGCAACGGGACAACGCAGGCCCTGGCCATTTGGAGCTTTTGAGCGGGGCCCCTGCGGGGCCTCTTCCCTCTTTTGCGGCCCTGGGGAGGAACAGACATGTAGGGCCTTCCCTCTTCCCCAAAGGGGAAGGAGCTGATGAGCTTGCTTCTCCCTGCCCTTTGGGGTGTGGGTGGCCGAGGGGTGCTGGGTGCTGGGTGGAGGAGTCCTGGGGTGCCTTTGAGCTGGGCATACTCTGGGAGGAGCACTGGCCGGGAGGATACCATTTCTGGGCTCCCATCCTGACTGCAGCAAACTGTATGACCTTGGGTCAGACCTTTCCCTGCTCTGGGCTCAGCCTCCTCATCTGTAACCTGGTCTGGAGTGGACCTCTAAGGTCCTCTGTCCCCTGTATCCTGTGACCATCTGATACTCTGACCTTGGGCAAGTGCCCTTCACCTCTTAGTGCTCTCTGTAGAGTTGTGCTGGTGCCTGCCCTGCCTCCCTGCAGGCTGCGAGAGTCCAATGAGATAGTGGCTCCTTTGCAAACTTGTAAACATCCCCGGAAGTCTAGGGATTTGGTGGAGCTAGGGGGGCTGGCTTCAGGGGGACAGCTTCTAGCAGGGACATTCACTGAGCCCAGCACTGGGCTGGATGCCACTCAGACCTCCTCTCACTGGATGCTCACAGTGACCCCTAATTATGGGGGAAGAGTGAGGCTCAGAGAGGCCAAGCCATTGGCCCAAGATCACACAGTCAGGAAAAGGCAGAGACAGGGTTTGAACCCAGGTCTGTCTGCCCCAGAGCCTTTTTTCCCTCATTTCAGGGAAGAACAGACTGGACTGTCCCTCCTTCCCTCCCTGCAGTCCTTTCCCGGGCCTGTGGTGAGGGCGTATGTGCAGGGTGGGGCAGGGGAGAGGCCTCACTCTTCTCTCACTGTCTGTCCCTTACCTCCGTAGGATGAGACCGGGGCCTACCTCATTGACCGAGACCCCACCTACTTTGGGCCCATCCTGAACTTCCTGCGTCATGGCAAGCTGGTGCTGGACAAGGACATGGCTGAGGAGGGTGAGTTGGTCCAAGGGGCTGGCCTGGGGCCCACATGCTAGCCCTGCCAGGGCCTTCTGTGGAGGCCCAAAGCCATTTCTCCCAGCCACGACAGACATCTGCTTTCTCCCATGTTTCCTGCCTCTTCTGCTCCCAGACAGGGCCGCATCCCAAAGCCTCTGCCAGGGCTGAGCCTGGGGGCTCTGCCGAGCTGACAGGCCTGAGCTTTCACTGGGTGCTGCTGGGGAGGTGATGGAGACACAGAGGACAGAGGGGGCCAGTGAGGCCCTGTGGCCTCTGTCGTGGGCAGGGCTGCCCTTTCTCCCTGGCCTCCTAGGGAGCCAGGTGTGGACAGTCACACCCAGAGGCTGGGCTCGGGGAATGAGGTGGAGACAGGCGTGGGAAGAGCTATCACTCTCTTTCTCTGGGTGATCCAGTATCTCAGACTCTGCCTGGTGAGGGCTTGCAGTCGGCAAGTGGGTGGGGCGGTGACTCTTCCCTGAGGCTGGCAGCTCTGCGGCACAGTGCTGGTTGTAGGTAGAGGCGGGGGGCGGCGGGGAAGTCTGCTCCCCAGCAGGGCTTTGGGCTTTCCCAGGCCTGGGTAGCTAAGGCCCTGTAGAAAGATGTCCACATCTGGGCCTAGCAGACGGTGGGGAAGCTGTGTCTGGGAGAATGACCGCTTAGCAGAGCCCCAGCCAAGGACAGGGACAATAGTCAGTGCCAAGTTAACTCTTCCTTGGGGCATAGGGTATGGCTCTGGGTCAGCTAACCCAGCCAGGCCAGCTTGTACATGTCACTTCTCTCGGCATCTCCCATGATTTCTATAAAATGGGGGTAGTGATCTGCTCTTGGAGAGCACGCTTTGGGACCACAGATGTCGTGAGTCCTGTGCCCGGCACTTGTGCCCAGGTGTGGAGCACACCCCATACCTCCCCACTCTGGGCCGTGGTCTCTGCTCCCTCACCCCATGGGATACAGCGGTCGAGAGGCCAAGCAACTCCTCAGTAGCTCAGGGCTTCAGCACCAGACCCCACCATAGGTACCTGGCTCTGCAGAGCCCCGCAGCTTCTGCAGAAGCCGCAGGGGAGCACAGATGCCATGGGCGTGGCCTGGGCTCAGGAGCAGGTCCCACGGGAGGGGAGGTAAACACTCCAGCTGCACCACAGCCAACACTTGTTTACAGGTTCTGGGTTTCAGAAAGCCCTGCGACTCCCAGCACCTTCAGACAGGGCGAAGGCCCCCATAGGGGTTCTTGGGTGAGACTTACTAGCTGTGTGACACTGGGAAAGTTACCTAACCCTTCTGTGCCTCCATGCCCCCATTTGTGAAAGGAGGTGACAATAGCACCCACGTCGCTGAGCTGTCATGAAGATAAAGGGCAGCAGCAGTGCAGCATGCAGCTCATGTAGCAGCTATAAATACAGATGGCGCTTTGCTCGCTCACCTGTGCTCATCTCCTGCTGCGTGACCCGGTTCCTGACAGGCCACAGACTGGTACCAGTCTGAGGCCTGGGCGTTGGAGACTGCAGGCTTATGAGCAACAGAAATTTATTTCTCAAAGGTCTAGAGGCTGGAAGTCCAAGAGCAGAGTGACGGCATGGAGGGCTCTGGAGAGGGCCTTCTTCCAGGTTGCAAACTGCTCCCTTCTCGTCGTATCCTCACGGCAGAAAGAGAGAGCGCTAGCTCTCCGGCCTCTTATTAAAAGGACACTACTCCCATCATGGGACTCCACCCCAGTGTCCTAATCACTGCCCAAAGGCCCCCCTTCCCTCCTATACCATCATACTGGGGATTAGTTTTCAGCATATAAATTTTGGGGGGACACAGACTTTCAGTCCGTAAAAGGCCCTGTCCCCAGAGCCCAGAGGCCCATCAAGGAAAGGACCAGAAAGTCCCCTGCCCTGCAGAGCTTAGGGGAGTCTAAACACCTGGGAGCTCCTTCCACTTCACTGGTGGTGTGACTTGCGTAATGTCTCAAGGCAATCCATTTGTAAATGGGGACAGTAATACCTGCTTTCCTCATGTCCCCAGGACTCGTGATGAGCGCACGGGGGCTTTGCGGACTGTGAAGTGCTGCAGGGTGATGCACATGCAGAGTGTGCATTTCTGGCGGGAAAACACACGGGCTCCATAGTCTGAGGAGCTTGAACTTACTCTGCCACTTATTGGCTGTGTGACCTTGGACAAGCTGCTTCTCTGTTAGAGCCTCAGTTTCCCCACTTGTTCAATGCAGAGGAGGAAATGCCATCAAGGGTGGAATGTGCTTACCAAGGTGCCTGGCGCTCAGCATGTGCTTGATCAGTGCGGGCAGGTACTCAGGGGTCCACCAGGGCCCTCCTCACGGTGACATTCTAGGGATCAGTCTGCTGGATCAATCCTGCTGTCTCTTGGTAACCCTAGCGCAGCCCAGATTGTGGACTGGCAGGTGTCCTGGGCTCCCATGCACAGCACAGTGGGAGGGACGCAGGGCTGGCTGAGGCGCGGCACTCAGCCCCCTCCACAGGGAGCGTGCGCTCCAAGGGAGGCAGGGCTCCCTCTTGCTTGACCCCTGAACTCACAGACGCTCAGCTCACCTCTCAGATGTGGCTGGAGCAGGAGGTGGGTTTGTGGTTAGAGGGGACAGGGGGACAGTGGGACTTGGGGGCAGTAGGAATGACCTGGGGGCTGCTCTGTCTTTGCCAGGGGTCCTGGAGGAAGCGGAGTTCTATAACATCGGCCCGCTGATCCGCATCATCAAAGACCGGATGGAAGAGAAGGACTACACAGTTACCCAGGTGGGATGCAGGGGCGGGTGGGGAGAGGGAGGCTGGGGGGGAGGGACTGGGGAGGCTGAGCTGGCCTGTAAGGAGAAGGGTGGTTATTGGTGCCCCAGACTGCCCAGACTGGGAGACATGCTGGGGTTCTGTGGGTGCCTTACTGTGTGACCTTGGGCCAGGCACGCCCCTCTCTGGACCCTGATTTCCTCTCGTGGGATATAGAGGTGCCCAGAGCTGCCATCCCTTCCTCACAGGGGTCAGTGTGGGGGTTCAGGGGCCCTGCAGGGGGATGAGTAAATTGTGCACTTTGTGGGATCAGGCGGTCCCTACTGGGCACAGCACAAGCTATTGGTGCTGAGCTTGGACCCTGGGCCTCGGTGATCAGTCTGCTGGGGGAGGTGGAGAGATTTTCTGCCCACCTAGAGGAGAGGTGGGGTTTGGGGGACAAGTAGTGAGGTGCTATCTCCCGGCCCCATGTCTCCTGGAGGGCCTGACTACATTGGCAACCCAGAATGTCCCCCAAGCCCTGCCGTCTTTCCTCCTTGTGTCACTGGTGTTCCAATCTGGCTCTGCCACCCTTGCACTGGGTGACTTTGGGCAAGAAACTCAACCCCAGTGAAAAGCCCCATAATCTGCAGAGCTCTTGGGAGGGTTGAGTGAGGTCATGCGTGTTGAGTGCTTGGTACGTAGTAGGTGCTCAGGACGTGGTTCCCTCCCGGCCCGCTCCCCCTCTTTCTCTCCTTTTTTAGGCATATTACTGGGGGGTGGCGGCAGGTGCTCCCACAGGTGCCCTCCACGTGGCCCTTCTGTCCACAGGTCCCACCCAAGCACGTGTACCGCGTGCTGCAGTGCCAGGAGGAGGAGCTCACGCAGATGGTCTCCACTATGTCTGACGGCTGGCGCTTCGAGCAGGTGGGCTGGGGACTCGGGCCACCACAGGGCCCACCCTCGGACCTCCCAGCCTCCCGGTACAGCAGGCCCCTCCCCTCTTGCAGCCCCGGCCTTGGGTTCCCCATCACAGTCCCCACCTGGGGTCTTCTTAAATCAAACTAAACAAGGTTAGGAAAGACCACACTGCAGCAGATGGACCGAGGGGGCAGAGGACAGGAGCCTCACTTGCCGGGGCAGCGCCAGGGTCTTCCAAGGTAGGGTCCTCTCGTCAGTGGGGTGGTGATCTTCATGGTGGTGTGGCGAGTCTCATAGTGCCGAGTGACCGCTCAGGTGCAGGGAGATCAGATCCACAGGGCGAGCGGAGTCCACCTCATGTCCACGTGTCTTGTCACTCTCGAGTCAACACCGTATGACCGTCACGACTGCTGAGGCATGGCTTCCAGGGTGCCACGAGGGACGTGCCCGTGCGGTATTCATGTGCCCTGTGGTTCCAGTCCAGATGCAGTTTACCAATCGGGAGACTTTTATCCTGAGCAGCGTGGCGCTAGTATCACAGCCGTGGTCTCGACTCTCTCGCTTCCAGAGGGGCAGAGCCAGGAAGTGACCCTGGAGTCGGGGGTGCCCTTAGAGGAGGAGGAGGGTTGGCAGCCTCTGATCCACAGCCAACCACACGCTCCTGCAGGGGAGACTGAAGCAGGCAGAAGGCCGGGCCCCCCAGGGTGGCCTGGTGTGTGACGATCGACCCCAGGGCAGGAGCTGCAGGCCGGATTCGCCTCTAGGCCGCACAGGCTCACCACCTTGCACAAGTCACTTCTCTCTGGGCCTCACTTTCCTCATCTGTGATGTGGGCTAATAGCACCTCCTTGGTAGGTAGGACTGCTGCAAGGATTAGAAAAGCCACCAGTGAAGTTCCTAGCCCTGGGTGGGACTCCCTGCATTGGCCCTCATGCCATGCAGATTAGTAGAAGTAGGTAGTAAAGTCTGTAAGACTCTGAGAAGGAAGTTGGGATCCCATATTCAATCCCTGTTCCACCCCTCCCCTGCTGGGGACCTCCAGCAGACCACTGCCTCTCCAAGCCTTTCTGCCTCAGGGATGCCTTCTTTCTGCCTGCTGAATGAGGGTCTCCGAGGGCTGAATGAGACCTGTCCTGTGCAAGGACTTTATTAGCCAGAAGGGCCCTGTGGGTGTGGTTATTCTTAGCACCCCAGAACAAAGCTGGGGCCACTCTGAGAGCCCGAGTAAGTCTTTGGCAGTTGCACAGGCTCTCAGATTGAGCAGGTCGGGGCCACTGGTCATTTGCCTGCTAGCGTGAGGAATGGCACCCTGTTCTACCTGTGCTTTCAAGAGTGAAGGGAATATTCTGTGGGGCTCCACTACGCCAACCTTCCCTGCAACCTTGTGCTGGGGCTGCACCAGCCACGTCTGGGACAGGGGCCAGCCTGCCCGTGAGGGGCCTGCGCTTGTGTTTGGAAAGGGGCCGCCTGGATCTGAGGTGGTGGGGAGGGTTGCTGGTGATGTTGCCAGCCTTCCCCAGGGCTCGGCCAGCCAAGCCAGGTGCAGAGGCTGGTCCTGGGGAACAGACCAGAGGCGCAGATGGGAGGGGAGGAGACTTTGCAAACCCAGGAAGGGGCCGAGCGGGCAGCAAGGTCAGGACATAAGCTGAGATCTTGACGGGTGCTGAGGTCCACCTCCCCCCGCCCCACTGCCCCCACCCCCAAGCTGCATCTTTCCCCCATGCTCTGCCCCTCCAGCTGGTGAACATCGGCTCCTCCTACAATTACGGTAGCGAGGACCAGGCGGAGTTCCTGTGCGTGGTGTCCAAGGAGCTTTACAGCTCCCCACACGGGCTGAGCTCTGAGTCCAGCCGCAAAACCAAGGTGAGCCTCACCCACCCCAGCCCTTGTCTGCAGAAGGCTCCCCCCTCTCTCTGCACCCCCCGCCTCCCCTCGCCATCCCGCCGCCTTCTTTCTCCTTCCCGCTGCACACGCATAACCCCATGGTCACAGCCGACGCCATCCATCCCATGCCGCTGCGGTCCTGTCTGCTCACGCGTTGCCCAGGCCAGGCTAGGGAGCAATGAGATGGGACCGTCCTGAGTGTGCGGCCAGGGCGGACTCAGATGCCGCTTGAATAAGGGCCACGTGGTGGCCACCGGGTGCCGTGGCATGAGGGGCAGTACACTGAACGAGGTGTCAGGGGGCAGCGTGACATCCTCTGTGTGACCTAGACAAGGCCTGTCCTCTTTTGGCACCTTTGTCGTGTTCTCTGTGATGTGAGAGGGGTAGACTGTATACTTTCTGTGGTGGCTTCAAGCTGGGAACTTCCAGGATCCCAAATGGCCAATTTATTCCCCAGGGGTGGGTGAGTGTCCCCAGCCGGCACAGGGGAGCTGGATCTGTGAATCCCGCCCCTTTCCCAGGCCTCCTCGGGCGCCCCTGCAGGGCGGCGGCCAGGAGCCCTGTGGGGCCTGGCCCTGTGTCGCAGCCCTGGCCTGTGAGGCAGCCTCCCCAGAGCACATCTGGCGGCATCTGCCCACGAGGGGACGGGGTTGAGCAGCGATCCTGCCACCCTGGACCCAGAGCTGGTCAGACGCCCTCAGGGCCTCCGGTGTGGCTGGCAGAGCAGGCGTGAGCCAGGTGGGGAGGAAGACTGTTCCCGCTGGGGCCTCTCCCTGTGCGTTGGAGACTTAGGAACTCTGGCTTCTGTCTGTCTGTCTGCCTCCTCCCCTCCCTGTCCTGCTGTGACTCCCCTGCCCACCCCACCACACCCGTGCCAGTTGCTGGCACTGCCTTGCAAGGGTGCAGGGTGAGGCCTCTGCTTCTGCCTCTCTGGGCCAAAGCCCCCAGACCTAGGGTGCCAGAGACGGTGGCTGGCGTCCCAGATCTGGTGGTGTCTGCCCTGGAGCTTCCTTGGCCACATTTCTACTCAGGGTCAGTCTTCCCAAATAAGGCCTCCCAGGCACCCCTGGGGAATGCCCCAGCCACATGCCCACCACCCCCCTGCAAGCCCTGGTCCCCGCATCTGTAATGGCAGTGAGACCGCCCCGAGTGTCCCCGCAGGGCCCATCCTCTGCTGGTTCCCTCCCCTCCCCTAGCTGCCCAGGGGGCTGGAGAAGATGTCCCAGCTTCTTTGGCTGGCGCCCTCTCCCCTCCTGAGGTCCCCCTTCATCTTGCCTGAGACTGGGACCCTTGGGGACAGCAGCCAGCAGGCCCTGGCCTCCTCGTTAGTGTCTCCACTCTTTCTTCCCTGGGTCCGCCGGCTGGTTCACAGAGCGCGGAGGAGCAGCTGGAGGAGCAGCAGCAGCAGGAGGAGGAGGTGGAGGAGGTGGAGGTGGAACAGGTGCAGGTGGAGGCAGATACCCAGGAGAAAGGTGCAGCCAACCCCCAGGAGAATGATTGCTAATGAGAGCCGGAGCCTCCCGCCCACTCCCTGCTGGAGCCAGCTGCAGATTGGGACCCTGGGCTGCGGGGGGCGGGCCCGCCAGGGTTAGCTCAGCCACTCGCCTGGCCTCACCTGCAGCATAACCATCCCTTCTCTCACTTTCTCTTTGCAGCCCAGTCATCTCAGGATCCCGCTAACCCTTCCTCCCTCCCACCACCGCCTCCTCCGCCTCCTGCTGGAGGTCCTGCCTCATCTTCATCCACCTCCTCTTCCTCCTGGATCTCATCTGCACCCTGCCTCTTCCCTCTCTGCCCCTGTCCGGGTTTTCTCTCTGCCTGCTCACGCCTCCCTCCTGGGGCTGCCCCGGTCCCAGCCTCCTGTGCCCTCCACCCAGGCCCCCCGGCCCCGTGTCCCAGAGCATCTTGCCTGCCGCCTCCTGCGCCCCTTCCAGCTCCTCCTGCCTCCCAGCCTGGGGAGGGGGCGTGCAGCTGCACCTCCTCTGTGCCCACCAACCCTGCCGGGCACCTCTGAGGCTGGGCCTCGATGCAGGTCCGGCCCTGTCCTGCCCCGCCGCCGCCTCACGTTTCCTCCTTGCAGGTTCCCGTCTGCACCCTCTCAGACCTGAGGCCGAGCTTGCAGTGAGGGCTTCTCCTCGGCCCCTCGCCCGCCCCCAGAGCTGCCACCCCTGGTTTGTAGCTTGGCGGAGCTGGAGGGGGGGTGAAGCGAGGAGGGTGCTCATCTCTTGTTCCTTGGACTTGAGCCGAGCTTTCGGCTAATTTTCTCCACCCACTAAAGTTTCGCAACCAGTCTTGGCCTTGGCCTTGGGGGCGAGGCTCTGAGAGGAGAAGAAAGTTAAGGGGTGGGAGCTCTGCCCTCCCACCCGCCAGTCAGCACGGGGCCAGGCTGGGAGGAGGGAAGGACAGCTGAAGCCAGAAGCCTCGGCCTCCCTGCACGTCCAGGAGCTCCTGCCTCACTGCCTATGACACTGAGTTCCCTCATTCTGTGGGGGTAGGGAGGACGGCCACATTTGTGTGCCCTTGGCCTGTGAGGAGTCAGCCAGAGCCAGCTGAGGATTGCAGTGTGGCAGAAAAGCCCTGGCCAGGTGCTCACGAGCCCTTACTCTACTTTTTTGCCTGCTCTGTGACCTTGGGCAAGTCACTGTCCTTCTCTGGGCCACAGTTGCCTCTGAAATGGGGACAGACAGCTGATCTCTGTGCCTCCTTTTGCCTGGGGCGGTGCTGGCCTGCCTCTCCTGGCCCTGACCCCCGGGTCAGCGTCTAGGCCGAATCTGGCCATCCCTGGGCAGATTCCAGGATGGGGCCTGGGGCTCCTGGACGGGTTGGTTGGGGTACCCCTCCTGCTCCCCTCCTCCTCAGTTCTGAACCTGCCTCCTCTGGGCCTCAGGCCCCCTCCCTCCCACGGAAGGGAGCCTGTGACTCACCTGCCTCTCTCTCTCCCTCTCTCCCCCATCTCCACCTCCTCTCTGCATCTCCCCTCCTCACCGCCCATCCTCCCATCCTCCTGCCCCTTCCCCTCCCGCTCTTATTTTCTAGCTGTTACAAGCCAGAGGCACCCGGATGTGAGGCCCCAGATCACCTCCAGGGACTTGGGGTTCCCATCTGAAATCCTTTATTTTTGTTCCACGGGGTGGGCTCCTGGCCTGAGACGGAAGAAGTGCTCTCCCCGCCGCCACCTCTGCGCCTGTGGGGCTGTGATGTGCCCCTGCCCCCAGGGGCGGGCGGGTGGCGCGCTGGGACCTCTCGAGGCCTGAGGTGGGCCCTGGGACCCCTGGGCAGAGCCACCTGCCCCTGGCCAAAGTGTGGCACTGTCCAGCTGTGTCTTCCAGGCCCCCGTGTCCCCTCTCCCGGGTCCCCCTGCTGCATGGCGGACACACTCCCCCCTGCCCAGTCACATCACCTCCTTGAGCCTTCGGCGTCCAGTGGGGTGACTCCTCCCCCCATATCTCATGGTTGGGTTGGGGTGCAAAGAGAAACAAGGCCCCTGAAGTCCTGGGGAGTGTTGGGGGCTGCCCTGGCTTCACCTCCCCCTGGAGGAGAGGGCCCAGCCCAAGCCCCACGCTGGGTTTGTGAGTGGAGATTCGGGCTGGTGGGGGCGAAGCGTGTGGGGTTTGGCCCTGCGAGGAGGGGTGGGTGACTTGGCCTTCACGTTGGCCGTCCCACCTACCCGCAGCCATGTGCATCGCTGGCAGAGTGCCCTGGCCTGGCGGGGGGGCAGAAGGGGCTGGGCAGGGGCAGTGGAGCAACTCAGGAGCTTGCGGTTGGGAAGCGGACACTCCCCTCTGCCTAGGGGAGGGCCTGGGTATGACGGGGCTGAGCGAGGGGCCCCTCCGGCGTTGGCCTCCCAGGATGGGCACGGGCTTCTCATCCGCGTTCGACGCCCCCATGTAATAAAACCTGAACCTAAAGAAACAGCCCAGCCTGGCTACATCCCTCTTTCTCTGGACCACTTAATGGGGCAGCGGCTAAACTCAACCCAAAGGAACGGGGCTTTTCCTAAAGCCCCAGGATCCTGCCTTTGGGGGTGAGGGGCTGCGGGGCACTGTAGGTCGTCTGCCCAGAGGCCAGACATGGAGAGCACCTCTTCTACATGACTGGGAGCCGGGAAGCGAGAGCTGTAGGTGGAGGCCCAGCCTGCCTCTGCTGCACCCCAACGCCAGGATGCCCCTCCACTGCTGCTCTGCCTCCGCCGAGCCTCCTCCGCCCTCCCTGCCGCTGCCACCCTCTGCCCCTAATGCCAGGACGTATAGACACCCAGGACCCCGTTCTACCCTGTCTGAGTCTCCTGGGCTCTCAGCCTTCTCTCTCCTGCCCCACGAGGACCCCAGCCCCTCACCCCATCCTGGCCGATTCCCTCAACTCCCTAGTCCTGCCATGTCTCCCAGCTGGGGGCAGTCCCTGCCAGGCAGTGTCCCTAGGTGAAGACCCTCTGTGGGCAGGGCAGGGCACGGTCATCACCACTCACTCTGGGGCCAACTCGACTCCCAAAGGTGACCTCACATTTTGCATACAACTTTGCTTGCGAGGGTCACCAGGAGGCTTGTCAAAGAACAGGTCACCCTCCTCCCCACCAGGATTCAGATCAGTTAAGACTGGGATGAGGCCCAGGGCTTTGCACTTTAGCAAAGCACCAAGGTGATCCCGACTCAGTTCTGCCCACCCCACTGAGAACTGTGAGTGGCTTTAGTGTCCTGGCCACTGAGCTGCCCAGTCCCTCCCAGGCAGGACCCGGCTGGGGCTCTCCCTGTCCCCACTGCCCTTCCACCTCATCCACCCACACACTGGTCAGTGGCTCCCCTCTCCGGTCTGGGTCTCCTCGGAGGCACCCTCTCTTCCTTCTACCAGTTAGGCTTCAAGAAAGAGTGGTCCACACTTATCTCCACCACACCACACCTCCAGCTGGCCTCCTGGCTCCATTGCCACTGTCCTCATAGGTCCTGGTGACCCTGTGTCCTGAGCAAGCCTCCGGTCCATCCCACCGTGCAGCTCGGTCCAGGCCCTGTCCACAGCTCCCTCCACACTGGTGTCAGCGGGGTGCCCGAGATAAGGCTCCACTGTGCCAAGTCTCCAGGCAGCCTTCCCTGACACTCCTGGTGCCACCCATAGCCCCCTCTGCTTGCTCGTCCTCCCCGATGCTCCTGAGGTCAGGGGCCAAATTGCATTCATCTCAGTGGCCCCGAACAGTCCTTGGCACAGTGGGAGCCCGTGAAATGCTTGCTCAGTAGACGACTTAGAATGCAGAGAGAGTGAGACGGGCTGGAGGGAGCCAGGAGGTCCGCCCGCCTCCACTCCTAACCCCCAGCGCCATCGTGAGGACGCCCTTGCCCCTCTGAGCCTGTTTCCTCCCAAGGTTCCAGAAAGAGCCCATCACTGGACCAATCCCTCACTCTGACCGGAGGGTCCCAAACCATTGCCTTCCTGGGGTTTCTCCTGGGACCTGGGCAGCTGCCCTGGAGGCTCCAGCTCTCAGTGGCCACGCCTGCCTCCACTGGCCCCACCCAGCCTTCTGGACACCCGTGGGACAGGCTGAGCAGGAAGCAGGGTCTGCTTCAGTCAAGGGTGCGAGGCCGGTGCCGGGCCCCCATTCAAGCTCCAGCAGCAGAGCTGTGGGTCAGGCGCTTTATTCCCCAGGGCAGCTGGGCTTGTCTCACCACCCACATGGCAGGTAGGGGTGGGGCAAGGACCCTGGAGCCCGGGCTTCCCCACCCTTTGGCTTTCGGTGGCAGCTGGCCCACCCAGCAGTCTCCAGGGCTCTGAGGGTCACCTCCTATGGGGCACCCACCCCCACCTCCACCCCCACCTCCCACGTTAGACCCAGGGCTCCACAAGCTGGAGTCAGCTCTCTGGAGCCAGGGCTGCCCCAGCAGCCTCTGCCCTGCGGAGGGGGTTCTCAGACACTTGCTGGGGACCTGGAGGGCAGCATTGTCACTGCCGAGCCACCTCCCTGGAAGGCAGCAGTGCAGGAAGGGGAGGGAGGAGAGAGATTGGGAGACAGAAGGGCTGGCTGTGGACCCCTCCAGCTGGGACTGGTGGGCCTGGGTCAGGGGGACGTCTTGAGCACCAGCGGAAGGCCCTGCCCCCTCCGGCCGTCACTGCAGCAGACCAGGGAGCAGGCTGGGGGCAGGATGCCACCTCCTGCCTCCATGGGGCCTGCCTGCCCCCGCCTGGTGCATGCCCCGGGCTCTGAGTCCAGCAGGTAGACCCCAGCTCTCCAGACGCAGCTCCTCAGGTTAGCACCTGCTGGATCCAGCCAATCACACCTGTGATGCGGGTGTAGACACCAAAGTAGTTGGGCCGGCCACAGCCCAGGCCCCAGCTGACCAGTCCTGCCAGGAACCAGCGGCCACTGGGTGCCTTGCACACCAGCGGGCCACCCGAGTCACCCTGAAAGGGGGAGAAAGGAGACAGGGCTGCATCAGGGTAAGGGAACCCCCCTTCTGGGCAAGGGGCCGTGGGGGTTCCAGTCCTGACTGTTGGGAGTTTGCTGGGTGCAAGAAAGTCACGTCCTCTTTTGAAGCTCTGCTTGCCCCGCACCTGCTAAACAGGGAGAGCCCCGGCCAGCCCTGCCTGGCCCCGGCGGGTCCCGGTTCTCATGGCAGTGCGTCCCGACGCCCCCACTCTACTTCAGCCTGCCTTCTGTGGCTGACACCCCTCCCTTCCTCCCCGCGTCACTTTGCTGTGTGACCTGGACCAAGTGCCAAGGTGGGCAAGAAGCAGAACTGGGTCTGAGACCTGCCCACCGCAGGTTCTCTTCTGATCTGTGGCCCTGCAACATTGGGCAAACCCTGACCCTCTCTGAGCCTCAGTCTCCTCATTTGTAAAGTGGGGACAGCCATCGCCACCTGGCTGGGAGGCTTCAGCAGGCAGATGTGAGTGAGGGGCCAGGCCCCGGGTGATGTGAGTGTCACCCTCTGTCCCTCCTCTCGCCCCCGCCTCAAGGGAGTCACCTGGCAGGCGTCCTTCTTGCCCTTGCGGTAGCCGGCACACAGCATGCGTGGGGTCACCTGGTAGCGGTAGGCCTCGCTGCACAGGTCCTGCGGGATCAGCTGCACATCCACCTTCTGCAGCGCATTGCTGGTGGGGCCTGCGTGGGGTCGAGGGCAGAGGGCAGAGGTGAGAAGGTCGGGGGTGGCCAGGAGCCCCCCACCCCACTGTCCCTTCTGTAATTCCCCTTGCACCCCAGGAGCTTGGCCCACCCTGCCCCTACTAGGCATAGTGCCTGCCCTTCCACTCAGTCACCTGTTCTGGCTCCTTCTCTGCATGGTTCATGGTGACAGAGCCCTCAGCCAAAGCCTATAGGACTAGGGTCTTCCCCGGCCTCCTGCCCCTCCCTCCTGTCCAAGTGCCCCTGGCCTCCAGCGGGCTGTCCTCTGCTCCTGGGGATCTTTCCAAAGCACACATCTGACCCTTTCGTGGTCCCTGTGAAACTGTTCGGCAGCCCCCACTGTGCAGCCCCGCTCATCTCCATGGGGGCTGCACGTCACCACCCCCTGGGGGCCTTAGTGTACACTGGCGCCTGCTCGCAGACGGGGGCTTGACTGCATTCCGCTGGGGCAGCCCGCATCGGCGTGTTTCTTGAAGCCCCACAGGCGGTTCTAAAGTGCAGGTAGGAGGGAGAGCTCCTGGCCCAAAACCCTTCCAGGGCCAGCAAGGCCCTGCCTGTCCTTCCTGCCATCCCTCAGGGGGATGGCTGCCTCCCCCAAGAATGTTCTTTCATTATCTTGTCACCCCCTCTGCTTAGCTCGATGCCTGGTATATAGAGGGTGCTCACAAATGTGCTGTTGAACGAATGAATGAGTGAACGAGTGAGTGAGTGGACCAGTCCCTGCTTTGCCAGACTCTCTGTCATCCTCTTGGACAAATCCCTTTTCCTGAGTCCCAGTTTCCCCATCTTTCCCCACAGGAAAATATTCCTGTGGTCCTGCTGCCTCCAGACTGCAAATTGCTGTACGCAGTTTTCAAGCTACCACCATGAGGGTTGCAGGGGGTGGCCGCAGTCATGCCAGCCGGGCATGTGTTCCCAGGGCTGCGAGGGGGCCTCCAGAGACAGCCAGCTCTGGTCAGTTAAGGCCAGAAGGGGAGAGACCCCTGTTTCTGGGAGCTGGAGCAGAAAGAGCAGGGATTCTGGGGGCAGGCAGTCCTGGATTCCAGTCTCTGGCTGTGTGACTTTTGAACAACTGCTAAATGTCTCTGAGCCTTGGTTTATCCATCCCAAAAATGAGGCCGTAATACCTGCCCTAGGGTTATTAGGTGGATTATATGCAATCATGTTCCCCTAAAATCCACCCTTGATATGGAAAGAGCTAATAATTAAGAGCCTCCACCCTCGCTGCCCAGAACACAGAGGGTTGGACCTTGCACTTGGGCGTGGGGTCCCTGGGCTGCCCCTTTGCCTCACATATGTCTGTGACCCCGGTTCTCCTTAAATGCCCTCCAGAAGGAAGGAAAGAGCCAGGGGGGTAGGCGGCCTATGGACCATATTAAAAGGCGATTTTCTTCTGTAAAATCCAGCCCAGCAGAATCCCAGGACTAGAGGGCCCCGGGGGCCCAGACGCCTGCCCCTCCTCCACGTCCAGGTGGCACCCTGCCTCCCTCAGTCCCCTGCATCGGTCCCCTGCTCACCGCCCTCTCGCAGGGCGCCCCAGCCTGTGATCCAGCAGTGCAGGCCCGGCTCGAAGAAGTGGGAGCGCGCGGGCAGGCAGACGGGGCGCACGGCGGCTGAGCGCACCACGGGGTGGTCGAGCTGCAGCAGCGCCACGTCGTAGTCGTGGCTGTCCTCCTCATGGTAGGGGTGCAGGAGCAGGCGGCTCACCTTGAAGGACACCTCGCCAGGCCAGCGCGAGCTCTGCCACACCTTGCCCAGGAACACGGTCCACAGCGCTGGGGACGCCATGCTGGGGGCAGGGACAGGAGGACGGTGTCCTGCTGCATGGCTGCCTCTGCCCATCCAGGGACCCTCACGTTGGCCAGCTTCCCCGCCTGGGACACGGTCCTCCACACCCACCCCGCCCTCCCCGAAGGCCGCCGTAGCTGGTGGCAGAGTTCATCCCGCCCTAGATGCACGTGCGTGCCTCTCTAGGCCTCTGTCTCTGCATCTGTGAAATGGGAGTGGCATTTTCCACTCCTATGTTCTTGGGAATAAAACCACGTATGTAAAAAATTTAGCACAGTGCCAGGCCCAGGCAAATATTTCTCTTTTTCCCTGTGTACTTTACAGACGGGCTGCTCCGAGCCCTCTCGTGGGGAGGGGGTGGGAGTTGAGTGTGTGGGAGCCGGGAGGGACCCCGCAGCCTGGATGCCAGGTGTGCCCACGGCCTGGAGCCTTTCTTTACCTGAGGGCAGTGGGGAGCCGGGGGTGGGGTTAGAGAGAGCAGGTGGTCCGAGCGCCCTGGCCCCTGGCGGGGGATGGGAAAGGGAGCTGGCCTCCACTAGGGCTGGGCTCTGGAGCCTGCACTGGCTGCGGGTCCGGGGGGTTTCAGCCCACCAGGTGGGCAGGGCAGATGGCCATGGGGCTGGACAAGACGTCCCCTGCGGGCTTTCCTGGCCCTGCCCACTGCGCCCTGTGGGCTCAGTCACACCTGGGGGGAGCATGGCTCAAGACCAGGTCGGGCAGTTCTGTCCTTTACTGTGTCCCCAGCATCTAGCATGGCCCCTTGCACAGAGTAGTAGCACAGCAGATATCGCTGAGTGAATGAACAGATACCAAAAGTAGGTGGCAGACAGGTTGGGCAACGTGTCCAGGAGCACAGTACGTCCATGGTGGAGCCAGGACTAGAACCCCTTGCCCCAGTAGCCAGGCTGGGGCTCTTCACCCCCATCCGTCTATCTGTGAAGAGCTCAGACTCGCCGCACCCCCGCCCGGCCTGCTCTGCCACCCCCCCACCCCACCCCCGTGTGGGCCCGCCGCCCTCACCTGTCCTCCTGGAAGCAGTGAGCTGCCGTCACCACCCAGCGGTCGGCGATGAGGGCTCCCCCACAGATGTGTCGGCCCCGCACCTGCAGGCTGGCCTGCCATGGCCACTCGCCCTCGGAGGACACGGCCCCGCCCACGATGCGGCTGGAGGGGCCCTGGAGGCCACAGTCTGGGGGACAGGGCGGACAGAGGAGGTGGGGACGGGCCCAGGAGACACGGACAGAGACAGAGGGGCAGGAGCCAGGGCAGAGAGAGATGGGGGACCCACGGTGAGATTTCCCGCGGTATCCCCCCCCCGCCCCAGCGTGGCTCGGGACGCTGGTGGCTCACCACAGTGCTGCTCGTCAGAGCCGTCCCTGCAGTCCGGCCGCCCGTCACACTGCGGGTTGGGCTTCTTCACGCAGCTCCGGTCCCCACACTGGAAGGTGAATGTCCCACAGGGCACCCCTGGGGTGGAGGGGTGCAGGGCACAGAAGTGGGTCTCTGAGCCCCAAGGAAAGGTGGAGCCAGAAGACGCCAGAAGGGGACTGGGGAGGAGTCTCTTGATCACACGGAAGAGTCCCCCTGAGTCTCTTTTTAGGGTCTCCTAAAAGGCCACGTCCCACACTGTCCTCTACACTCAAAACAGGTGTATTGAGAGTGAGGCTGTGTCTCCCCTCTCAGCAAAGGGCTCCTGACACCGTCAGACTAAGGCTACCCCCTCAGCTTGGCAGTGCCCCCGCCCCCCTGGCTGCCCACCTTCCCCCTGCTCTCACCAGCCTGGTCTTTGCCTGGTGTCCTTCCCTCCTGCCTATTTACGCTGCATCTCTGGCAAGGCCCAGCTCAAAAGCCTACCTCCTCTAGGAAGCCTTTCCTGCCGACCTCTTCCCTGCCCCCAGCCTCCCCACACGACTGGACATGATGTCCAGAAGGCTTTGGGTCAGGACAGTCCCCCATGATATCTTCTTGATAATAGACACATCCCCCCCCCCGGAGGGTGGGGACCACATCTCTGGTGTCTATTCCCACTTCCTCACCCCGCCTTGCCTATCCCTGGGTAGTGTGCAAGTAGGGTCAGTTGGATGGATGCATGCATAGAACAGTGGAGCCAGGCAGAAGGTTGGGCAGACCAACCAGTGGTGGATGGATGGTCCAGCAGGGAGACTGGCAAGCAGCTGGACGGATGGATAAGTGAATGGGTGAAAGGACCGGTGGAGGAACAGGTGGCTGGGAGGTCAGTGGATGGCCGGATGGACGGATGGATTGAGCAGACGGGCAGTGGGCAGACCAGTGCATGGGCAGACTGACAGTTCAGTGGCTGTGGAGCCTGGTGAGTGGACAGGTCCGTGGAAGGGCGGGCGAATGAGTGGATGTATGAGTCAGTGGAGACAGGGTGATTGGACCAGAAGGTGGGCAGACAGAGGGACGGGCACACGGGCGCAGGCACGGGGGTTGGTGGTGTTTGCGTGAGGGGGCGGACCCCCCTGTGGAAGCACGCAGCAGGCCGGACTCCGGCGGGCCGCCCTACCTTCCCGGCACTGCTCCTCGTCGCTGCCGTTGAGACAGTCGGGCCGCCCGTCACAGACCCGGGACAGTGAGATGCACGTGCTGTCCTCTTGGCACTGGAATGTGGCTCTGCAAACTGTGGACGCAGAGGAGGCGGGTGGGAGGCAGCCGGCGGGACCTGGCGGTGCCCATACAAGGCGAGCGCCACCAGTCACAGCTCCCTCTCGGCTACTGCATGCGTGCTTCTCACAGCAACCCTGCAGACACCCCATTTCATGGTGGAAACAGAGATGAAGTGACTTCCAAGGTCACTTGGCTGAGCCAGAACTTGGAGCCAGATGTTCAGTTTCCAAGTCCAGCACGGCGCTGGGACCGCAGGCAAGTCTCCTTCCCCTCCCGCATCTCCTCCCACATAAAGCTTTGTCGGGGCAAGGAAGGGGCTGTCCCCTGCCTGAGTGGTGCTCTAGGGGCCAGAAGCTGGGGTTCAGAGGGAGAGTATTTTTCCAAGAGAGCCCTGGCTTAGGGGCCCACCATACCCTGAGCCCCTTCTCCCAGGGCTGGGCAGTGTCGAGAGCAACTCCAGTGGGCGCTGGCAGCTCCCAGGCTTTAAAGGACTCTGTCTCCCTCTCCTTAGCTGTCCAGGACCTGCCCGTCCCTGCCTAACAGCCGTCCCCTTCCTCTCGCCCACTTCTTTCCTTCTTGGAGGGCCGCCGGCACAGAAGGCAGGGGGGTACCCTGGTAGGGAGAAGCCCCGAGCCGCCGGGAGTCAGGAGACCTGGGTCCCCCCTTGTCCCTGCCACTGCCCCATGGGGCAGTCCTGGTGAGGCCACTTTCCCGCTCTGTTCCTTCGTGCTGTCTCCGCAGAGCGAGAGAGCCCCACTTCCTGGGTGCTGCCCCGGGACCTGCGTGTGTGGGGGTCTCCGCTCAGCTCTGCAGGGAAGCTGGGAGGGGCAGGGCTGGGCGCCGCTCACCACAGTTTCTCTCGTCCAGGCCATTGGGGCAGTCCTTGACCCCATCACAGGCGGGGACGCAGAGTCCGTTCACGGAGCAGAGGAACTCTCCGGGGCAAGCTAGGAAACCACAGGAGATGGTGGAGACAAGGAAGGCGCCGTTGGGACACGCATAATCATGAAAACACATGAAGAAGCGCATGCACCTGTGTGCTTGCACATGCGTGATCAGGTACCCACAGACACCTGTCTCTGGTTACCTGTGTACACAGTCCGCGCAGACATACGTGTTCAGACACGTGCACACAATGCATACACGGCTATGTGTGGGCGTGTATACCTGCGAGCCCATGTGACTGCCTTGCACACGTGGGCACGCACAAAGCTGCATGTGTTTGTGCATGCACACGCACACACACGCTCCCTCTCACTCCTTTGTCCAGCCTATCAGCAGCTGCCCACAGGCCCCTTGGCGCCAGGCTGGCGCGGGGCAGGGAGACGCTGCGGGGACCAGCCCAGCCAGCGCATACTCACGGTCCGACTGGTTGTACAGGCCGTAGTGCACCTGCACGCCGGGCCCGGTCAGGGAGATCTGGGAGGTGAAGTTGATGGTGATGCCGGCCGTGGCCACCACGGGGATCCTCTCGGCGTAGGGCTGCAGCGTGCGCAGGCCACACAGCCTGGGGGTGATCAGAGATGACTCAGGGCCACGCCGGCTCATCTCCCAGCCCAAGGGAAGGCACAGCCTGGGTGCTTGTGCAGACAGGGCAAGGACAGGGCAGCCAGCGGGGAACGGGGAGCTGGGCCCCCACCCGCACCTCACGTCTTCATTTCTCCCTTGAGTGACTGCTCACCCCCAGAGTCATCTTCTAGAAAGCAGCCTGGCTATGTCACTCCCCTGCTCAAAAACCTTCAATGGCTCCCTGTTGCCTTTGGATAAAAATCCAAAGTCTGGATTCTAGTCCCAGTCCCCTAGGAAGCTGAGATTCAGGGATCTTCTATGAGCCTCACTTTTCTCTCATATAAAACAGGGAAAATTATTATTTCTGTTGACCTTAGATATGACAAAAGGCTTCAATGTGTCAGCAGCGTCTTTGGCCCACTCTCTGTAGACAGGAGAGGTCATTATCCTTGTGCTGGGTGTGGGATGAGGGGGCAGCAGCACTCCCGATTCAGGCGCCATCCCTCCTGCTGAGACACGGCCACAGCCCTGGTGGTCTCCCTGTGACCCTCTGGGCTTGAGGGAAGGACCTTCTGCCAGGCCCAGTAGCATCTTCTCTGTGCATGGCCACACCGGGGTGGCACCCCCACTCCAGCCAGAGAGCACCCTGGTATCCCTGCTGGACAACAGCTCCCCCACAAGAAGATGCTCTTGTCCAAACAGAGCAGGTGGGAGAACTTCCACAGAGAAGCAGAGACTGTCTCTCGTACCCAGAGAACAGGTAGGAGCCATTGCGTCTCCGGGTGGGGGTACGGGGGTGCCTCCCACAGAGTATCTGGGTGCACCCCACCTACAGTGCAGGGGGGCTTGCCTTCATGGTGAGACCCTCCCCACACAGCAGCTGGGGGCTCCCTTCCACCCCAGGTGGGACACCCTTGCAGAACAGATGGGGACGCTCCGTCAGCTCGTAGGAACGGCCCCACAGAGCAAATAGGGATGCGTGGCAGGTGGGGAACCACCCAGCACATCGGCTGAACAATCTCCAGAGAGTGAACATGCCCCAGCAGAGAAAGTGGAAGGACACCAAGACAGCAGGCGGAGCACCCCAGAGGCCTGGTGGGGACGTCACACGACAGGTGCAGCACCCCGCAAGGCAGAGCACCCAATTCCCAGGCCGCAGGCGCTGCTCAGAACGTCTAGAACACAGCAAGCACTTAACAGTTCGGTCAGTCAATCAACCAGTCAATGAGCAACTGAGGATGGGGCTGGGCCTCTGCTCTGGCCCCTCCCATGGGGTGGGGGCAGCATCGCGAGACCTCATTGCAAGGGTCCTGAGGTTCCACCAGCGAGGGAGCGAGGGAAGGGAGGAACCGTTCCCATCACGCTTTACCGATGAGGTTCGTGAGGGCAAGGGCTGAGGCTGGGGCAGGAGTCTGGCCTCAGGACGCAGGAGAACTCGCCAGCCCGCTGGGCAGGGGACATTGCCATTGGCACTGCAGCTCCTCCATCCCACGTGTGCCCCAGGGGCTGGCCTGGGCTCTGGCCTCCCGCAGGTGGGTCTGGCCACAGTGACTACGTTCTTGTCCTGACGCCAACCAGCAGTTTTCAAAGTGCAGTCCAGGGACCCCTGGGGTCCAAAACTCATTGTCCTGGTAATGATCAGATGTCATTGGCCTTTTTGCCCTCTCTGTCTCACAAGGATACTACAGTGGAGTTTTCCAGAGGCTACACGATATATGATGTCGTGATCAAGCGAATTTTGAGTTCACAGGTCCAGCTGTGGCCTGTTGAGCCAGTCATTAAAGAAATTCACAAAAATGTAAAACAACAGTATGCTTGTCACTAAATGGTTTTAGTTTTGGAGAATGTAAATAATTTTAACATAAATCATTTATGTTAAAATATAATGGGCTTATTATTATATTAAAGGAATTAATAAATGTTTTTCAATTCTCCCAGTTACAAACAAAAAAATCCCAAGAAATAATAATCAGAGTTGCAAGGAGAAAAACAAAAACCAAGAAATAAATTTTACCAGTTTTAACTTCTAATACTGCAAATATAGATACATAACCTTTATAAGCAAAAACTCTTTAAGGTGCTGAGTAATTTCAAGGAGACCAGAGACGGAACATTTGGAGAACCCCTGTCCCATGCCAAGATTCCCAGAGCCCTGCGCTGGCCCAGGTGGGCTGAGCCACCACCAGGGGGGGCCCCCGAGCAAGCCTGGCCCTTCTTGCCCTTTAAAAAGTTATTGCGGATTGTTTTCCTCTAAGAATAGCCCCAGGAAGTGGGGGTTGGGAAATTGGGACGTGTTGGGCCGGGCAGGAGGCGTCAGTGCCTCCCTAACAAACTTGAGGTTCAGGGACCGGGGTTGGGGGTGTTCCCACACAGTCACAGAAACTGGAGAGACAGGGAAGGAACCAGTCTGTAGAGGGAGGCAAGTGGAATGCTTCGACCCAGCAGAAACTGCATGGGGGGCTGCGTAGACACCCCAAGCTGAGCAATGGGCAGGGATCTCTAAGGCACCTGGACCTGCCAACGGGAGGTTCTCTCTGCTGTGCTCGGGCAAGAACACCAGAATCCCCCCCCCCCCCCCCCCCAATGCTCAACCTCATACCCAGGGTCCTGCCTCTGGAGGGCGGAGCAGCACTAGGTTCTCCCTCTGAGGCCTGGGGCAGGGTGGAGGGCTGGGGCACCTTTGGAGGGGCCAGGCAGCATTGAAGGCAACAGCTGCAATCTAGTGATTGAAGCTGAGTCACCCAACTTAAAGATGATCTGTTTAGTCTATGCAGTGTTAAAAAAAATAATGTTTAATTTAGTTTCCAGCTGATTTCCCACAATAATCTAGAGTGTTGCTCCTCCTGAAGAACGAGAAGCCCCGAAAACACTGGCTGGAGCTAATCCGGCAGGACACATGCAGCCCTGCTTCTCCCCGCCTCCCTGTGCATCCTGCCCTCGGACGTTCCAGCTGGTCCGGCCCATTGCCCCACCTGGCTTTCTGGTTCCTGCTGCACAGCCTTCTGGGGGTGGGGGCACATTCTCTGGCTCTCCAACTCCTTCCATCCACCAAGTGCTCTCCCCCAAGCCCTCTCCAAGAAGCACCAGAGTCTCACAGCTGTGATGCCCACCCACTGATCTCAGCTGCAAAGTGCTGAGTGTCTGAAGGCACGTTTTTGCATCACGTGCAAGGGCCTGCCTTGCTTTCACACCTCTCTGGATCTGGGGGAGATTTCAGGGACACTGTCAACTTTCTTGCAGATCAGCAAGTCTACCTGGAGGAATCTGAGAAGTACTGAATGGATGGGTGGGTGGATGGATGGATGGATGGATGGGTGGATGGATGGATGGGTGGGTGGATGGGTGGATGGGTGGATGGATGGATGGATGGGTGGATGGATGGGTGGATGGGTGGATGGATGGATGGGTGGATGGATGGATAGATGGATGAGTGGATGGATGGATGGATGAGTGAATGGATGGATGGATGGGTGGATAGATGGATGAGTGGATGGATGGATGGATGAATGGATGGATGGGTGGATGGGTGGATGGATGGATGGATGAGTGAATGGATGGATGGATGGGTGGATGGAAGAAAATGTGAGGGTTGGATGGGTGAATGGGTCAGGAGGGAAGGAAGGAAGAGAGGAAGGAACACCGGGCAGGTGGGGGATGAATGCACGCCTGCACACCCTTTCCTAAGGACAGGCTGAATGGGAGGAAGGGCCAGAGATGGCGAGCACTGAAGGAAAGAGGAGAGCAGCGACTGATGTGGTGGCCAGAGCCTTGGACCTAGAGTTGCAGAGCTGAGCTTGAGGCCCAGATTTGCCACATGTACACTCTGTGTGACCTGGGGCACGTGGCTCAACGTCAGCGAGCTTTAGTTTTCACGTCTGTAAAATGGGGCAACTGTGTAGGAGATTTTAGTGTAAATAATAATAAAATGACTGCTCTGAAAGCACGGCACTGACGTCTCAGGCTATGAGCTCACCTGGGCAGGGCTGGAGTCCCCCTCTGCACGCCGGCCCAGGACGTCGGCACTTGGCAGTGCCCAGTGAGCGCCTGCACTACAGGCAGTGCTGGCCACCAGGGCCTCCATGAGCACAAGGCCACGGCACAGCCAGGCCAGAGGGCGCTCCAGCCAGCCCAGGGAGCCTGCGGCTCTGCCTGTCCCCATTGGCCGGGAGTGACTGGAAACGGTTGGGCAGATCACAAGAGCAGTGACTGACGTCACAGGAGAGGAAGCTGGAGGGAGGCAGGTTCCCGGAAAGGGGGAAGCCTGAGCTGCGGTGGTGCCCAGGGAGTGGCTTCTGTGACACTGAGCAGCTGGTGGCCGGATCTCATGAGGCCAAGGCCCTCCAGTGCCCCCAGGCCACTTGAGGGCATGAGGCCTCAGCAAGGGGGGGTACTGGGAGAAGCTGGGTAGAAACAAGGGGGTCGGGGTGGGGACAGGCACAAGGGGCTCAGGGGAGTTGGGTGATGGGCCCAAGGGTGCCCAGCCAGTGGAGGGTGCCCGACCCTATCCTGGTCACTATGCAGGCACCTGAGGGCTAAGACACCCTCTCCCCTAAACCCTGTGCCTGAAAATCTACCCCTGCCCAGATGGCTCCTGTCTTTGCCACCCACACAAGCGGATTTCCAACAAATGCTCATTCGCAGAATTTCCCAGTGTCTGCATGGGACGATCGTTATCACAAGCGGTGACGACTAGAGGAAACGGCTGGCCGGGCTCACGGCTTGCAGTCCCACCTCTGCCTTCCCTGCCACGCTCAGACAGGGCAGCAGCCTGGGAGGGGTGGTGGAGGGCCCGGTTATCCCCCTGGGGACCCCGGATCCTTAAAGGCGGTCTGAGAAGACAGGGCCGGGACTTTGTGGGCTGCTCTCGGAACCGGCGGGAGAGCCACAGAAAGCGTCCGGGATGCCAGCGGACTGGTTGGGAATGCCTTGGCCCAGGGAGCTGACGGCTGGCAGCGGCTGCGCAGAGGCGCTGGGGGAGGAGTCCACGCGGGTGTGAGCACTGCGCTCGCACACATGCACACTCACGTGCACATACGTGCGTGGATGCACACACACGCACACGTGCAGGGCACCCAGGCGCGCTCTGGACCTTGCTGCCTGGGCCCGACTCTGGCTCAACAAGCTGGGTGACTTAGTGCAGATTACTTCGCCTCTCTGTGCCTCCGGTCCCTCACTGGTTATGAAGGTGGCACAGCACTTGCCCCCTCACCAGGTTGTTGAGCCGGCGCCGTGAGCCCCTTAGCATGAGCCTGCCCTGCCCGGCGTGGAGTGAGAGCTGGGTGCTAAGGTGGGGCGCTGTGCTTCCTCCAGTGGGGAGGGATCTCTCTTATGCCCATTTTCCAGATGAGCCACCCACGGCTGGCAGAGTTGGGTCCTTGTCCAAGCAGGGAGCAGAGGAGCCAAGTTTTGAACCCTGGTCTCTGGCTTTGACACTTAGGCTCTTTCCACCTCACCAGCCTGATTGGAACGATGTTTTGTTAGGAATTAATAAACACAACTGATTTGGCAGACAACGTCCTCCTGACAAGTTAATAGTAAAAGATTGGGGCGCTGGGCTGGCCTGACCGCTGTTTCACAGACGAGGAAGGGGTGCACTCGGAGCTCCACTCCGAGCCAACAGCCAGAAATCTCTGAGCACCGCCCAGCCCCCAGGAGGCCGGGGAGGCTGGGGATGGGGGGTGGTAGAGGCAGAAGAGGCAAGGACAAGAGGCCAAGTCCTTAGCCTCTCTAGGCCTCAGTTTCCCCGCCTGTAAATGGGTGAGGGCTGGGCACTGTGACCAGTCCAGCCCACACATTCTATAGCTCCATGGTGCTTGGAGACAGTGGGAGAGATCCCCACGCCCGCTGGAGTTTGCCATAGTGCCTACAATCCACCATCATGGGCCATTCCTTTTAAGACTATCCCATCCACGCTCCACACTTAAAGCACCCTCTGTCATTACCCAGGGCAGCTCACGAAGTCCCTGGTGCCCCAGCTCCAGCCCCAGCCCCTCGCCCAGCCACTTCCAGCTGCATGGGAGAGGGAGGAGGTGGCTCTCCCCTGGGGAGCATGGTTCGGTGGGTCCTGTGTCCCGCTGTTTGTGGCTGGTGATGGGTACGGGAGAGGCCCTACCTGTGGACCCACCTGCATGCCACCTACTCCCACCGAGCCTCCATCCCTCCTCTGGGAAATGGGAACGATGCCACTGACCACCCAGGTTGCTGGGCCAGTGACCCGAGGGCCCCGTGCCAAGCACCTAGCTCGGTGTCGCCGTGCCCCTGGCGCTGGGGCTGGCCTCTGGCAGACGGAATTTCCACAGTGGGGTGTCAGACCCAAGACTGTTTGCTTTCCTTCCTAAGACTCCCCGAGATATCAATTTAGCTCTGGGCGGGGGGAGGGGTGGCAGGAACACACGTTATCATTCTTCACAGAACTGTGAATCATGGGTCAATCTCAGGGTCACCCACAGTGACGCTATGGGGTGGGCCCAGCCGTACTCAGCCCAGGCAGGTAGAAGGGGGGCCCCAAAGACGCTCAGGAAGGACCAGGGCAGCCATGCCGAGAAATGCCCCCCCTGTGCTAAAAGGTGCCTTTTGCATTCCAGACAGCATACACCTGAAGTCACACCACCAGCATGTCACCCCTCAACAGGACAGGCCTAAGTCACACCACCAGCATGTCACCTCCCCAAAGGACAGGCCTAAGTCACACCGCCAGCATGTCACCTCCCCAAAGGACAGGCCTAAGTCACACCACCAGCATGTCACCTCCCCAAAGGACAGGCCTAAGTCACACCGCCAGCATGTCACCTCCCCAAAGGACAGGCCTAAGTCACACCACCAGCATGTCACCTCCCCAAAGGACAGGCCTAAGTCGCACCACCAGCATGTCACCTCCCCAAAGGACAGGTCTGAATTCACACCACCAGCATGTCAGCTCCCCAAAGGACAGGCCTAAGTCACACCACCAGCATGTCACCTCCCCAAAGGACAGGTCTGAATTCACACCACCAGCATGTCACCTCCCCAAAGGACAGGCCTAAGTCACACCACCAGCATGTCACCTCCCCAAAGGACAGGTCTGAATTCACACCACCAGCATGTCACCTCCCCAAAGGACAGGTCTGAATTCACACCACCAGCATGTCACCTCCCCAAAGGACAGGTCTGAATTCACACCACCAGCATGTCACCTCCCCAAAGGACAGGCCTAAGTCACACCACCAGCATGTCACCTCCCCAAAGGACAGGCCTAAGTCACACCACCAGCATGTCACCTCCCCAAAGGACAGGCCTAAGCCACACCACCAGCATGTCACCTCCCCACCAGCACAGGCCTAAGTGGCACCTTGGGCACTTCTTCCTTTTAATCACAGTCCCTAATAAATTGCCAAAGTCCCGCGAGGGAGTAAACGTCAAGCGAGTGTTGTCCATCCCTGTCGCCCTTTGTCTGGATGATCCGTTGAATGGATCAACCAACAAGCAGAGTGTGAGTGCCGGTGAATGGGAACAGCCTCTGAACCTTCCAATCTTAGCACCTTCCAGTGTTGGAATCCTGGATGCTCAAAACCTTGAAGCCAACAAGGGAAGCATCTTGCACACTAGAAATTCAGCCTGTCGCCCCCAGAATCCCGGGGTTGGGAGGGAGGGCAGGGCCCTGCCTGCTATGGGCCGTGGGACTCCTCTTGAGACGCTCTCCAGGTGAGCACGGGTCTCCCTGGCTCGGCAATGGCTACTTCAAGATCCCTCCGCTGCCCCCAACAATGGAGCCACAGGAGGGCCTCCCCCTCCTGTCCCCGGACCTCCCCTGTGAGCATTGCCCCCTGCCCCTGCCCCTGCACCCTTCCCTCCCTCTGCAGCGTGCTCTGTGCTCTCCTCCGTCTTACACGCCCCCTTCCTCGACACCCATGGTCTCCCAGCCGCTAGACTCAGTCCTCACGCCACTGCCCAGACCCCAGCCACAGCTGACCCTGGGGACGGCTCCGCGCCCGCCTGACCCCACCGTCTCCCGCCCACCTCCATGGAGGGACTCACTTCTTTGTCAGAAACTGAGTTACCAGAGAGACCAAAGCCAGGAGCAGGGCCCAGGGTGGGCGCCCTGCAGGGGGCGGGGACCCAGGGCACTCCTGCTGCCGCCTTCCCTGCAGAAGCGGCTGGGGTGGCACGAATGGCGGCCCGCGCTGGCTGTGCAGCCCGGAGTGGGGTGGGGAGAGGCGCCCCCCGCCCCGGGCACCCGTGTGGCTGTAGGGGCAGGGCACTCGGGCACCCGCGAGGCCCAGGCTCCCACATCTTCTCATTTAAGGGTCCGGGTGCCGGACGTGGGTTACAGCCCCAAGGAAATGAGACGTTTGCTCTGACTGGGGTCCACACCCAGAGTGTCTGGGGACCAAACGTGTCTGAGTCCTCTGGGGCAGGAGGAGTGGAGGCTGGGACCGGGCCAGGACGGAGACAAGATGGGGGTGACGGGCCCAATACCAGCCGGTGCTGCCGCGCTGCAGTCCCAGTCCTGGGCTCCCGGGGGCGGCTGTGGGGGAGCGGGAGAGGATGGGGTCCCGGGGCGCGTACCTCCTGTTCTGGATCGTCCACTGGCCCTGGGTACACGGCAAGTCATATTTCTGCCTCCGCAGCGCGTAGGCGTCAAACCAGAGGGCCAGGCCGTAGTCCAGAGACGGCACCTGGGAGGGGGAGCGGGTCGTCCGGTGGCCTGCGGTGTGGCCAGCCCGGGGCCCCACGTGCCCAGACAACGCGGGAGAGGGAGGCCAGCTGACACAGAACCCCCGCTGGGGCTGAGGTCTGTCAGTCTCTCAACAAACAGGCATCGAGTGACCAACAGAGGAAGACCTTGGTTACACCCGCCACCCGGCCTGGCAGGATTTGGACCCAGGGCTGAGCCTGTGGGGCCTTCAGCAGAGGCAGGACACTACTCCCCTCCCACCCCAGTGCCCCGGAGGCCGGTGGGGTGCTTTGGGCACAGGGCAGGTGGGCGGGCAGGCTGGGGGCTCACCGTGAAGTGCCAGGAGCAGTGGGTGCTGGGCGAGTAGTAGCTGGGGAAGTACGGGGTGCTGAGGATGCCTTGCGGCTCCAGCCGGCCCTCCAGCGTCAGGTTCACCTCGCAGCCTGGACCCCGAGAGCAGCCATTACACAGGGTCCCTCGGCCCGCCCAGGCTGCACCTCCATCGGGCTGCGTCCACTCGAGACCCCACCTTCCCTGCCACCACTACCAGTAAAGCCCAGTGGTTGAGTGTGGCTGTGTGAATTTGAGCCTCAGTTTCCTCATCTGTACAATGGGCACAATAACACTACATACCACATAGGGTAATTGAGCGGATTAAATAGATATATAAAGCTCAAATAGCCTGGCATGTAGTAAGTGCTCAATAAATGTTCGTTATTGACATTAGTGGTACAGCACTCAATAGTTCACAAAATGCACTCACAACTGCGCAAGCCTCATTTTCTGGTGGATCGGGGGAGAGTTATTCCCTTTTTCAAAGCTGAGTTTTGGAGAAGAGGAGTGGCTTGTTGGGGTCACACAGGGGAAGGTGGAGAGGCCAAGGGGTGAGTAGCAGGAGTGTCCTCCGCTGTGCTGGCCATCTCTCTACGTGGTGGCGAGTGGGGGAGAAGCTACCTGCCATCCTCCCTTCCTGCCCAGAGGCAGGGCAGCCTGAGTGCAGGGCAGGGTGGGCTTCCTGGGAAGGGGGGAGGGGAGGGAGACCAAGAAGCAGGAGGAGGGCAGGGCGGGGCTGGGAAGGGCAGATGGGGCACCCTGGGGGGGTACCTGCCAGGCCAGTGGCCTTGGCCTTGCAGTGCTGTGTCATTGCCCCTCCCCAAGCGCCCCACACCCTCCCCCCTGGCAGTGAGAGGACTGTCTGGGGCTGAGTGGGGGTCGCAGCTCAGCCAGCCTGGGTGCAGAGGGAAGGTGCAGACAGGTGCGGGGGAAGCAGAGGGAGGACAGACGTTGCATAGGAAGGAGGAAACACAAGATGACAGAGGAGAGGAAGGGCAGTGAGGGCTGAGGGTAGATGGGAGAGGAGGAGCCGGGAAGGGCAGGAGGGAAGGAGAAGGTGGAAATGAGCAACAGCAGAATGAAGAGGGCCAGGGTGCTGGGTGGAGAGCACAGGAGCTTCCAGAACCTTCCCCTGCCCCATCCCACCCCAGCTAGGGCAGAGGAGGTGCAGCGCATGCCCTGGGGAGGGCCCTGGGTTTCTGCCCCGCCCCTCACCCTGGAAGGCCACGGGCTGCACGGAGAGCGCGAAGGGGTCGTAGTAGCTGTGCAGGCCCTTCTTCCAGACCACCGCCATGACGGCGCCCGACGCCAGCACCTCCACCACGGGCTCCTGCCGGCTGCAGCCGTAGACCCTGCGGAACAGAGGGGGCTGGCGAGGGGGCCTGGATCTGGACGGGAGTGGCAGGGAGGGTGGCAGGGTGGCTGCGGGAGGGACAGAGGAGGTAGACCGGAGTCTGTGCCCCTGGGTTCCGGGCCTGGCTCTGCTCCCAGCCCGCTGTGTGTCCCGGCAGGTGTCTGCCCCTCTCTGGCCCCAGGGAATGGACGGAGGCCTCCAAGGGCCAGCCGGCTCCTCAGCTGAAAGAGGCCGGGAGGGCCCAGACTTCTGGCGCTCACAACTCGATTATGGTGTCTGGCTGCGGCCCTACAGCGCCCCGTCTGCACCCCCTCAGAATCAGCTGTGCCCTGAGTTCCCTGCAGGGACCCTGGCACCTGCAGGGCCACCCCTCTGGCTGCCCACATGCGGCTCCTGGCCTCGTTCGAGGCTGGGACAGGGAGAAAGCAGGTGTGTTGTCTGGTGACCCCCGAGGTGCCCCAGGCGTCTACCCACGTGGTTAAAGGCAGGCGAGGGTCCCCCCTGCCTCATCTTCCCATCCCCACCGCCCCCCACCCCCACTGCCCAGCATGTTTCTGGGGTGCAGTTTGAGGACCCCAGTCTCGTCTGACCAGTCATTTTAGACCTTCTCCAAGGGTCCGCGACGAGGTGCCGGGTGCCACAGCGAGCAGGGGCAGAGCTGGCGGCCAGGTCCCCTCCCAACAGCAGGCTCCCGGAGGCACCCAGAGAAGCCCAGGGGAAGCCCCTGGGCGTCCCCATCCTCCCGGACTGGGATGTCAGAGGTGTCGCTTCTCTGCACTTCCCAGGGCCCTCCAGGAACTCAGCCCACGCACACCCCAGCGCAGGGTTACCGCACAGCAGGGCAGTGGGAGGGGTGCAGAGGAGCGCAGGCCTGGGGGAGGTGCAGGGTGCCCTTGATCTGAGCGCTCAGGTCCCACCCCCGTCCTGAGCCCGGCCCTGGTGAGACAGAAGAGCCACCGGGCTGGCGCCAGGCACAAGGTAAGTGCTCAGCAAACAACTGCTGAGAGCTGCTGTCCACATGTCCCCCCACCGACCTCCTACACAGCCTTGGAGGCCAACACCCTCCCCCACCCTGTGGGGGTGGCCAGGTTCCTGGAGGCCAAGGCCATTTCCAGTCCCTTCTCCCTACTCTACCACCTACCCTGGGATTCTGGTCACTTCTGCACTCCACACCAGGCTCCTGCCCTAAAGCCCTAATCCTCTGCTCAAGAACTTTCAGTAGCTCCCCACTTACCAAACATCAAAGTCCAAACACTGCTCCTGGCACTCAATGCCCTGAAGAGCATGGCACAGAGAGTCTGAATGGAATCCTCCAATAACCCTCCAAGGTGAGCATGATCGTACACCCATTTTGCAGGTGAGAAAAGTGAGGCTCAGAGAGGCAAAGTAACTTGACTTAGGGCACACAGATAGGAAGCAGCAGAGGAGGTTGGAAGTCCAGGCTGCTGCCAAACTCTGAAATACTCCAACAAACCATGATGCCTCCCAGAGCTGGCCTTAGGGTCATCTAGAATAACCTCTTTGCTACATACGGGGAAACTGAGGCTCAGAGAGGGGAGGGGGACTGCCCACAATACATGACCATTGCCAGCTTCCTCTCCCCACCCCCGAGGCTGGCCATCCTGTCTCCCGGACACCCAGGCCCAGGGTCACGCAGCCCCGTCTCGGAATTCTGGGTGTGATCTTTGACCCCCACGTCACCCACCCGCCTTCCAATGCCCGCCCGCCCACCTGGCCGGGGACTCACGAGGTGATGAGCCTCCTCTCCAGGGGCCCGGCTGCGTCGTACATGGCCAGTCGGTCCCGGCACTCGGCCAGCGTCCACTCGAGCCGGAGTTTGAGCATGAGGTCCTCGGGGCCCTGCAGGTGCCACAGGCAGCTGGAGGCCAGTTGGTCGGGACCCTTCAGCCGGAGGACCTGGCCCGGGCCCACGTAGCTGTAGCGGTAACAGCCTGGAGCGGGGAGAGGGGCAGAGCCCCTGGCTCCTGTGAGCCGGAAGGAGCGGCCCTCCGGGCTGGGGTGGGGCGGGAGAGGAGCCCGAGGGGCAGCCCTTCCCTGCTGCTTCCCCTTCCCCGTCTCCTCATTCACGCATTCATTCACTGCTTCATTCATTCACGGAACAACACGCCGTGCTGGGCGAGTGTCCAGTTGCTGTTGGGAGCGCCGAGAACAGCAGGGACAGACGGGTGACAGGCGGTGAGGGTGCAGCCCCGGCCTGTGGCTCAGGGGCATCCTGGGGGTCACAGAGTGAGCAAGAGGCAGGGCGAGCACAGGACGTGCAGCAAGAGGACAAGCCGGAGACAGGAGGGCAGAGCCCAGACCACACGCCTGCGGCCACAGGGAGGCCTGGGAGGTTAGGCAGGGCTGGGACGTGGTCTGGCTGGGATCACAGACTGCTCTGGCTCCAGGAGCAACACTGGGGAGCTGGGGACCAGCAAGAGGACCATGCAAGGGACAAGCGGAGGAGGAATAAGGCTCTCACTTCCGCAGAGAGAAGGGAGCGCACCCAGGAGGGGTCTGGGAGGCAGCCCTGGGGGGTGGCAGCCTTGAGCTAATGACAGTGCTGCCACAAGAAAGAAACAGGTGGAGCTTGCCAAGCACGTGCCCGCCCTGAGCCAAGTGCGTCACACTCGGCCCCTCCCTGAATGCTCATGGCAGATCCATGAGAACCTTTCTACCATGGCGCCCATCTTCCTACCTGGGCTGGACAGATCCGGGTTCGCCTAACCGCCACCTACTCTCTCCCGGCCTCGGAGTGGGGGCAGTAACACCACCCTTGCACAAGGCTTGGGTGACGCAGGGTCAGTGCTCAGCATAGCGGAGGGCCCCGAAATGTGGGGGCTCCTCGGGAAGTGACCATGGGGAGGGAGCAGGTGGGGCTGGGGGGACAGCCCTGCGACCTGCCATCCTGCAGCTGGCCCGTCTCAAGGCTGCCTCTCCTGATGCTGCCTTCCCCCACCCACCCCACCCCACCCCGCAGGGAGCCCCCTCTCGAAGCTGCTCCCCCACTTCGATGCGGCTCGAACTTGGGAAGCAGAGCCACCCACATCACTTGTTCCCTCGCTACAGCGGCTGTTGGGCCGCGACTGCACGTTCCATCTGGGCACCAGGGCCCCTGTCCTCCCCCGAGGAGCCACAGCATCTCATTCAAACCTCCCCGCACCTGCCGAGCAGGGGGGTTGGGTTGGGTGTTCTGCCGGGAAGAAGCAGGGATTTAGGATTGGACCCTGGTGGGAGGCAGCCTGGTGACTCCAAATTACAAGACCCGAGCTCTCAGTCTATCTCCTCTGCTTTAAAGTGTCTTCCTTGAAAGGTCACAGACAAGCAACGGCCCCTCTGTCAGCTTGGCCAGCCTGCGGCGGGGCCAGCCGTCGCTGGGCCCCAGGGGGAGGCAGGGGAGGAAACTGGAGCGGAGGGGACAGAGGGGCAGCACCTTCGCCACCCCAGGCCACCGCTCCTCGGCTGTGCGGCTCTGGGCCAGTGGCTGCGCCACTCTGAGTTCGGTCAAGAAGACGCAATAAAAATCCCTGTCCCGCCTCCATCTCGGGTGTTCTGAAGGCCCAGAAGGCAGCGAGGGGAGCGTGCCTCGCGCTGGTGCGGCGGCCTGTGGCCCGGCTCCCCCCGGCCTTGGCCTCCCCAGGGAGAGACCCCTGGCGTCCGCCCGCCCGTGGCAGGGACAGGGCCTCCGATATCTGCCTCCACCACCGCTGGGGCAAGGGGCCCGGCTGCTCCCCAGGTGTTTATGTTCTTTAAGTCTTGCCCCAAGCTGACGTTTTGCTCTTGCTACTTTAATAATTGTTTTCCTTGAGGCGAATTAAGTGGAGAGGTAGGTTTTGACCGCGTTGTTAATCGGAAACAGGTTGGGGGAACCTGGTGCCTCTGGGCACTGGGCAAGGAGCTGGCCTGGTGCGTTCTCCTCTCCGGGCCTCTGCAAGCTGCTCCAGCCTGACAAGTCCCTACCTATCCCCCACGCCTGAGTCTGACGCTGCCTCCAGGAAGTCTTCCCGGATGCCCCCAGCGGGAGCAACTCCTTCCTCCTGGGCTGCCAGCGTCCTGTGTTGTGTCCCTAAAGGAACAGACGCTCCTTCCGCTGCTTCGGGTCCCAGCCCCCAGCGTCCATCTGCGGCCCAGGACAGAACGGGCCCTCGCTCACTGCCTCCGGGCCTCTTTCCTCTCGGGGGCACGTGGGGTTGTAAGACTCTGTTTTCGTGCCTGTCTCCCTCACGGGCTCGGAGCTGCACAGGATGCGGTCACCGGGACGTCCTCAGCGCAGGCACGGGCCTGGCATGGAGGAAGGGTGCTCAAAATATCGACTCAGAGGGTCTGAATTGTCATCGCCACCCCTGAGACTCTGCTCCGCAGGGCAGGGCTCTGCATGTGTGCTGAGCCACACACGGACAGTGACAGAGCAGCTGCCAGAAACACGGGGACGCGGGGACGCGGGGACGCGGGGTGCAGACACACAGGGCAGGCAAGGGTAACGCACATGCCCTGGCAGGGCGCACTCACACCTGGGGACGGGTGCCACATGGGCGCAGCGCCGGCACTCATTCCTCAGGGGGTCCGGCCGGGTGGCAGTGGCTCGCTGCCCTAGCTGGGTGCCTGCCCCCTCTCCGGTTCCCGCCCCTTCGTCCCCCACCGGGGCCCAGCAGATGGCCGGCCCTGGGGGTGGCCTGCAGGCTGACCAAGCTGACAGGGGCTTCTGCTCCTATGTGACCTTCCCGAGAGGATGTTTTAAGGCAGAGAAAATAGACAGAAAGGGTTTTCACTTGCAAAAGCGCTGGAGAGGTTAGGGCATGCGCAGAGCCGGGCTATGCGGAGAGCTCAGGGACTTTGCTGCTTGTTTTCACTATCAAGACTGTGTTTCTCCCGGTTCTCACCCAAACCCCAGCCCCATCTCCTCCCGGGGCTGCAAATTAAAATGCAGACTCCAGAGGAGAGCAGGGTTCTGCATTTTAACTTACTTTTCAGGGATCCTGGGAGCCTCAGAGCTTGAGAACCACTGCTATAAACCAAGAGTAGGGGGAAAGGCATGCAGTTATAAAAGCCATCCAGAAAAATTCAAAACTTGGAAATAAAGCAGACTACTGTACTGAGAGCCATCTCAAGCCCACTGTGGAGCAGGGGTTCTCAATGTGGTGCCCCACGGGGTCCCTGACACCCTCTCAGGCGCACCTCAAGGTCAAAGCTATTGTCTCAGTGATACTAAGGGATGCTGGTGTTTGCCTTTTGCGCACAGTGGAGCTCCCAAGGCCGAGTGGCCTGTGGCACGAAGCAGATGCGAGCGCCCAGCTGTCTGCCGGGCACCAGAGAGGCACAAAAATGCACAACGGTGCCAGTCTTCAAAAGAAATTTTTGTTTGTTGGAAAATAGTTATTTCTTATAAAAATACTATGTTAATATGGAAAGGTTTATTATTGTTTTAAAAATAGATCAAAATGAATTAATAAATGTTTAATTCATCAATAATTTAATTTATTGGTTTTTAAATTTTGCTGTTTTCATCTCTATGGTAAATATTGACACCTACAATTCACGTAAAACCTCTTTGGGAGTCCTCAAAACTTTCTAAAAGTATCAGAGAGTCCTGAAATCAAAAACAGTTTGAGGGGCTTTGCCCTAGATCAGGGGTCAGCAAACTTCATCTACAAATGGCCAGATAGTTAATATCTTAGCTTTGAGAGTTAAGAGACAAAACTGAGGCTATTAGTAAATATGTAGGTACTTCTATAACAACGGAAAAAATAAACTTCCATAGGATTGTTTTCAATCATTTAAAAATGTAAAATCATTCTTGGCTTGTGGGCCACACAACATAAGGAAGCAGCGGGCCAGGTGTGGTGTGAAGGCTGCGGCCCTGACTTGCTGTTGACCTTGACTACCAATCCCAGACTCTTCAGAGTTAGATGTTAACTTTTAGAAGACTAATAAGCTGTAAATGACTTTGGTTCACTAGGAAAGATAACAACAAAGGTTAGAGTTTTATTGCCTGGTAGGACATTAGCTAGTTGGGGATCTAACTTGGTAACCTTACTCAACAATTATTTTTATCCACTACAGATAGATAGATAGATAGATAGATAGATAGATAGATAGATGATAGACAATAGATATAGGTAGGTAGATAATAGATGATTATCTAGATGGATAGATGATAGAGCAGTTTCTTGTGTTCTCTTCCATCCTACTGGTTCCCCCATTAATGAGTTAAATAAATTTTTGACACAGACTCGTTCTATCTTTGTATGAGAATCATGATTTTAACTTTTTGAAAATTGACTTTGACCTCATCACTTCCACCCACCAAGGAAATAAGCATCTGACCATCAGGATGGGAAGAGAGAAAGGTCAGAAAGAGTAAAATAAGGATTTAAACTCTGCCTCCCTCCCTGAGAAGGGGTTGAGGTGCTCACTCCCACCAAGTATCTGGGTGGAAACTCTGCATAGCTTAGGAAGAACCTGAGAATTCAGAGGCTTGTGTTCAGGGCCATAGGGTACAGCAGCCCAGGTGGTGCACTGCGCAACTCCAGGGGTTGCCAGTCCCACAGACTACCACGTGAGTGTTGCCTCCCGGCATTGTGCAGCAAGGAGCTCTGCCGGTGCTTTGCTTCCCAGAAGCAGAAGACCGTGGGGCCTCTTGGAGAAAAGCGAGGGGCGCTAGCAACATGGCACCAGGTGGGGAGGGAGAGCCGATTAGCCTGGCTGAGAAGGGAAGGAAAAGGTAGAGGGAGTATTCTTGAATGCGACAGAATTGTTATCTCCAAAAGACCAAGTTTCAAGTCCAAAGTGACTGATACACCTTCAGCCGGCAAGATCATTTTCTACAATCAGTGGAAACAGTGGCTTGTTTGCAAGTTGAACTCAGCGATAGACAGTCAGAGGCACGTTTATGTGTGACTAAACCTGCAACTGGCCTCACACCCCACCCAGGCGATAGATGCACACCCGTCTGCAAGACACACACGTACACGCGTGCACACCACCGGCTCCCCTGCCCCCACAGGCCCCACGCCTTCCTTGCTCAGGACTGGTCGCCCAGTCCCCCATGGCACCCCTGGGTGACTCTAGGCCAGGGCTCCCTGCACCCTCTCTAGGAGCCACGTGGCCCCCTGACACTCGGCCAAGCCAAGAAAAACACCAACTCAAAAGGAAAGCGGGCAGGAAAATAAAAGTCGCGTACCCAGCGTGGAATTCAGTGCGACTATGTCTTTCACGCTGGCTTCTGTTAAAAGGAAATGAACAAAGACAAAATGAATAGATAAAATGCAAAGAAAATAAAAATAGAGGAGACTATTGGAGCCAGCCTCGTCTGAGAGTCACCCTAGATGCCCCCACCCCACCCTTCAGTCCCAGCTCTGGGTCACTTGGGGGCCCACCCTGAGCGCCCCCCAGCCCTGGCCGGTGCCTCCAGCCACCAGCTCGTCTCCCCCAGCCTCGCCAGGCCGACCCACATTCCCCTCCCGATACTGACCCAGGATCAGCAGGCCCTCGGGGTCCACCTCGTACTCGGCGCTGTAGGGGGCCGAGCCGTTGGCCGAGGACAGCAGCTCCTCCACCAGCAGCGCCCGCACCACCTCGGGGCCCAGCATCGGCCGGCGGTGCTCGGGGATTTGGAGAATGAACCAGAAGAAGCAGGTGAGGGGTCCCTCTCTAAGGCAGGCAGAAGTGAGAGGGCCAGAAAGGAGCCTGAAGTCTGGCCTCTGCCCGGCCCCGCTCGGGCGGGGAGATCCAGCTGTGGCTCGTGCGCACGGCACGCTCGCTACGCCCCCGGCAGCGTTCTCCCTCCTCCCGTGGAAGCCTCCTAGCAACCTGTGAGGGAGGGGCTCTCACCGTCCCCATCTTACAGGTGAGGAAACTGAGGCACAGGGTGTTGAGTTGTGTGCCACAGTCCCACACCCACTCGCTCTTAATCTCCCAACCCACATGGCCTCACGGGCGCGGGGCCCTTGGTCAGCGTGTCACAGCCAGCGTCTAGTGTAAGCCCCACACCACGGCGCCCCGGCTACAGGTGAGGAGACCAAGCCCAGGAAGGGAGGTCACATGCAGGGTGCCGAGTTCCTGTCCGTGCCTTAGTTTCCCTGTTCTAAACGTTGCATCGGCAGTCCGCAGGGCCGCCCTTGCTTTCAGTCTGGGGCCCTAGCAGGGGCTGGCGGGGCCGGGCCGACTCACCCGAAGGCGTAGACGGAGCTGGAGTTGTAGTAGGCTCCCAGGCGGGTGCTGGCGACGAGCTCTGCGAGCTGCGAGGGGGGAGAGTGAGCCCCGGGGACGGGGACAGGGTGCGGGGCGGGCGGGCCCTTCCTACCCTTGCCCTCCCGGCAGCCCGCTTGGCGCAGGAGCCTGTGGGCACAGTGGCTTGCGCGGGCACACAGCGGGCAGTGGCCCCGCCAGGCACAAATGTCCCACCCTGCTCGCCTTCCCCCCCCCAGCTCTCCCCTCCACCAGAAGCCCAGCGACCTCTCTGCCCCTCGTCAAGGTCACTCCCCAACTCCGAAAGGCCCCACTGGGCTCCTGGGTCCCCTCCACACCTCCTCCCACGGGCCTGGGGTACCCCCGCCGCTCTGCGGGGGCTCGGCTGCTGGGGTGTTTGCACGGGTCGACTGTGGCACCAGGCGGGCCACGTGGCCACGTTATCCCAACCGCGGTCCAGCCCCGTAACAACCCTGCCCCTACGGCCAGGTCCTGTCATGGCATCCTCAACACCAGGTCTGCTTGTGGGGTTGTAAAGTTGATGACTTTACAGCGGAGGAGGCAGAGGGCCTCAGGCAGAGCCCCCCAGAGGCAGGCCCTGTGTCAAAGACGTGGGGCAAGTGGCTTATTCGGAGGTGATTCCAGAAAACACCACTCGGGAAGGGGAGAGACAGGAGGGTGGCCGCCAACACGGGCTGTTAAGGCACAGACTCGAGCTATGGGCGTCTGCGGCTCAGCCCAACAGGGCACCCCTGGGCGACGGCGGGGGACATCCTCAGAACTGGGAAGCCGGGGTGTTAATCTACCCACTCCAGCTCTCGTGGCTGAGGGGCACCCCTGGGAATGACTCCCCGCACACCCGGCCTGTCCCGCCGGGCAGTGGTCCTGCGGCCTGAGAGCGGAAGGTGCGGGCAGCGGCCCGGCCTGCATGTTGAGCCGTCCCACTGTAAGGCAGGGACGGGGGGCGGGGGAACTATGACAGCAGCAGCTGCACCTAGTGGCCTTCCCTAAGGTCATGCACGATTCACCCCTAGTAAGAGGCACCACCGAGCACCCGCGGACTTTCCCACCACCCTAAACCACGTCCCTTCCCCTGTGCCTAGAACAGGCTGTGCTCCCTGAGAGTGCTCCACGTGGGCCGGCCAACTGGCTTGCCCAGATCAGACCCCTCCCGTCTCCCTTCGTGCCCCCACAGTCCCTTCCCCTCATCCCCGAAATCCTTTCCTACCATCTTCTGGGCTTTGGCGGTTTCGCTGCGGAAGGCGCTGGACTCCCGGCGGGCAAGATCCTGGGAGAAGTGGCGATTGAGCACTCGGAGGCTGCCTGAGTACACCTGGCTGACCGCCTCCTCCGCCTTGTACCCTGCCCAGGAGGGAAGCAGCAGGGTTAACCGAGGAGGCAGGTGGGAAAGGCTCCTGCTTCTCCCCGGCCCTCTCCTGCCACCCCCGACCGCAGCTCAGCCGCAGTGTCTCGGGCTCCAAGGCACTGTCACCATTGTCGTCATCATCATCTTTGTCACTGGTATTTGTGCCATGGTTATTCAAAGTTTCTTTGATGACGAACTGGCTGCAAGGTGCCAGGGAGGAGACAGGCCACAGCTGGATGGTGGCCACAGGCTCCTGGAGAGAGGCTGACACAGTGAGCAGTGCAGGACATGAATGAGATGAATGCCAGAAACCCACATGGACCCAGAGGCCAAGGTCGTGGGTCAGCGATTCCGTGCGTCCACCCTTCCATTCGCCAGGTTGTCCAGGGATGCCACGGGGATGTGCTAAGCACCTACTGCGTGGCGTACACTAGTTAGCCAAGACGGACGGGTCTCCCCTTGTGGAGCTGACATTACTCCAGTAGCCACACAGCAGGTGGCATCCAGCTGGGAGGAGTGCCACCAAGGAGGAGAAGCACAAGGTGCTCTTAAGGGGACATAACAAAGAAACCCAGCTGGGCTGGAATGACCCTTCAGCCGAAATGTAAGGCCTGGGAGACCATAAATGGGGACAGGGTAAGCCCCCCGGGCTGGAGCAATCAGAGACAGGGAGGGGCAGCAGCGGCTGGAGCACAGCCGGCAGGTTTTGGTCTGTATCCGATGAACAAGGGAAACCATGAAAGGTTTATAATCAGAGATGATGCCTTCAGATTTCTGTTTCCCCAAGACCATCTGGCTGATGTGAGGAGAGGGGATTCATAGCCCCGGGTTATACTCCATTCATTCATTTGTTCTTTTGCTCAACAAAAGAACTCTAATATTTATTGAGAACCTACTGTGAGTAGGGACTGGTCTAAAGCCCTTGGGAATCTCTCAGTGTGACAATGAACAGAACAACAGAGGGGAAATCTCCTCTTGACAGGTTATAGTCCAGCAAGGAAGACAGACAGTAAAGAGCTCACATGGTCTGCGACACGTTAGAGCCGGCGAGTGCGGGCAAGCCAGGGGCTGGGGTGGGGTGCAATGCAGTGGCCAGGGAGGAAGGTGATGTGCATCCCTGGAGAGTGTTCCAGGCAGAGGCACCGGCAAGTGCAAAGGCCCGGAGGCAGGAGTTTGCTGCTGTGGTTGAAGAGCAGCAGAGTGAGCGAGGAGAGAGCGGGAGGAAGTGAGAAGGGGAAGGGCGTGGCCGTGCAGGGCTTGCCAGTCCAGGGGGACTTGGGCTTCTACCTCCAGTAAGATGGGCACCTCGGGAGGTTTGGCAGAAAAGTTGGATGATGAGATTTGCCGCATGGAATGGTCCCTCTGCTATCACACAGAGAAAGGCTCAAAGGAGGCGAGGGCAGTGGCAGGGAGGGCATCGAGGAGGCACCTGCAGTCACCCAGGTAGAAGTCGGGCAGGTGAGGCAGGGGTGACAGAGCCTGGCCCGGGCTGCGGTGGTGAGAGAGTGAGAAGTGGTTGGTGTCAGGACAGATTCTGGCAAATTTGGGCTGGGGAGGGGAAGAAAGGAGGAAACAGCCAGATGGAAGAAACGGCCACCACCCAGGGTGTGGGTGAAATGACAGAGTGCCGCTCTGCACACGCGGGGTCTGGATGCCCTTTAGACATGCAGGAGGCGGGGCAGGGGCAGGGATGGAGTCAGGCTCAGCTGAGGTGAGGCCCCAGCTGCAAATGCAAATCTGGGAGTCCGTGGGGTGCATTAAAACTAAGGGCACCGATGAGATCCCAAAAGGCGTTGTCGGAGAGAGGACGAGGGTCCTCCACCTGCAAGAGACACTGACAGGTGACACTGCTGGAGGAGAGAGGGGTCCTTGCTGGTGCCAGGCCCTTGCCCGGGCAGAGGGAGTTGGGGGCAGGGCAGCCAGCATCTATGGGGCTGCTCTCTGAGCAGCTCTGTTCTCTCGGTCCGGCAGGAGGCAAGGGCAGGGGTGCCGGGGCTTGAGAAGAAAGCATTAGCTCCTGCCCAGGAGAGCAGGAGCAGGAAAGGACCCAGGACCTACCACTAGGGGCCTCTCCTTGGGTCAGGCTGCCACTTCTCCACCCAGAGCTTGTCCGGCTCCAGTGCAATCAGCCTGCGCCCACACCTTCCAGACTGGGCAGGACGTGTCTCTGATCCACCTCCTCGCCCAGCGCCCAGGACCAGGAGCACAGCTGGGCCCAAGCGGGAGGAGTGGTTCAAACAGCTCCCAAAGTGCCTCCTCTACCCTCGATCCCACGGGGGAGGAGGAAGTCAGCTTCCCCAAGTTGAGGCTTGGGAGCACTCACCCCCTGGGCCCCGAGCCCCACAGAGCACCCCTGCTGTGGGGGGTGATTTACCCCAGGAGTGTAATCAGGAGGAATTCCACTTCTCTGCAAAGAGAGACAACTGGCAGGTGAGCTCCTTGCTAGCCCTCCAACCCAATGCCCATGGTTTACCCTGAAGATTAATTATCCCACTACCCAAGGGGGCTCCGCAGCCCTGCATTATTTGGGGCGCTGGCTTCCTACCGGTGGCGAAATGCACACCGTGTCTATGCCCTGCCCGCCTTGAGTAGCTTTGAGTAGAATCACTATGGGTCATTGCAAGCAGTCCATGTCAGACCCGGGGTTCCCAACAGTCACCCCCAGAGGCTGGCTTCAGAGACCCCCTACCCGGACCCCCTTAGAAGCAAAGGCACTAGGTGGATTTATCACTATTGCTCCAAGGTTGGTCTCTGGGTTCCTTTCAATAGGCCTGAAATTCCCCCAGGAGAGTTAGCTGTAAGATGACTGTCTAACTTTTGCACAACGGTTAAAGGGAGTCTCTGGCCACTTGGGTAAGTGGGGCTGTCCTTGCTGTGGCTTCCCAGCTGCTCAGCTTCCTCCACTGCAGCACCTGCCGTGCATTAGTGTAGTTGTCATGTCCTACTCCACAGCTAAGTCGTGGGACAGGGCTATCCCCAGAACCTGACAGCACGGAATGAATGAATGAGTCTTCTACCCTGTACAGGGAGCCTTTGCACGGCACAGACTGCTTTGTTTCTCCATTACTTCCCTCTGCAAGGAGCTGACAGAATGACATACAGTCTCCCTCGGTTCCAGAGAAAGACAGTGGACAGCCAAGAGCGTTTTATGGGACGAATGAACGATGGAAGGCTGGATGAACGGGCCGGAGCCTGGGCCAGTTGCTCCTGGGGCACCAGGGCACTGGTTGAGGGCTGATATTGGCGGCAGAGGGCCAGGATCAGGGACAAGGGAGAGCCCCCAAGGCTGGCTGCTCTCTAGCCCCACCTCTGTCCCCCATTCGTGCAGGGCCCTGGAGCCCCAGAGGTGACGGTGTGTGGTCCCCACCCCAGAGGAGCACCTGGCTGGGCTCAAGTGAGCAGAGAAACTAATTGGCGCCAGGCCCCACTGGTGCCTCCGGGCCTCCTGCAGCAGAGCCGGCTGGCGCTGAGCAGCAGGGCAGCCCGGGAGGGCGGAGGGCAGGGAGGGCCACGTTGACACTCCTTAGCTCGTGGGTTCACGAGAACTGGCGCTGCAGAGCCCTCCTTCCCTGTTGGCCCACGCAGGGAGCAGACCTGAGCCACAGGACCTGGAACAGAGGTCCGCCAATGTGCTCATCTCCAGGGACATGGAGGGGGACCCCGGAAGTGCCCCATCACATAGCGAGTTGCTAAGCACTGTTGGGCCTAGAATCTAGGTCTGTTCTGCTGTGCCCGCCACGGCCTCCCAAATCCACCCGGCGCCTCTCCCAGACGGGCCCACACCATTACCTAGGAAGTACCAGAGCAGCACCCCCACCGACGCCAGCACGACCAGGGCCAGCCACAGCGGGGCCAGGCGGAGGTAGTCCCGGGCTCTTCTCTTGGCGTTCTCAGAGGCCTTGAACATGCCCTCCGGCTCTGCTTCCTCGCCATCACCTCCGTCACCCTGCCCACCAGCCGCCTGGGGGGCCTTGGCCATGGGCATCCTGGCGGGACACAGACCAGCGTTGGAAACAGCCTGAATCTGCAAGGAGCCTCTGCTGAGCGCCCACGGTGCACGGAAGCAAGACAGCGCCCTGCCTCTCGGAGTGGCAGGGTAACGACCCCGGGTGGTAGTGACAGCGCTGAGCCAGCTCACAGAGGCGGAAAGCGTGGCTTGCACAGAGCCGGATCCAGGAACCTCACCTCTGCACCCCCCTGTCCTCCCTACGGTCAGAGGACAGACAGGTTTCAGTGCCTGAACCCCACAAATAGAGCAGGAGAACATGGGCACAGACTCACGTAGCGCTTCCTGCCCGCAGACCAGTGCAGCCAAGGCACTTAGCACTTCGCACAGCGCTGGGCCGGGGCCCTGCCCTCCTTCTCGGAGTACCATCTCCCATCTCCCTATACTCTCAAAGTCTCCCAGGGCTGAGGAAGGGGACAAACACTAATAAACATTTAGTGCCCTCATGAAACATTTCACATTTAACCCTCAGGTCACCTGGGGATGTGGGACCATTGTCCTGTGTGTTCTCTTTCTCAGGCCCACTCTGCAAGGGCATTTTACACTTGTAATCTCATTTAAATCTCACAAGACTTCTCGCAGATGCCGTGCCCATTGGACGGATGAGGAAACTGAGACCCAGCATGTTCTCGAAACAACTCAGCTGAGTGTTCCTGGCTTCATCGTCCCAATGCCTTTTGACTGTCTGGCGTTCACTACCAGCCACATTTTACAGATGAAAAAAACCGAAGCCTGGAGGGCTAAGCCGCTTGCCCAAGGTCACACTGCAGGTCAGTGGGGGTTGGGTCCAGGTGTCTGACTCCCTGTTCTTTCCACTATTTTGAGATGCCTCTTGCAAATGAGCTGTGAATTAACAAACTGTGATTAAACAACAACTGAATGCCACCCTTCTCGCGCCCCAGATCTGAGGCTCTGTCTTCAGACCCATCCAAATGAACACCTGAATGCCTTTGGTGTCTCAAGCAGGTTTCCCCACTACACAGAGAGGGCTGCACCTGCCCAGCGGCTCGGCAGGGATCAGAGACACTGGGGGGTCTGTCTCCTCCTGCAACACCCATAGATGCCAGGTGGCGCTTCCTTTGGGCGCATCTTGGGTTTTTACACAGCGAGTTTCCTGAAAACGCCGCTCCTCGGTGGTGCTCAAAGTCCTCCCAGATGCACGTGAGGGCCCCGGCCCTCTCCTCCTCCCTGCTCCCTGCGCGGCTATTCCCCCGACCCTCTGGCCATAGGGTAGTGCCACACGTGGGTCGGGCCCTACTGGTTTTCACGGGGCCAGGGACTGGTAAATGTCCCGCCGGGGCTGGGACACCGTCACCCACTTGCCCAAACGTCCACAGCCTCGCTGGCCAGAAACAGCGAGAGCCGGATGAGGAACAGGCGTGCAGTGGCGCTGGACGGGGAGCGCCCAAGTGGTGGGCGGTTCCTCTCCGCCTGCAGCCCCCGGCCCTTCTCTCCACCCAGAGGCCACTCCCCTGTTCAACTCTTGAGTCCGGGTCACCAAGGAGCGACTTGGGGATGACTCATAGAGCCATGGGGACTCCGGGGCATGGGGCTGCCACAGTTGGCACTGATTTCCACCGACTCGGTGCTTCACATGCGCTCTCCCTGGTACGCCTCGCACAGATCCCGAGGGGGCTTCTCTGACATTCCTGACTCTGGTCTGGGACCCGGAGCACCTTGCAGAACGGCCATTAGGGCCCAGACCACAGCCTGGCAGGAGCTCCTGTAACCGGGTGTCCCTGAGTGAGTGGGGGCCCGGGCGGGAGCCCCTTCTTCACGTGTAAACACACTCCCAGACTCGCACACAGACGTACACAGGTGGAGACACACCGAGGGGTGTACACACCCCTATCCATGACACACAACTCACAGGTGCGTGCCTTCACTTCGCGCGCACACGCGCGCACACACTGACTCGGGGCCTGGGAGCGCAGGGGCCCGTGCCGGGTAGGTACTCGGTGCGCTGGGGGCTCTGCGCCGTCTCCCACAGCAGGAGGCCAGGGGGCCGTGGGTGTGGAGGGGGCAGCACGTCCAGTCCTGCAGGGTGGGGGCGGGGTGCACAGCTGGCTAAGCCAGGCCTCTCCCCTCCTCCTGTCCCTGCCGGCCTAAATCCTAGGCCACCCGGCACCCGGCACAGCTCCTGGCCATACACCTGGCCTCGCTCCGTGGACCCCTCACCCTCTGCTCACTGGTCACTCTCTGGCCGATGGCGACCTGCAGACCTGGCCCCAGAGCAGGACAGGCGGCTCAGGCCTCAGGGCCCGGGCCGAGCTCCCAGAGTAGACACAGATCACCAGATCATCCATAGGTCCTAGTCCCCTGTCCTGGAGGCCCTGCTTACCTTCGGGAGTGGCAGGGAGGTGTTGGGCCCGCAGGCCTCTGGAGCCTCTGTTTGTCCAGGCCAAGGTCTCCCAACCCCCACCTGGCCAGCCTGGGCTGGATCAATGGCCTGGAGCCATGGCCAGGGTGTCTGTCCCTTGTCCCCTGTGGCCTGTGGCCCCAGGCTCCATGGGCCTCCTGCTGGGTCCGGGACGGCACTGTGACTGAGCACAGGTAAACAGGCAGGAGGCAGCAGGCAGCCAGTGCCCGCCCCGTGGCACCCCGGAGGCTGGTGGGCAGGTGCGGGAGACCTGAGCTCTCCCCCGGGGCCCGTTGCCTGGTGACATCCTGCCTGGTTACAGCCCCTGGTCCCTGAGAGCGTGAGGTGGGGGCAGCCGACTGGGGGCTGTTCAGAGGCCTGTGCAGGTGGAGACAGGGGCTGACAGCAGCTGCTTCCCTGGACAGAGGGGACCAGAGGAGCCGCGGGCCAAAGAGAGAAAAGAGGCTGGGCCCACGCACTGTGGGGACAGGAGAGGGGAAGGTGGATGTGGGGGTGGGGCTTGATGCCATTTTCTGTTTCGCTGGGAATTACCCGAATTCCTACCCTATCCTATGTGCTATGCTGTCCATGGCAGCAGCCCCTGGCCACCTGTGACCCTTGAGCACTTGGGATGTGGCCAGTCTGAACTGAGCCAGGCTGCACAGGTGAGATGCACACCAGATTTCCAAGTCCAAGTGCAAACAAGCAATGGAAACTATCTTGACAATTTTTATACTGATTGGATGTCAAAGCGATAACCTTTTGACTGTCTTGGGTTAAATAAAATTTATTATTAAAATTCTTTTCACCTGTTTGTTTTTGCATTATTTAAGGTGCCTGCTAGAAAACTTAGATTACGAGTGTGGCTCTCGCTCTTGTTCTATGGAGCAGGGCTGTGACCCGAGTGTGCGCCACAGCGTGACATGGGACCTGGGTTTTCTGGGCTGCGTCCGTGCTGACAGGTGTTGACTTCCAGCGACTGTGCGTCCAGAGGCCGGAATGTGGTGAGCACGCCCAGGACCCCGTGTGTGCGCGAGTCCCAGAGCATGTGTGTGTGTGTGAGAGAGTGTGGATCACACGTGTGTGCAAGATGTGTGGAAGATATGCAGCAGCACGGAGTGGAGTGCAGGGTGTCTGTGCGGTGTGTGTGGTGTGAGGCGTGTGCATGTGTGTGTGTGCGTGCTCACAGCGTGGAGGGTGTGCGTGTGTGGGGCTGGAGGTGTGGGCCCCCCACGCCCACTCCGTGGCGCCCGCTGGGTTTTCATCCCGGCCGGGGCTGGGCAGTCCTCTGACTTCTGAGCTGTTTCCTCATCTGCCAGATGCAGAGAATGGGCCCCTCCTTGGCGAGCGAGAACAGGTGCATGTGAAGGCTCAGTATCGCACGAGGTGCCCTGCACGCGGGGTGTCCTCCTGTCACGCGTATAGGCCCCTCACGTGTGTCTCAGGCACACACTCACCCCTGCGCTGGCTGGCGTGTGGGGCCTGCCGAAGGACGAGTGCGTGTGGGCGCACGTGTGTCCTGAGGTGAGAAGGCCCCTGCCCACCGAGGGTCAGGAAGGCACACTGGGGCTGGTTAGGGTCCCAGGTGGGGGGCACCTTCCTCCCCTTCTCCTGGTCGTCAGCCCTGCCCATGGGCCGGACCCTGACCTGTGACCTCGCCCCACTGTGCCTCACCCCAGCCCCCAGCAACTCTCCCTCCTCCTCCAAGCTCCCCTCTTCCCAGGCCCTGGCCCCCACCTTGCAAACTCTCCAAGGGACAGGTGCTTGGGATGGGAGTGGGGACAATGTGTGTAAGGGGGGGGGGCAAAGACACTGGAGCCCGGCCCTGGGTCCCACCCTGTCCTTTGGAAGGTCAGGAGGCCCCGGCTGGTGCAGGCTGGCAGCTGGACAGTCTGAAAAGTGGATTTTGCACCATCAGTGTCCTCTGTACCTGGTGGCTCCCCGGCCATCGATCAGCCACGGCCTGGGGGAGGGGCCGGCACCAGGAAGGGCGAGGCACAATGCTGAGGGAGGCCTTCGAAAGCGTGCGCGAGGGTCCCCGGGAGCCGTGGTGGGGGCAGCCTGCCGCGAGCCCGGGCTTCCCTCTGCCAGCAAGGGTGAGTGCGGGCGAGCGGCATGGTCTCGCCCTGCGGCAGGGGACGTGCTCCCGAACAGGCTTCGCTGCTCCTGCGAATCTGTGTGTCACGCCAACACTGGCCGCAGCCTCCTCGGTCCCCGGGACAGAGAAGCCACCTGGAGGCCTGGCTGGCGTGAGGCTTGCAGGCTGGTGGGGCACAGCGGGCCTGACCTGGCAGGACAGGGAAGAGACAGGCCTGGGTGTGCCTGTCACAGTCCGGTGACAAAGACCCAGCAGGGGGCTGAAAGTCAGAGGACCTGGCTGAAACCCCCAACATCTGGCCCAGCAAGGTGTCCCCAGGCTGCCATCTCATGGCCTGTGGGACGAGGGTGACAAAGCTAGCTGCTGGCAGGAGAAAGACGTAGGGTGGGCCCCTAACCAGATAGGACTGGCGTCCTTATAGAAAAGGTAATTTGGGGACAGAAGTGCACTCGTCCAGGAAGAATGCCACGTGCACATGAAGACAGATGGCAGGCGATACTTCCACAAGCCAAGGAACCCCAAAGATTGCCAGCAAACCCCCAGCCACCAAGAGAGAGACACGGGACAGGTCCTTCTGCACACCCTCGGAAGGAACCGGCACCTTGATCTCAGGCTCCCAGCCTCCAGGACTTCCAGACGATAAATTGCAGCTGTTTAGGCCACTCCGTGGGTGGCGCTTTGTTCTGGCTGCCCTGGCCAATAGACACAACGCTCATCACTCATCGAACTAGTGCTGCGTTAATGCTATGCAAAGCCCGTCTGTGTGTTCAACTTCCTCCCAGGGCCCTGCACACAGCAGGTGCTCACTCATTGTCCATTGAAGAGGCCGAAGACCCAGAAATCTGTATTATTTAAATCCGAGGCCTTCAGGCAACGCCATGGCTGGAACAGGTAGAACCTCAAGCACGGTGGAGCTGAGGGCAACCTTCTCCGAGCTCAAGGACAGCCCCGGCAGCGGAAAGAACTCCAACATCCCAGCCTGCAGCCGCAGCGCTCCCCGCCGAGTCACAGCTTACTCTCTGAAATTCTCCAGTTTAGTGGTTTACATGTTTCCCTCCCTGCTCTCCCCCCACCCCTTTAGACTGTGAGCCCCATGAATTCAGTGGCCTTGTCTGTCTTGCCCCTTGCTGGATCCCAGCCTGGAACAGTGCCTGGCACACGGAAGGTAAATATTTGTTGAGTGAACAAATGACAGTTACTACCAACTCCTTCCATGGGAACCCAGTAAGGTTTTTAGAGCGGGGCCCTTCTCAAACACAGTCGGTCACATAGATGCCTCAAGCCCAAGCTTCAGGGTGGGAGTTTGTGTCTCCACTTAGCAGAAGAGGAGACTGAGGTTCTGAGAGGAGGAGTTGACCTGCTGCAGGTGCCACAGCCCATTGCAGGCAGAACAGGGCCTCCAGCCTGTTCTCTTTGATGGGGACTGTCACAGTTTCCTGATGATCACAAACTGGGTGGCTTAAAACAAGAACTTGCTTTTTCACAGCTCTGGGGGCCAGACGCCTGAAATCAGAGTGTTGGCAGGTCCACTCTCTCCCGGAAGGCTCTGGGGAGAGAGTCCTTCCCCGCCTCTCCCCGGCATCTGGCGGTCCTGGCGTTCCCTGGCTTGGAGACGCACCACTCCGGGCTCTGGCTCCACTGTCACCTGGCCTTCCTCCTGCCCCTGCCTCATTTCCACACACGCATGCTCACTGCAACTTCACTCACAGTCGTCAAAAGTTGGGGACAATGCAAATGCCCATCAACTGGTGAATGGATAAGGAGATTGGGGTACACGCATCAATAAATAACTATTTAACAATGAAAAGCAATGAATGACTAATACATAAAGCTGCACAGATGAAGCTCCAAAGAATCACACTAAGTGAAAGGAGCCAGGCTCAAAAAGCTACATATGACTCCATTGACATTTTGGAAATGGCAAAACCATAGGAACAGGAATCAGATCGGTGATGGCCAGTGGCCAGGGATGGGAGGAGGGGACTGACTGCAAAGGCGCTCAAGGGGACTTTCTGTGGTCATGGACGTCTTCTGTATCCACTGTGGTGGTGGTTACAGGGCTGTGTTGTTTGTCAGCATTCACAGAAATGTAGCTTTAAAAGAATAAAATTTCACTGATGTATATTATACCTGAACAAATAAAAAATATATCATCCTTCTCAAAACATAGTAATAGGTCGGGCGCGGTGGCTCACGCCTGTAATCCTAGCTCTCTGGGAGGCTGAGGCGGGCGGATTGCTCGAGGTCAGGAGTACTAAACCAGCCTGAGCAAGAGCGAGACCCCTGTCTCTACTATAAATAGAGTAGAGATGGGGTCTACTAATATATATGGAAAAAGTAGCCGGGCATGGTGGCTCGTGCCTGTAGTCCCAGCTACTCGGGAGGCTGAGGCAGGAGGATTGCTTGAGCCCAGGAGTTTGAGGTTGCTGTGAGCTAGGCTGACGCCACGGCACTCACTCTAGCCTGGGCAACAAAGCGAGACTCTGTCTCAAAAAAAATAAAAAATTAAAAAACCCTCATAATAATAGCCCTTTTCCCCTTCCCCCACAGTGGAGTCAGCACAGCAGCTAAGGATTGGGTCGGTGAGGAGTTGAAGAATCATAAGGGGCAGGGCGCAGTGGCTCACACCTGTAATCCCAGTGCTTTGGGGAGCTGAGGATGGAGTCAGAAGGTCAGGAGTTCGAGACCAACCTGGGCAACAGAGGGAGACCTTGTCTCTGCAGAAAATTTTAAAAATTAGCCGGGCGTGGTGGCACATGCCTGGAGTCCCAGCTGCTCGGGAGGCTCCTCCCCTGGAGCCCTGGGAGAGAGCGTGGTGCTGCTGACACCCTGAGTTCGGCCTCCGGAAATGGGAAAGGATAAATGTCTGTTGTTTTAAGCCTCCCCGTTGCTCCATCCTTCCAGACACCTGTCTAGACAGTTTCTGGCTGGGGCACACGGAGCACACCCCCTCACCGCCTCCCCGCGGCCCCGGGCCTCCCCAGGGGGTTTCAGAGACCGGCGCAGCTTAGCACAGAGCCTTCTGCAGGGTGGGCTGGACTCTCCCCACGCAAGGTAAAGAGGTGAACGGGACATTATTTGGAAACAGGGTCTTTGCAGATGTAAACAAGTTACTATGAGGTCACACTGGATTAGGGTGGACCTTACATTCCACAT